AAAGCGACCCCCAACTGCGTCGGTTTAGGCCTTGCATTCCCCAGGACCCTACACAACCGCAGCAAATACCTGTAGTTAAGCCGAGAGTTTGTTGGAACCCTTTTAGTAGGACTCTAAGGACCTCTGAAGATGATACCCCTCAATGAGGAAGGCACCATGAAAGCACTAACCCAATTGAAGCCTTTTACAGAATTATAGAACCTTCTTCGGAACCCAGCTGAAACCGCAGACAGTCCTTATCTGAACCCATCTACAGCTCTAAAGAGCTGTTATGGAACCTTATCATAACCCATATCAAACCCTAAGCAGCCCTGTAAACAACCTTGACAATGAACCTATCTAAAGCTCCAGTCCGCCCTTCTCCAAGCCGTAGTCATGCAAAAACAACCCCAAGCAGCCCTTCTGAAACCTCAACCCTTGAACCCCTAAAACCCTAAACCCTCAACCCTAAACCCTAAGCAGCCCTTACGAAACCCTAAACCCTTAAACCCTCAACCCTAAACCCTAAACAGCCATTATGAAACCCTAAACCCTCATACCCTTAAACCACTAAAACCCTCAACCCTAAACCCTAAGCAGCCCTTATGAAACCCTCCAGGTCTTCATCCGACAGCTCTGCGCGCGACTGCGAAGCCGCGGGATGAGCTTCGACGGACGCACCAGAGCTCTGAGCCCGGCACCTCTGCAGAGAAAGCACGAGCATTAGTCTGTACTGGTCTTCATGATTATTATTATTAGTAAGTAGTAAGTAGTAAGTAGTAAGTAGTAAGTAATAAGAGTAGTAGTAGTAGTAGTAGTAGTAGTAGTAGTAGTAGTAGTACTACTACTACTACTACTACTACTACTACTACTACTACTACTACTACTACTACTACTACTACTACTACTCGTAGTAGTGAAGTGATTATATCTATCAATGGATATGTTTGGGATTAGTATGATTATAAGGAGCCTGAAGTGTGAGGCCCAAATCTGGAAGCCGTAAGGGTTATGGATTTGGCTTTTGGAGATTAGGGTTTCGAGTTTAGGGAGTTTTGAGGCAGTGGCATTTTGCAGCATTTAGGGCTTCAGGGTTTTAGTCTAGGGTTTTGGCCTACCTTAAGGGAGCAAGGGTTGCGGCTTAAGGCCGCATCATGCCTTGGGTGGGGGGAAAGGTTCTTGCGGAAGCCCTGCTGCAATCCCCAATTCGATCCCTCGAACAAGAGGCTTGAGGCTTCCGAGATGTGGCTTTAGAAACTGGCTTTGGGGATGAATGGCGGAATTAGAGTTGCAGGTGTTTTTTCGGGCTGAGCTTTGCTGTTGGGGCTTTACGTTGAAAGTCTGGGGTCTTGGAGTTATGGATGCAGAGTTCAGGGTTGAAGGGTTAATCCAATTGCGCATGCACTCACCCATGCACTGGTCGAGACCAAGGTATACCCGTACTGCCATACAAGCTGAACAGCTTGCTTGATACATCTGTCCCCAATGTCTTAGTCACAACCTTCGGTTTCCTCGCTCTGAATCTTGACACAGACAGCCACAAGCGTTGCGCTTCACAAAGTCGACGAGCACTCAAGCGTCATGCGTCATAACCTTTCATAAATCGCATCATTAAACCCCTTGCTCTGAGCTTTCAAGACCGCTAAAGGAACCCTTGCATTACAGAGTGCCGGGAAAGCTTTCAAGAAATCATACCCTAAGGATCAACATAGCCCAAAGGCCTGCCTTAAACTGCGAGTCCTTAGAGCCTTGCGGTCAGGGAACCATGCATCAAAGGTGAAAAGGAGGGACCCTTAATGGGGACCCCTACCCTATAATGGGCTATATAATGGGTATATAATGGCTATATTATGGGTATATACCTAGGGGTCCTTATTAAGGGTCCCTCCTTTTACCCTTGGAATGCAGCCAGGTATCTTTGCAACAAATCCGGAGAAGTCCTTCCCGGCCCAAGTCGCCTTGGAGGGCTCCTTCGCTCAGAGTACCGCATGTAATATAGGGGCCTGAATAATTAGGATAGGGTTCCTTTTTGAAGGGATCCCTAAAAAGGATCTATAGTAGGGTTCCATGGTATAGGGGCCTGAACCATTAGAATAGGATTTTGGGGCACATTATATACTTTGCTTGTAATAAGGAACCCCCAAAATCCTATTGGTATTGCTTTAGGCCCCTCTAGTAGGTGGATCTCTTCAGAATCATGGGGTTCACACGGTTTTGGAGAAGCCTGATTTCTCGAACGGTCCAACGGTATGGCAACAACGGGGTTCTTATGTTACCCTAAACCCTGAACCCATCGGGTTCTTATGCTAATTCCACGGGTAAAGCGGGTCTTGTTACGAGTCTTGTTCGTGTTCGCACGAGGCATCTCCGAAGGCATTTTCGGCCAACATCGCCATCTTCGAACAGTCCAATCGTTTGGTCGTTGAATATTAGGAGCCTTAACATGGGGCACTTACATTTTGGTCCAACATTTGGGTTCCTTGTGTCTGGAAGCTCTCAGATCTCAGGGACTCGTAACTGGGGCCTAGGGTTTGGGGTTTGGGGAAAGGGTTTAGGGGTTACATGGTGTATCGTGGGCTTACATTGCGTGTAGAGCGCGAATCATAGACTTTTGGGTGTAGGTTCAGGGCTCAGGCTTTGGGTTCAGGGTGAGATCTCCAGCTTCAGGATATCACCTTGCCTCAGCCCCGTTAAGAAGAACGATGCGCACAAGCTTCGGAAGATCCGATCAGTCGGCCCAGGGGCAGCAACGCGCTCTCCCCCCGTTCATGGAGGTTCTCTCCGACGAGGAGCGAACCCTTCTAAGCACTTCAAGCATTTAGGGTATAGGGCTTGGGGCTTTGGGATTCGCATTTAGGGTTTCGGGGGAATTCGGTTTGTCGGGATCCTAACTGAGGTACACTTACACATGTAAGGGCTCCTTCGTATGGTTTCCTTGTATTCAAGGCCGTGGAAAGACAGCTATGCCCACATGTTGAGTGTGCATGAATATAGAGACCGAAGAACTATTGATGTTCTTCCTTAGGGTTCCTCAAGCAAGTATACTATAGTATGAGCCCCAACCCTGTTCTGATCCTCAATAGCGTTAAGGTCCTGAATAGCTACTTGTTTAGGTTTGGCAGTGGCTTCCTTACCTGATTATTTACGGCCCCTGCAGCCCTAAGTCAGGAAAAACTCCGAACCCTGACTCCTGAGCGCAGTCACTACTATAGAGGCCTACATAAGAACCTACACTGTTTTGGGGCCTCCTGAAAAATGATTATAGTATAATTGGGCCCCAAGACCATATTCTGATTATTAAGGCCCCTATAGCAAAGCCCCAAGCCATGACAGCAGGAGATTCACTTCCCACGAGAACGCAGTCGATCGCCATCGACGAGCCGTCCGGGCATTCTGCTGAAACGAGTTCCAGGGAGATGATGATACGAGACCCTGAACCCTAAACCCTAAACCCTGCGCGCCTAAAGCCCTCAAGCGTGACCTTGATCTGACATACATAGGAATCTAGAATCTCGAGGGCCGCAACCAAAAATACCCAAATACTTGGAAACCCTTTAAGCTTAAACCACAAAAAGCTTATTCGGTTTCCTCAGAAGAGCCATGACGAACAACAGCAGCATGGGTTTTTGTTCGGGTGTGGTCACTTCGGATCTCAGTGCAATGGGGCCTGAGCGCTTTTCTATACAGCATATACCGCCACACGTACTCCACCCCTGACCCCCCACCGCCCCTCTTAAAAAAAGACAAGCCCATACCCAGAGACAGACAGAGACCCTAATCAATAGCTATTAAAACTTTTCAGCCCTCGATAGCAAGCATTGGCAGATTAGCTTCGGAGACTTGAGGCCATCCTAGGTCTCGTGGGGATTCATGACCCCACATCTCTCTCCGGCAGCTCGTGATCACTAGCCAGCTGTCGTATCGCGCGAGAGCGCGGGGTTAATGATTTGTCCGCCTTGCTGGGCGAGCGGCGCGGCCGCAGCGTCACAAAAGCGGGGGAAGGGCTCTAGCATTCAAGAGACCTGTTGTTCGCTTTGGCCTCGGTCGGCTCAATACAACAGCAACCCCTCAACTTTGGACCCTACCTCTTTGAGAATCCTGTACAATTGTACAGTATAGACATCAACTCATCGCCAGCTTTTTTTACATGTGGATTTTCTGTAAACTTGGCAACTAGCCTCAAAATTCGTTTTTGTTGTTCAGGGCTTGGAATTACAGACCGCGGGTGACCCCATTTTGAAATTGATAGTTCAAGCTTTTTGGTCCCTCGAGTTTGGTGTATGGGCTTCCACCCATAGTCGACCTTCCATGTTGCAGGGTCCTTGGTACTAGTAGTAACCTGTCATCTTGTGCTAAAGCGGAAGCTTATTCGTGGCTTATGAACTGGGCAACGAAGTCTGGTGGTTCAAGGCATTGTATACTGGAAGCGATAGCTACTGCTTTTCTTTTTCCTTTGTTACAGGTACGCGTACTAGAAACTATACCACTAGTACTGTCCTAGTGATATTGCTTGCCTCAGTACTAGTTCTACTGAGTTTACTCTTATCATTCTTACTCTTTACTCTTGCTCTGACTCTTACTCTTACTCTTCCTCCTCCTCTTACTTCTACTACTACCACTACTACTACTACTACTACTACTACTACTACTACTACTACTACTACTACTGCTACTGCTACTGCTACTGCTACTACTACTACTACTACTACTCCTACTACTACTACTACTACTACTACTACCACTACTACTACCACGAATACGGTTACTACTACTTTAGTAGTATTAGAACCCTTACTATACTATTACTACTGTTGCTATTGCTACATCTGTGATGTTCTTTCGCCAGTTCTCTAAACCGAAAATTTCCAATCCTGGACTCTGAATCTTAACCCTGAAACACCCGTCCCCTCAAGCCAAACACTAACCCTCAACCCCTCACACCTGCAGCCCCAAACCCCTGGAGCCTAAACCCAAGCCCCTAGTCCCGGACCCACTTAAACTCAATCCCTACGCCATGACAGGAGCTGAAAGTAGCTGGCCCAATCCGCATCTCGGCCGATGCTGATCATCGGGACTTAGGCGTTTCAGACACTTCGAGGTCCCTTCTTAGAGGGTTCCTCATAATAAGAAAGCCATTATCATAGGGCTCTATGTTAGGGTCCCTCATTTTTTTGAAACAGTGAGTCCCTGTGTGAGTGTCCTCACAATTCTGCGAAACTCCCACTTCGGTGGCTCAACCGTGAACGCTGCATTTACGGGCTTAAAATAGGCTTGGGGTCGCAGAGTGTACGAGGGTGTCAGGTTGCAGGGCTTTAGGATTTTTTGGGTTCCTGGGCATTCGGAGGGTTAGTTATACAACCCGTATTGTACCCTTACATAGTCATGTGTTTACACTCCTTGAAAAGGAACCCTTAAACCAGCCCTTTTCCAAGGATGAAGGCCCGTCTATTTGCGCTTTCATGCTCTAGTACAGGGTTTAGGGGTTTAAAGTTTTAGGGGTTTGGGGGTTGAGGGTTTAGGGGTTTAGGGTTTAGGGCTTGCCACAAGGGTCCCAGTTGCCTGCGTCCTGAAAGCCTACATCCGCTCACGGAGCCCCGGTTGCAAGGTTGCAACGAGGCCTACAGCCCAAACTTGAGGCCTTAGACTTATAGACCCTCCGTCTATTATAGCCCTACTAATTATACCCTAAACGCCTACTATTACTAGTAGGGACCATCTACCCTTTTACGGTCCGTGGAACACAGCTTTGAACAGATCGAGGCCTGCCGACGAAGATCCTCCGACTGATGGTGCGCAAGTCTCCATGCGGAGAAGGCTTCCGGTTTAGGGTTTAGGCCGGGTTCAGGGTCCAGGTGTGTCGGTGGAGCTCGCTGCTTAAATCACGAAGAGGGTGCATGCTTGACTACACCCTGAACCCTTGATCCTTACCCGAATATACCCTAAAGCCGAAACACCTGAACCTTAAATCCTTCGACGCGAAACCCAAAGTCCTACACCCTAAGCGCTCCTTTGTTCCTCCCAGCCTGCTGCCGAAGATGTTGCGGTTCGTTAGGAAAGCCGGGGCACTTATGCACGAAGAGCATCGGTCTCACTCGACAAAGGGCTCAGGGTCAAGAGTTTGAATGAAGGCCCCTGTCGCCGGCACGTTCACATTTATACCCTTCAACCATCCACCTGATAAGCTCTACATCTTTTTGGGCCCGTCACACGCTATAAACCTCCGATCCGAATCCACATGCCCTGATCCCCAAATCCTAAGCCTTCATCCAAAAGCCTCCACTGTAAACCTTCTCAAGCCCTAAACCCAGAAAGCGTAAAAAGGTACCTAAGTAATTACCTATACTATTGTGGGTGGTTCCTTACTATAACTACAGCATAATATACCCCCCGAAGCCCTATTCTAAGTATCAACCTGTAAAGGAACCATAAATTATTGAGGCCCCTATATTACGCCAGGCACGAACACCTTCGACCGATGGGAGATGCGAATCCACAAGCGCCTGATTGACTTGCACTCGCCCTCGGACGCCGGAGGGCTCAGGGGGAAGATGGAGTCTGGGATCTCCTTCACATCCTTGAAATGGGGGGGCGGAATAGCTGGTAGCAGTCCCTCACCTTCCCAATATGGTTTTCGGAAAACAATCCAAACCCTGTTCGTAGAGATTTTCAAGGCCTTTGTGTTCGAGTTTGGGGTTGTTGGGACTTGCTGTTTTGTGGCTGATACGAATATGTGACTGAAAGGGGCTCTTCCAGGATCTGCTTGGGAGCAAGAGGGACTAAAGGGACTCGACGAAGGCTCCTGGGGACTGTTTTCGGTGGGTTTATGCTGAACGCAAGAAAGTTGAAACATAGATTTAGGATGATTAGTGCTGGGATTCCCTCTAATTTTCCTCAAGGGCATGAGGATAACGATGTTCCAACTTTCTGGCTTCTACTGTAGAAGAGCATCCGCAGCCCGAGGTCGTGAAGCAGATCACGTCGATCTCCATTGAGCCCGGGGCTTCGGATTTCAGCTCGCTTTCTTTGGGGTTTAGGGTTTACGGATTTAAGGTTTAGGGGTTTAGGGTTTCGGAGTTTAGGGGCTGGGTGTTTAGGGTTCTGGGGTTTAGGGTTTAGGATAGAAATTCAAGCGGAACCCAGGTCTTTTGTTAGCACCACGAAGGCCGGGGTCTTGAGTTGTTCGAGGCGTTCAGGCGTGATGGTTTCTTCTGAAGCCATCGGAACTTTTGCTTTGCCGCGAACTACCATAGCCTACTTTTCCTGGAGTTGCTATACACTCGACATGGGGCTTGAACTTCAACCCTACAGAGAGTTTCAACGGTAAAAAAGACGGCATCAGACTCTAAGGTTTTAACTGACATGTAAAGTTGGCAGCCTAAATATGTTGATGGCGCGTAGGGTTCACGGTCCGGGTTGAGGTCTGAGGGTGTAGTTGTTGAGAGTGTAAAGTAACAGCAGGAGAGAGTGTAGGAACCAACCCTCAAAGAGTTTAGTTCTCGCCTGTGCCCTATTTGCCAAGTCTGCTCCTAAAAGCTCAACCTCGGCACCAAAGTTCCTACCGGTTTGCAGAGCTCTACGCTGAAACATGGGTTTCCTTCTGCACGCCCCGATAAAATGGAACCATAGGGTCTGAGAAACGGTCCCAGAGCTGGCTTGGTATTCTGCGCCCAGGCCTGGCGTCGAAGTTGCAGGGGACTCAGGGATGTAAGGGTTTCTTGGGTTGTTTGGCTTTCTGGGGTTAAGGTTAGAGACGGTTAGAGGGTTTATGAAGGGCTTTTTGCGGGGGTATGGCTGTATCATTAGGGACTTCAAGGGAATAGTCTTGCTGATTAATTACTCAAGCCTCTTATTGAAGTCTTTTTGGCTACTGGTAAGTGGGATGCAGGGTTGCATTTGCTTGAGTGCGATTCTTGGGTCCGAGTTTAATTTAAAGCTTTGAGATTTAGCGTGTGGAGCTTTGTGGTCTCTGGTTGGGGGGTTGGGTGAATGAATTCGACGGGCCTCCAAGAGTTCGATAGGCTTATATACATTTTGATACACAGCCGTATGCACGTATATGTATATACATTACATATGTGTGTAGAAGTATAAGTAACATCTAGATATTTGTAGACATAGATATGTTTATGGGGATAAGGCCGCTCAGGGCTGGACGCTGTCGAAACAGTCATGTGAATGCCATCTCCTGTGTGCTGCAAAGACAGATTCCAACAAAGCTAGTTGGATATCATTACCCAGAGGCCCCAAAATAGTTCCTTTTTGGGGTTACCCTATAGAATTCTATATATATATATATATATATATATATGAGCCCCAAAAAGGAACTACTAAACTAAGCCCCCACGGCCGATCGCCTCACGTGTGCACCTAAACCCCCAAAGCATGAACCTCACACCATGAAACAACCGAGAACCCCTGAAACCCCAAAGCCCCAAACCCTAAAACTCCAGGACGGCAAAGCCTGAACCATGGCCATCTAAATAGACTAAGCTACCTGTGCAGGGTCTCAATAAAGGCGTAGCATATGAAGATTACAGGGTTCCCCTACAAAAATTGACTGTGAAAGCGTAAGGTAGGTAGATGCGCTGAATACGGGCGTTGCTTATGATAGTTATGGTAAATATATACCCAAAACCCTCTTCCAATTGTTCAGACCCCTATATTACTTTCGTGGCGGCATCGCCTTGGCCTGCAAAGGAGGTGACCATTGCTGACCTGTGATCGCCTGAGCCTGTGATGGCCGCCGGAGCGCGAAAAAACGGTAATGCGGGCTTTGGGGGTGCAGATCGGTTCATAGTGGATTGTATAAGTTTGACGGGATTCTACAGGAATTTACAGGGTTTCTCCCTCAGTTTGGAATAATAGAACAATGATGCGCAAGTTTCAGGGCTATATTCGAGGATCTCGGGATTCAAGGCATGAGTGTGTAGACTGTGCGGTAGTCAAGGGTTCTCAGGCTTTCGGCAGTATGGCGAGGTTCTGGCCTGATGTTGTTTGCTTGCTGCTTCTGGGGTTCAGAAAAACCCTCGACCCTATATAAACCCTAAGATCCCAATCCCCTTAAACCTACAGATCAGGACCTAGGGCTCAGGGCTTTGTGTTCATTTTCCTGAGCAGGTTTTAAGGGTACAGGGCTTCGGGCTTGGTCACTTCTCAGCCCTCCTGTCCCATCAGCCGAAGCCCGAAAGGTAACCCTGGGCAAATTGCTGCCCTCGCTTGGCTCAATCCAAAGTCCCGCCGCGTAGCAGCCTCCCAGTCGATCAACCATGGCGTCGGAACCTGAGATTGGTGAGAGAGAGGGTTCGGGTATGGGGTCAGGGTTTATTCAGGATTCACAAGGGCAATAGCATGGAGAAAGTCAAAGGCCCTTTTCCGAGCTAGGCTCTAGCCAGCACGAGTTTGAAGGTCGCGTGCGCGCGCGCGTCCTACTTAAACTTTACGGATTATATAGGGCTTCAGGGTTTAGGGTTGTCGGGCTGTGGACACCCAAAAGCCCCGACGCCCCCCCCCCTCCTGAAGGTCAGGATGACAGTTCCTTGATTATTTCAGGCGCAAGGCTAAAGCGGGCTTGTTCTAGAACCCTAGGCCCCAGGTAACGAGGGTCAGTGGCTTATTGTGTCGCCACAGCAGAGGTTGGAGGAGTCTATGGTCCCAGGGCTTGAGCTTGGAGTTTGAAGTTAACCAGCAGGACAGTTGGCCTGCAAAGACAATGTCGGAGGTTCAAAAGTTTACATAGAGCTTCGAGAGTACCTGCGTACAAGTAGAGAGCCTGGTCCACGACCCTCTTTAAACTTTTGAGGTTATGAAAACCGCTCGTATGCTATCGAGTCATTGAAAAGCTGTAAAGTTTCATAGTCAAGCCTGGCTTATGAACTCTCTTAAGCCCAACGAAGGCCCTAAGCCCGAAGCCCTCAACCAAAACTCTACGGCCCCTAAAGCCTGTTTTACAATGGACCTTAAACCTGTGAATCCTAGCCAAAACCATAAAGCCGTAAAGCCAAAACTTGGCTTTCAGGACCAAGCCAGTCAAGTCCCTCGAGTCCGAGGAGCAGCGTCCAAGACCCGGTCTAATACGTAGAGGTCGGAATAAATTGGAGTGATTTGAATCATTAGTGAGAGTTTCGCCATAAGGTTCTTGTGTAACTCCAGTATATTTCTGGCCTTGAGTCCCATAGGGCTCGGAGTATGGGTCGTAATAGCTAATAGTGTAATATATAGCCTTGAATGCCATATAGAGCGTCGCAATAGTAGTCACTTTTGCTTCTATTCCTTGTGTAAGTGTAGTAAGTATATGATAGACCCCAAAGTCTTCCAATTTTTCAGGTTCCTGTACTACTACGAAATACCACTTAGGTCACTTAGTGTTTATCTAGTGTCGCAGATTGAGGGTCAGGGCAAAGGTTGTACGGATATTGTATTTGCACTCAGGGGTTGGAGAAGTCTAGAAAGCTGCTGGACCATGGATGGAAAAGTCGTGCTGCGGTTGCGGGTGCAAGGTTTGCAATTCTTTCATCAGCAGAAATGCTGGTTGTCGGTCCAGGATTGAGATTTCAAAGTTTGCATTTGGGGGTTTTAGGTTTTGCGTATCAGAGTGTAGGGCTAGGGCATTTGAGGTGTTTTTGCAGGTGCAAGCGAACGGCTGAATTTCTTGGGGGCCGGTTGCCACTCAGACCCTAAACAGCCCTAAACTTTCCTAAACCCTAAACTTGCCTAAACCCTGAAGAGACCGCGCAGCCCAGAGGTCTGCACCGCATTCGCATCACCCTGAGCAGCCGTGACGTGCTCGGCTCAGTCACCGTGGACCGTGTGCCCCCAAACCTTAAACCCTTACCTATGTCCCTAAACCCGGGCGCGGGTGTTTGCTCAATGGCGTGGGGGTTTTTTGAATGTTTTTTGCAAATCGTCCTACAACGAGTTTGTATGGGATGGCTGAAGCTGGCAACTCGGTATTGAAGCCCAAGTCTGTGACGGCCACGAATACAGAAGCCCTAAGGCCCCTCGTCCCAAAGCCCCAGAAGCCCAAACGAAAGAACCCTGGAACCCGAAACCCCTATAAACCCTAATCCGGTTAAACCCTGAAAATGTAAAGTCCACAGATAGAATATTTGAGAGCAAAGTGAACACCCTCATAGGACCTTCAAGACCCTTATCACCCTCATCAACTACCACGCTAACCCCTGGAGTCCTAAACCCCTGAGGCCCTAAACTCTTCATGAAACTGTTTTGAACACTTTTTTGTAACTACTTTTCGAAACCCTCATGAAGGAATGCAACGCCCGCCTGAGCGCACTATGAACGGCATATTTAAGATCATCCCAATGAGCCGCAATGAAAGTCTGTAGAAAGACTCTGAGCCCTCAACCCATAACCCTAAGCCCCGAAAGCCCCACTCCCTAAAGCAGAATCAGAATACTTTGCATTGAGGCCATTATATATAATAAACTCCAAGCCGTATGAATCTCAAACATTCTAAACTCGAAACTTCCTTTCATGCACACCCAGCCATGTCAGGTCAAAGCACTGGAGAAGGTCTGCACTGATCTGGTGACCGGTGCCAAGGCGAAGGCGCGAGGGTGCAAAGATCTTAAGAAGGTTTTTAAACGGGGTTGCCATGGTTTTGAAGCATTCCGCGGTACCTCACAAGGCTTTACACGGCTCAAGAGTGTTTTGCTAGGATTATGTGCGGTTTCATAGGATTTTGTAGGGTTTTACTGCTTACAACGGAGTTCATAGAATGTTATCAAACTTGGTGGGATTAATAGTATATCAGTGTGTTACAGGATGTGGGGTTCAGGGTTGAGGATTTTTTACGGGCTGGGATTGAGGACGGGGAGGCCCCTGGTGGAAGCTTCAAGGATCTGGGGACTTGGCAAGTAGGCTGTAGCTCTCACTTCAGGTACTAACCGTGCGTATGCGGGCTTAGGGCTTAATTAAAAATTTAGCCAACAAGAACCAGAATTGCCACGGCCCTTAACTATTCGGCATTAAGGCAAAGGTTGGGACCCTTTAGAAACCAACAGACTTTAACGCGATTTTTGGTTATTGCGGAAGCAAGCCCTCGACCCTGTGTCCTTGCTCTGCTGCCATAGAAGCCCCTAAGCTTGAGAACACAAGCAATCAGACCCCCGACAGAGAAACCAAAGTCTTCCTCAAGCTACCGTAAACGAGTTTTCGTCGGGCACGTGCAATTTTTGTTCTCGGGCTTGCAGCATGCTCAATGGCCCAAGACTTCATGCAGCATTACTTTGGGCCTGAACGAGTTCCAGTTTCATGCTTTTGGGCCTGCATACACCCCAGAATTCAAACCCGAACTCCTAGAGCCGAAGCCCTCACATTCCAAACACGAAAAACATAGCCCTAATCCCTGAGATGCTAAACCTGACTATTTGAGTGGCCCCTAAAAAATTGAAGCAAGCATTCAGCTCAAAGGAGTTGAAAGTTGCCGGTCCGGTCCGCTGGATCCTCAGGATGCGTAAGGTTTATAAGGGTTTATGTGTTTTGCAGGGGGGGCTGTGAAAGGTTTCAGGGTTTCGGCTATTGTAGTTTAGAGTTGAGGACATGTCTTATTGCTTAGGTTGTGCAGGGGCTTTGGTTTTGAGGTGGTCTTAACTTGCCTTTTTCCGATGCAGCTGGCCGTGGTTCCCTTTGCTGGTACAGTAGCCTGTTCCTTTGTTCAGGATCCGCACGTGATCGCACGCGTATGTTGCCGAAGTGCATGTGCGAGGCCGATTACAATTCAGAACTTGGAGTGTAGGCGGCCGAGAGTTAGCTTTTGGTATTCATGTAAGAGCTCTGGTAGATCAGGATATTCCCTCCGAGCATGGATCTGCTGAGGGACTTGTTGTTGGAGGCTTAGTGTTGTAGATTTGGGGTTGAGCCTGACCGCACTTCAAATCTCGTGCAGTCGGATCAAAAGGTGCCAGATATCAGTGTTGCAGCATCTAGTTTCCTGATTGGTTCGGGTTCCCCCAAACCCTAAACTCTGACCCCGAACTTGTATTCGACATGCTGTTTGAAGCAGGCGTTCCTGAACCTTTGGGCTAATCCGGCTAATCCGCAAGTTGTCAAGGCATCAAGGAGTGGCACATAGCGCAAGACTGCAAATCGTCTCCAGATTGCAGGGATTTGGGGGTCAGGATTACACGCTACACCTTGAAACCAGGCCCTTGCCCGCAAAGCCTAAAAACCACAGCTAGAACACAGGAGCGTTGCAGCTCACTTAAATTTAAGTTGTATATAGTTTCTCATGATAGCATACCCCAGACCTACAAAGGACCCTTCAAAGCCTTTGTGGTATCAGGCCTCCCGACGAAGATCCTCCGCCTGATGGTGCGCAAGTCGCCGTGCGGCGAAGGCGACACTGCTCCAAATCGCTGGTCATTTGAAGGGTCTTCTTTCCTGAAACAGTGTAAGGGTTACTATACGGGTCCGCATAGTGTTTAGATAACCTATAGGACCTATAGCTCAACATGGACAGAGTTTGCAAATCATGTATCACATAGACAACCATGCACACACATACTCGTATTTCTTTCGGGGATGGCCTGCGCTCTACGTGGTACTTTGAGTCACAGACTTATGGGCACAGATACTGTTGATTCTGCTCATGGGTGTTGGGGGTTGTGTCTCCTGGGTTGACACCAAACCCTAAGCCCTGAACTTGAAACCCCCAGCCCTAATCATGAAGGTGTCTCAGCATCCATGGGGCTTCGGGTACTTTGTGAGATCCTGCCTACAGGCTGGTTGTTGAAGTTTCGGGAACATGTCAATGCAAGGACCGGATCGGAGAAGACTTTGCTTTCCGAAGGCCGTGAGGGGAATGAAATCTCGATAGGTCCCTGCGCCACCCTATAAAATACATGTGTCCCCTACTCTTATGCATCATTGGCAAATGGCATGAAGAGTCCCGGAAACGTGATTCTGGTCCTGCGATTGCTGTACTGCAGGCTTTCTGCAGAGAGACAAAGGTTGAACTACCGGATAGCAGAGCTTCCGTGTCCACCATCAGGGCTACATTTCTGATCATGACTCTTGCCCAAAATGGGACCCTAAACCCAAAAACCTCAAACCAGGTACCAACACCTTCGATCGCTGGGAGATGCGAATCCACAAGCGCCTGATTGATCTGCACTCCCCCTCGGATGCGCGCCAACTCAGTTGCTGGTTCTCACTGTGGGAGGGTTCACATCTAATTCCTACATTCCGTCCGTTATACCCGTAAGGACGAATTAGAAAACGTGAATTTCGAAGATACTCCAGAAGGGCCCGGAGAATGGAATGAAGGAATCTAGACGAAAGTGTAGAGTATAGCATACCGTAAAGGCTATGTAGCACTATGTAGACCCTGAGCTGGCGGCGTAGCTGCTTTGGGGGTCGGGGTCACTCCTTCCTTCTTACCTTGCCCTGTCAGTGGGTTCCTTAAGATTTCTCGGAGCTTCCAAAGGCAAAATGTGGGGGGGGTTTCCGAAAGTAGGGGACCCCACTATACTAGCCTAAATGGTAGGATCCTCATTATAAGGACCCCGAATAAGGTGCCCCTAATTTTCAGACTCCCATGTCTTGATAGGCTGTTACCTCCAAGGTTTTGGATCGGCTTAGGGCTTGAAAAATAGGGCCGTGTTGGTTGGAGGGCGGCTGTGCAGTGTATCGTGGTATGTATATCTTTACAGGAGTTAAAATGAGATACAGTTGTCAATTGTGCAGCCGTCTATGTTAACTGATAGGCTTTGTCCGTGTGCTGTTTTACAGACGGCACCGGTGCATACCTTTGCGCAGGAGCCAGGAATCTGCTGTAGACTGCCATCCCGGAATAGACCCCAATGGGGAACAAATTCTGTTCTGCGCTGCAGTTCGACTCGGCTCATAGATTTTATGGATTTGGGTTTGTGGGGAGGGGGGTGGATCAGTGGGGCTGAGGTCACGAAGTGTTCGGCCATTTGCAAAGCATCTTCACATAGGTGCTCTTGACATCAAGAATATCGTTTGGACCATCCATACGGCAAGAATTTTGCAGCAGTACACTCAGTCAGGTTCAGTGTCACATCACCGTCATGGAAACCTTTGAAGCCCTAAGCCCTTTAGCCCTAGATGCTCAAACCCCATATCTATATATCTTAAGCGCCTAAACCTACACAAACCTAAGCCTGCAACCGTACAAGTACGCTGCAAGCTCACGATACGATCCAAGGAGACCCGGAGGTCGAAGACCCCAATCCTCACAGGGGGTCCTGCCTTTAAGTAGGCCTTACGAGACTCTTCTCCGGTCCTTCGTAACGCAAGTTTTGAGTCATATAGAAGCCGGAATGAGTATTACTAGCAATACTATTCCTTAAGGCCTTACGGTTCCAACCTAAAGTTATAGGTATGGTGTAATATACCCCAAAGGCCTTTTCGACTAATTAACTACTGCTCCTGTATTGTTAATTACGCCGGGGCTGGCTGTTTTATGCTTTGGCTGTCTGGGATATGTAAATCGGTAAGAGGTATACCAACCCCGCAAACGAGGCTGTAAGTCAAAGGTTCATGATTCTGCAACCTACTGATGACCATGTACCCATACTCATGTCATCATGTTAGATCACCAGTTATGGTAATGGTAGAACTGAGAACATGATTTACCACAATAGGTGCAATGCCAATATACTTCTTGTCTTTATACGTACTTATTCAAGGGGGACATATACTAAGAAAGCATACTAAGGAACCCTAAGGTGTAGGTGAAGTCGGTGAAGTGGGCTAGGCCCAAACCTCCGAAGTAGCGTTGAATGCTCAGAACTAGATTGGCCGCGGTGCGAGGTGGTGAAGCAGATCACCTCTATCTCTATCGAGCCTGCACCTCAGAAGAGGAAGGAGAAACCGGAACCCCAAAGCCTAAACCTGACATAAAGCCCAAAAGGCTTCAAAACCCTAGAACCCTCACCCAACGCCCCTCAATCCTTAGTTCCTACACACTCATGTGGCTGAAAAGATGGATCACTTCTACACCTTTGGGAGCGTTGCACTCTTTTGAGTCATTCAGGCCCAAATCCCACGCCCTGAGTTAAAACATGTTAAACAACGCAAACGGCAAAGAAGCCCTAACACACTGAAGCCTTGCACTCCGTCAGCCTGTGCCTGAATGCCTTGCACAAGCCCCGAAATACAAAAGCCCAAAAAACCACGACTTTAAACCCTAAGCCGCAAAACCCTAATGCACTAAACCCTACTCGAAGTGTAGCGCGAAGTGTTCGTCCGTGATTCTGAGGCCGTAAACTACCTTTAGATAAGCAGCCATTCCTAAAGAATGCCCGAGTCCTGTCCCTCCTTTTTAGACGGTATATAGCAAAAAACCGAAGCTTCGACAACCTGATATGGAAACCACAAACTCTAAATTGAAGCCCTTTAGACAAGTCATAAATTCATCCGAGAGGCCCGGTGTGGAAGTCGCCCGGAGCCCAGCGACGCCTTGTTTAGGCTTTAGGGGCTTCTGGCTTTAAGAGGTACCGTGTTCTGATGTTTTAGTCCTTCTTCTCTTCGGGTTACGGTTCATTGGGGAGCGGAAGCTTTCGGCGAAGGCTTGAGTGTCGCGAGGATGTAGGCTTCTAGTTCAGGGCTGCGGCTTTGCCTTTGAACCCTACGCCTGCCCGTCCCACCTTAAGTTTGAGACTTATAATAGTGCTTCGATGCGTCATGTACCAGAGAAGGTGGCTTTCGTGCGGCGCAAATAGAGTTCAAGGTCGAGGGTTTCCTCGTCAGGATATTTGAGGAGTTTGTGGGATTCTGTGGGGCTATGGATCCTGTTGATTGGTAAGACTTCGCACGGTTTCGGGTCTTTGCAGGGTTTGATGGGATGAAGAATCGCTGTGTTTCAGCTACCTGCGCTTGTGGTCTCATCTCGAACCACCCGAACATCGCTTGGTGAAGACCCAATCAGTTTAGGCCCGCAGTCCAAACCTACCCTGAGTTTGAGGCTTGGGCATCGAGTTTGACCGTAACATAGAGATTCTGAGCACTGGTAATAATCTCCGCATATTCTGAGAGGTTATAGTATGCTGCTTGCACGCATAAGCACAGCATGCATTCATGCATGCATGCATGTAGTAGATAGGTACCTGTGCATGGCCGTACATGTATGTATGTATGCATGCATGCATGAATGCATGCCAGCACACATCTAATTCACGAAGTCACGAAGACCCCTGTGAAGCTTTTGAAAGGTGGAACGACCCCGACTCTTTCCTAGACATGTGTTGCTACACTCCAAAAGAACCCGAATCTTGAACTCCGGGGGAGTGTTCCCGAATGTACCGGCCTGAGGCCCCTTACGTTTTCTTGGGTTCCTGTACTATGAACTTTCAACCTTCCAGCCTCCACCACTCACTCAAGTCCTGGGTCCGAGGTCCTAGCAACCCGGTAAACCCCAGATCCTCAAACCCCAAACCCTAAACTCTATCCTCCAATCAACCAGTGCTTGAAAGCGCGAAGCTCATAGTTCTTAAGTTGAAGTCTTGAAGCCTAAAACAATGCCCAGGAAGTCACCATCGCAGACTTGTGAGAGAGGCTACGAGGGGTTGGAGCCTTTAGCAGTGGCACGGAGGAGCGCGAGAAAAGAGGCAACCGAGCTTTCAGGCTGGAAGCCAACGTCTGCTTCAAAATCTGTCTATATATATATATATAATCTAGGCGCCGATATCATTGGAACAGTGATACCTTGACGGGCTTGCTTCTTAGTGGGTCTGTAAGAGCTTCTACAAGGGTTTAAGTGTCATATTACACAAGCGACAGGTACCATGGCCTTACAGAGCACAGCCGGGCTGTAGGGTATGTCGTGCTATAAAGTAGACTCATAACCCTAAGGACCAGTGCTAGCTACATAGTAGAATTGCCAGTGTGATTTGAGTAGGTATCCCGGATTTGCTAGCATGATTCGTGTAACTATCGCAACTATCCGCCCATATAATCACTTAGGATGCTTGGGAGAAACTAGTCTGAGGGTCAAAGGCTAGGGATTTCGGGTTGGGATTTTGGGTTTAGGTTGCTGGGCTCAGGGCTGAGGGCTGAAGCGGTGTTGGCTTCGAAAGAGAATATTGTGCGTGGGACTGGCCTTGGAAAGTGTGGCGGTGGTGGTGGTGGTGGTGGTGGTGGTGGTGGTAGTGGTGATAGGGGTGGTGAGGGGTTGGAGTCTTACCTCCGTGGGCCAGGATACCCAAAAGCCTTCATTGCAAAGGCGGTAGCTCAGTCGGCTCTGGTTACTCCACCTGCACATTGAATGATTGCCTTGCAAGATCTCTTCAGACGCTTACTGGAATCGAAATAGCTCCGTGCGGCAATCCTATAGTAGTTTTCTCTACTGCATGAGGGTGATAGAAACAAGAGCCGTAGAGCAAGCCTCATTTTGTCCATCCTTCCAAACAGTGGGAGTCGTATCATAGTTTAGGGCTTTACACCCCGACCCCTTTGCGGCCATGCAGGATGCAGTTAGGTGGACCTTCTTTGTGCTGTAATGTAGGAACCTGATTAAGAAACCCTGGCCCTATGACCCCGAAATGTTAGGATCCATATAAGGAACCTTAATGAAGACGCAGGGTTTCTTAATCAGGTTCCTACAGCATCCTTGGAGCCTCAGGGTTCGATCCTGCGGACATGTGGCTCCGTTCAGGGTCCTTCGGGTAGCCAGCCATCTCACGGCCACAGCCATGGCGTCGGATCCTCAGCTTATGGCTTGATTTTTAGGGTCTAGGTTCGCTAAATTTGAGGTTCCGAAAATGGGGGACCCACCTGTAGTACCCTAAATTGTAGGATCCTTATCATAAGGACCCCAAAATAAGGTACCGATAATTTTCGGAGACTCAAATGGCCCTGCATAGTGCAGGTTTGAAAGCTACGCCCGGCCGGGCTTTTAGTCGGGCCAAGGGGTCATCTGTAGTTCATCAAAGGGGAAAAGGAGGGACACTTCATGGGGACCCCTACCCTAGAATGGGCTATGTAATGGGTATATCATAGCTATATTAAGGGGTATATACCTAGGGGATTGATCTTCGGATGCTCTCCAAGAGTTTTTTCGCTGCGTCAGGGGCTCCCAGCACTAAACTCGGCAGTTTACACTGAAAACTCGTCGTCCAGATTCCATGGGTATCCACAATTTCAAAGAAGGGAACCGTAATCAAGCAAAAAAACCCAAAACTCGAATCGAAGCCTTCTGTAACTTCCAGGACCAAGCCGGTTAAGTCTCTCGAGTCCGAGGAGCAACGTGCGGAACTCAGGTGAAACCGCGACGGCTGTAGGCTGTTTAGGGTTTAGGGGCTATCCGTTAAACCAGGACTGAGTCACAGGTTCTGAACCCTGCTTGCAGTCTTCAACAGCTGGCTTCTCCAGTATGGCAGTTGTCAAGAAAACATGTCTGAATTTCCAAGAGCTAAATATGCCAAGAAAGACGGACAAATCTTTAAAGCTGAAGAGGGCATAATGATATTCGGTGCCATCACGCGAACTGCCCAACCCGCACAACGCGCCCTTAGTTTGCAACGGCATTGCAGGGGCGCAGATGTCAACTTCCACCCGCCTTGTCCCCATTTTCGGACCGACAGCCTCCAGCAAACTGAAATCCAAACCTAACAACCTAACTCCAATCAACAGCGCGAAAGCCCAGACTCCCTTTATTTCGAAAGCCTGATAAGCGTTTCGTCTATCAGGTCTCCACCGCATCCGCATCACCCTGAGCAGCCGTGATGCTTGAGTCTCAGAAGGTATTGCATAACACGGCCTAAACCCCCAAGCCCCTAAGCACCCTGAACCAGAACAACCCTAAGCCCTGAAGGCCTCACCTCAAACAGTTTCCTAAACTCTGAGATGTCTTGTTTCGTAGCCGGTTACGACTGCGGAAGATCGGGATTGCGGGTTTGGGGGGGGGGGGTTCTACCCGGTGGATCTTAAGCTCTGCATCAGCACTAGATGCTAGAAAGTGGAGCTGCAGGTCAAGGCCCTGGAGAAAGTCTGCACCGACCTGGTGACTGGCGCCAAGGCGAAGGCAGCAACGAAAGGGTTCTTGGGGTTCGGCGTAGGGTTGCTTGCTTGATTGCTATGTCTATGTTGGTCATGAATGAATACATTACAATAAGCTGCATCAGTAGCGACTGGTCATAGTTGTACCGTTGAACAACCCAACTACCAATCAAATCAATCCATCAATCAGTCAGTTAGTCACTCATTCAGTCAGTCACTCACTCAAGCCAGTCAGTCAGTCAAACAATCAATCAATCAAGCAAGCAAGCAACCAGCCAACCAACCAACCAACCGATCACTCAATCAATCAACCGGTGAGTTAGTCATTTTAATGTCAGTCAATGAAGCGGCCAACCCATCCCCCGCATTCATCCATCCATGCATGTATCCCATCCTTCATTCAATCGGCGACATACTCATATTAGGTTGAATACACCAACCCAGTCACCAATATCTATGATTGGCTGAATGGTTGCTGGCTGCTTGTAATATAGATAGACTTACAGATCGATACATGGATGGATAGATCGATAGATCGGCCGGTAGGTAGATAGATGGGTAGATAGGTAAGCAGACGGATATACAGGTAGATAGATAAGTAGATAGTCAGAAAGTTAGACTGCTAGTTATAGATAGATAATAGATGGAAAGACTGGGTAGATAGACAGACAGATAGCTACATTTGTATGCTCGTAAGGACCCTCAAAACTGCAGCCGCCGCTTTCCCTGCAGCTGCAAGAACCATCGTCTACGCGCGCAGTGGTACGTCGACCCCTGACTGATGATCCCTTTCCTGCAATACGCATGACGATAGCGATCTCAGTATGGGAGTTTCCGGAAATTAGGGGTGCCTTATATTTTGGGGTCCTGGTAATAAGGTGCCTACTATTTACGGTACTATATAAGGGTCCCTATTTTCGGAAACTCCCGTATGCATGCCCTTGCAAACAGGTTGTTCTTTGTCAGCGGTCTACATGAAGGGCTTAATGATGGTTTCTTACAGCGCAGTATGCTTACCTCATTTACCGGTCTTCAGACGAAGTATCCCGTGGATATAGGGTCTGCATATCCGCTGGACATAGATGGTGGTTTCCGAAAACAGGGGTACCCTAATATAGTACCCTCAGCAGTAGGATCCCCTAAGTTTCGGAAACCCCCATACCCTGAACCCTAAACCGTTTAGGGTGCGTGCTGCCTCAACAGTTTCTCGAGGAGCTTCTAAGGCTTCAGGTCTGTTTCGGCTCCGTTGGGCTTCAGCGTTCTGGGGTTGTCAAGCGCGCCCAAAGGGTCCTAGGTACTGCTATGGAGAATACTCTCCCAACTCACATTAGTAATTCCTAATATAGAAACCCTACATTCTACTATAGAGGTACTTTGGACCGTTTGGGACGGTAGAGGTTACGTGCCGGTATTGAGGGTTGTAGGCCAGGGCAGACATGAAGTCCTATGCCATTTTTTGAAGCTCCCCAACCCTCAACCCTTCGTCAGCCCTAGTCTTCGAAACTGAAAAGGGCCGCCCTAAACCTTGGCCAGAAGAAAAGCGTCCAGAACCAAAAAGCACCAGCTCCTCGGACCTGCGAGGAGTTGAAAGTTGCCGGACCCATCCGCCGACACCTTAGTTGCTGTTTGTGCAGGGCTTATGTTGCAGGGTCAAGGTTAGGGTTCGGGATTCAGGGTTTAGTTTCTAGGGTCAGTTTTTTGGGGAGTGTTGGGTTTTGGGTGAAGGATCAAAGTGGTCCTTGGACGTCGACATCCTGTAAGAGCAACAGAGCCCTTCACCTGGGAAGCCCAGACACCCTCAACCTCAGAGGTGCACATAAATACTATAGGGGCCCAAATCAATACAAATACTGTTTTGGGGGTTCCTGACTGTATTTATAGTATAGTGGGCTGCCGTTGAGATCTGGATTTGGAGGTCATGCTTGTGACACCGTTTGTGGTTTAGTGTCGCTGACATCCGACAGGGTCTAGGGCGTAGAGTTTACTTTTGTACCCCGGCAGGTTCTGACAGCTTCGTTCTGAACAGTATCCAACCCTTTGAAACCGTGGTAGCTGGAGCCACAGGTCTGCCATATCAACACTAAACCCGAAGCCCCGGCAGCCCCGAGGCCCTAAACCCTTAGACCCCTGGAGCCCTAAACCCTATAAGCCCCATGTGGTGCTCCGGTGCTTTAGATTTAGATGCATGGGTTCACCAGGCCTCCCCACGAAGATCCTCCGGCTGATGGTTCGCAAGTCCCCGTGCGGCGAAGGCGCTTCTCCTGAGATCTCCTGAGTCTTTCAGACGAGGGCTTTGGGAATTCCGGGGTTTAGGGATTCCTACCTTAAAGCCAACATTCAAGGGTTAGGGATTCGGGGCTGAGGGCCTTTGAACCCTGAAAACCCTGAGCTTTAGAGGGTTTAGGGTTTTTGTTGTTCCCTCTGAGGCACCCTCAACCGCGAAGTACACATCCCAAACAATTGAGGAGTTTAAGATTGATGGTTTCCGGGCCCGGCCCCACCTTAAATTTCGCAAATCACAGGTCTGCTCAGACTGTAGGTGTTCATAGCCGCTCGAACTGTAAACTCGACATGGAAATACGCAGAGCCGTTTTTTCCATGGCTTCTTTCGAGCCTGGCCATAGCTTTCGAGCCTGGCCATAGAACGAGCCCGATTCACGCTTCAAATTGCCATAACTATGTGCGAATGAGTGAGCTCCTCTCCTACCAGCCGCGGCGGCATCAACAAAGCAACCCCGAAACGAAAGCACAAACATGCGTGAACATAAGCAACCTAATCCCTAGAGCCCTAGATGCTCTTGTATGGTGTACCCCAAACCATACTCTACCTGATTAAGGCCCCTATATTAAGTCAGGCACCAACACCTTCGACCGCTGGGAGATGCGAATCCACAAGCGTCTGATCGACCTCCATTCGCCCTCTGATGTGCCTCGCGTCAATCATGTAATGCCTCAATTAGTTTAGGGCTTTAATAATTGGAGCAGAGTTTGGGGGGGTCAGTGATATAGGGGCCTAAATCCAGGTCCAGGTTTAGGTGTTGTTGGGGATTCAGCTGTGGGTTACAGGGTGTTTATGGGGTTGGGGCTTCCGGATTTCCGAAGCCACCGCTTTCTTCCCACACCTGGCATTGTGTGCCGGAGCTTTCTCAACCCCAAGGGTTGAAACGTGAAGTTCTGGATTCTGGACTCTGCAACCCCGGACCCTACATGTTCAACCCTGGAAGATTACAAGGTGGTGAAGCAGATCACGTCCATCTCCATCGAGCTTGGCGCTCAGAGTTGCAGCTTGAGGGTTACGGCCGGTTACGGCTCAGGGTGGAGGGTCACCTTCGAGCTTCACCTGCAGGTACAAGGAAGAAGGTGTCTTACGTTGAGTTATATCCAAGTAGCTACGTAAAGTTAGAGTCCGGGGGGCTGTGGGAGTGCACCTTTTTCCACAAAATCTAAGTATCGCATTGTCGAGCCACCTAATGAACCACCTGCGAGAATAGGATACAGGCACACGCACACATACTTAAACGAGCATTCATTAAACTTTTTTTTACACACATGTATACCAAGGTATGAGTACACAACCGACATTCTTTCTTTCTCGTTCGCAAGCTGTTATATCGTTGCCACGGAAGCTCAAACGGTCTTTCTTGGTTCTCTCGTTTCGTATCTCTGAAGCCATGTCGGAGTTTCGTGGTGATCATATACCAGGTTTGCTTCGTGAACTTGGAGGGCGGGATGGCGCACTTACATTCGATGGGGCTATCATGCGCATATATATATATATATATATATATGCAGAATAAAGATATACGGATGAATGTATATACATATGTCTATATATGTATATATCCATATACATATAAGGATATATATATATATATATATATACCCTCATATGTATGTGTGACATTGTGCATAATAGAGAGCTCGGCATATGTATAAATATATATATATATGTACTTATGAATATATATATATATATATATATATACATATATATATACATATATATATATATATATATACATATACATATATATACTAAAAGTGCCTTACATTAATCGACAAATGTCGACTTTTCACTATTCATACATAGTTACATACACATATCTGTGTGTGGAGCATGCTTCTAGATGTAGTACAAACTTATGATCTATAAATGATATTTTATTTGATTATATTCCTATTATTATCACCAACCATGCCTTTTGCATTAATACTCTTATCAATACATTTTAAGATAATAACCGAATATTCAATCCAAATAAAGACAACAATAGCACTAGGTATACGAAACTTTTCAATACACACCAAACCGATATTCTATAGATTACCAGCAAAAATTGCGTTGTAAAGTGGCACATACATGTATATATCATATTTTAATTATAGTCATATTCAGAAGAATAATCGGAATATAGAAAGCATATTGGATTACCAGCAACAAATGCGTTGTAAAGTGGCACATACATGTATTTATCATATTTTTATTTATAATCATATTCAGAAGAATAATCGAAATATAGAAAGCATATTGATATGTGGACAAGCTAAACATATAAATCAATGAACAAATCCTCTAACAAGAACGAAATATAATTTAACATACAAGCATAATATGTTCTTTAAGCTTATAAAGTTGTTGGCCAATACAATATATAGATATGCACCCATTTAGGAAAGCCTAGGTCTTCCAAATAATTGACTTCATATAGAGATTTATATACAATAAGATAACATATAATCAAAATTATGAAAATCGACAATAACGAACCAGTATCGTAATAACGAACATGAGATTAAAGATAAAACTTCTATTAGTATCCAATTACGATGTTTAAAATTAGCAAATATTTTTCTTATACAATAACGTTATGATAAACAAATAAATAATTATACAAACAAATGAAATAAACTAGATTCACTAATTATGCCTACAGTTTTTACTTACGAAAGAAAACAAGGTTTCGCATAGAACAGTACCAGTATTATATTTTTTATATCAACACAGTTTACACATGCATTTCAATAATCGGTACTCATACATATTCACAAATATATACCTATATATATAGATAGCACACATGAATACTTACATATTTCCCACGCACAGGTATCTATACACATCCAAGTTTTCTAGTATACTAAGAAGAGCCTATGTGAGATTGAAATAAGATTGAATAACTATACCAATTTACAACAATATAATCACCAGTACTGTGCACTTCATCTTTGTTTTGTTAGAAAAATAATCACAAAAACTAATTATCGGCGAATCGGTATCTACCTATATATTTCAGAGACCAATTTAATACTCCTCGTATTAGCACTAAAAATGGTAGTTACTGTAAAACAAGCGGAGTTCGACAGATAATTGATCGCTATATCACGCAGGCGCCGAGTAGCCTACAAGAATGACAAAGGCATAATTAATGAATCTAGCTTATTTCATTTGTTTGTATAAGTATTTATTTGTTTATCATAACGTTATTGTATAAGAAAATTTTTTCCTAAATTTGAAGACTGTCATTGGATACTAATAGAAGTTTTATTTTTAATCTCATGTTCGTTATTACGATGCTGGTTCGTTATTGTCGTTGTTCATAACCTTGATTATATGTTATCTTATTGTATATAAGTCTCTATATGAAGTCAAGCAGGGATACCCAAATAGCAATCCATATAGAACTATGCAGTATTTGCTTGTGTGTGTACGATATGAAGTCTGCACTCAAGGTGACGTCGCTGTAGTTTTGATGCGCCTCGCATACCCACAAAGCTTCTCATCATCCTGAGAACAAAAAATGCTGATGTGCAAGTGTGGTATTTCGCACTGCTATCTAGTCGTATACGTTGGCCATGCTACTTTATGTCCCTGGGAGTGCGCATCTGCCGTGATTTACGCGCGAGTCTTTCGAAAAAACCAAAAAAATAAAAAAAAAACAAAGAAACCAAGAAACCAACAAAACCAAAAAAAACAAAGAAACCAAAAAAAACAAAAAAAAACAAAGAAACCAAAAAAACAAATTATCAGAGGCTCCTGGACTGAGGTGTCCATGGCCGGAGAGTGTCAGATCTTTGGTTTTTTTGTTTTTTGTGGTTTCTTTGGTGTTTTTGGTTTTTTTGTGTTTTTTGGTTTCTGTGTTTTTTTTGTTGTTTCGAAAGACTCGAGCGTAAATCACGGCAGATGCGCACTCCCAGGGTCCCCCGTTCTGTAAAGTTACCGAGAGAGACCCCGAAAAGCCTCTGTGTTCCGGGGGTGAAAACCAGGCCAGTGTAGACCCAGTGAAGGTGTGTTTGGCTCCACCGAGTTGCCTAACGGATAAGCTCACTTCCTGGATCTCTTCAGACGCCATAAGTAAGAGAGGGGACCTAACAACAATTCGAAGGGCTAGAGGCTGGTTTAGAAGTTTATATGCGCCAGGAGCGGATGTTTGGATTACTGACTCTTCTTACTTACCTGTACTATTTTGGGGAGGCTCCTTATCATTTTAATCATGGTATAATGGGCCCCAAAACCCTGTTATAATTATTAAGGCCTCAAGCACTAGCTTTCCAGGGCTGTTTACGTATGACTTAGGGCAGGGTTGTAGAAGGAAGGCATAAGGGTTCTATTTGCGTTTCAATCTTTAGAGGGGAATTACGGGTGTCATCGGGTGTTTCTGTGTGTTCAATCATGTTTGACCAGGGTTCCTGTTTATGTTTGGGGTATGGAGTGGCCACAGGGCCAGGTTTGAGCGGGCATAGGGCAAGCCTTTTGGGCTTTCATCATCAGGTTGGGTTTTATTGGGTTCTACCAAGGCTCGATAAGGTTCTGAACCAAGCTCACAGATTAGAACGATTGCAAAAAACAGCAACACATTGAACATCGCGTTCATATGGCAGTATTACTTATCATACAAAACATATCACAATAAACAAAACCCTGAGTGTTAAACCTCTCACTACGCACTAACCCCTTCAACCGAAATTTGAAACCCCAAACCCCTAAGCCTCACAAACCCCCAGACCTCTAAAAACCTTAAACCCCCGAACCCTAAACCCTAAACCCCCAAGCCTCACAAACCCCAACCCCTGAAACAGAAACCGCAAAACCGAAAGCTAAGGCCTGGCGTCGAAGTTGCCGGCGGCCCAGAGGGACCTTTTTCATGGAGAAGGGGGTTGGGGGGAAATGTTTAGGGCTTTTAGAGTTTAGAAGGGCCCATAGACCTTCTGGGGTTTTTAGGGTTTAATAGGGTTTAATTCGGTTTATGGGGCTCATAGGGTCTATAGGATTTGTAGGGGTGTTTGTTACAAGGGTTTGTAGAGGCTTCACACAGGGTTTACTGTTTTTCATAAGCTTTACGAAGGTGTGTTGTAAGGTTGTCTGAACGCTTTTAGACAGGTTCCAATTGGTTTTGTAAGGGCTGTAGATGGGATGCTGCAATTCCTTTTTTGGATTCGTTGGGGCCTAGGGTGGTTCAGGATTTTCAACGAGGGTTGTTAAAGGTTTTTTTCTGCACGGGCCTACATTAGGAGGGTCCAGCGCAGCTACTAGTAGGTGCAGCAAAGCGATGGAGCATGGAGCCGTAGGGTTTCTGGCATCGGGCCACAAATTTCTCTTTGGTCTTCACCCCCAGTGCCTAAGACAAACTAACCTCCAAAACTTTGAGTGCCTCGAAAATTTCCGGCACAATGCAGCAGCTTTGGGTTAGTCTTTACCTCTATGACCAGAACCCTTAGAACCTAAACCCTGCACCCAACTCTGCAGTTAAAGTCGAAGACCTTAAACCCATCACCATGTGAGCCCTGATCCCCAAACACTGAACCCTTCAACACATTAAAGTCTTCGGATAGCTGAGGAGGTGACCATCGCAGACCTGTGAGCGCGGCACTTTGAGGACTCCTTAGCTGCAGTGGCCCGGCGGAGGAGAAGCAAAAGGAGTGTTGGGATAGTTTGATGGCCGCGGTGATTTCGAGTATTGACACTGCCTTGTATAGCTCTACTACTACAATTACATACGATCTTAAGGAAGAGAAGAAGCAGCACAGGGTGTGAGACAAGGGTCAGTTTTTTTGGTTTCTTGAACGTTTCGCTTTTGAGTTTACCTGGGGTCTTTAGTGTTGTTTTGTAAAGGGGCGCTGACACTGTTGCTGTTCCTTGTCGTTGGAGTTGGAATTCGAGTTGTGTTTGTGGTGGTTGTTGTTGCTGTTGCCGTTGCTGTGCGTTTTTGGTGGCAGGGTTTCATCGTCAAGGTGCGTGGTACGCAAACTGTGTCAATGTTACTGCCCTGCATAAGACAAGGGCTCTCGGTGATGACAGTTGTGATCTCGGTATAACTCGGTATGATATGATCATGTCGTTGGTGATGGTGAGAAGGACGAAGCTGATGACAGTTGTGTTCAGTCTAAGCTACGCCGAACACGATGGTCATCACCGTCTTCCCCTTAATCATAAGTGTCATATTTTTTAATCGCCTCTCTACTTGCGATAGCGTTACTGTTTCAGCTGCTCACCTTCAGAAAGGACTAATTATATAGAGTCGTACTATAGGGGCCTGAAGAATTGTCCATACTATTCGGTGGTTCCCCAGTATAATTACAGTGAGATGGGCCCCAAAACCCTATCTAATTATTAAGGCCCCTACATTTATGTAGATCCATGGGCACCATGGTTTCCTGCATTGAGGTTTGGGGCGAAGGATTCCGAACATCGTAGCGCACACAGGAAAATTACTAGTTCGATCAGCCTCACCGAAACCCGTCGTCTTGCGATGTATACTCCAAGGTTACCGGATACAAGTCGTACGACATGGCACTATGTAGAAGCTACGACCAGGAGTTGTAGCAGCAGAAACCTGAGCAGAGCTGTCAGACTTGAGCTTCCAGGTTTGAGTTTGGGCTTTAAGCTCACGTCTAGCTTTGTTCAATTACGTCACTGTAATTCGTGGAGCATGAGCAGAAATGTTTGTCTGTTCCCATAGAATTGTACCGATAAGGTGTGTATTGTGGACATCTCTTGCAGAGGCTTCAACCTGTGGCACACCAACCGATAGTGGTCGTAGGCGGTGCAGGCTGGCTTTACCCAATGCTACAAAGCCGATATTCACGTTGGGACATTGGGTTGACCTTCACGGGGATGTGTGTGCTCAAACACCCTTCGGCCCATGCTCCTTGCAATGAATCAGATTCAACCATAAGCCCTAATTAGACCATTCCGGAAAACAGGAATCCCAAGGTCCAACAACATGCTCCGACATACGGATGCTTTACATTGACATGAGTTTTACAGTTGTTACATATTTGGGCTCAGGGCCTTATGCATTTCGTGTTTGAGAGTTTAGGAAGACCTCGACAAGCCGAATCTGTAAATCACCGGTCACGCTCCATGGAAGCCCCAAAAAACCCCCCAAGCCGTCACACCCGCCATGGAAACCCTCGAAGCTCCAAGCGACGCATTCTGATGCACGACCTTGGGTTTGATCAGCTGGCCATGCCAAGGCGCCGGGCTGCGGGATACTGTAAGGGATACGGTCAGGACTACTAGAAGGGATACAGTACCTATGAGGGATACTACAAAGAGATATCAAAATGGTTTGATAAGTTATCGGGCTGTGGGGCAGGGTCTCATACTTCGCAAAAGGGTTGAGGGATTTTGGTTTCGGGCTTTGAGGGTTCATGCCTGCAGGGCCCAAGGGGGTGTCATCCAGAGCTTCTGGTTTCAGTGTTTGGGGCCTAGGTGCAACACAATGGCATTCGAACTACCGTAGAATCTGTAGAATACTGAGTTACTCATCGAAGGCTTGTCGAAAAGAAAAGGAGCACAGTAATGGTTGCAGAATGGCAATACATGCCAGGGCCTGGATACCTTAACCCCTAAACCCGATCCTAAGCCCCAATCTGTGGAGAGCTCAGGAGAAGCGGTAGCGACAACAGGGAACTCTGATACAGGGGTCTCAAGGTAGAAGTAGGGCTTGGAAATAAGGATACAATAAATTATAGGGACTACGCGGGTAAATTGTTACTATTGTGGGAGATATAATGGACATGATTTTCACGAACCCCTCGAGCGAGATGTTGCAAGAATCTATCACAGCCAAGCAGAGTTTAGACACGGCTATCAAGGTCAAAGGTTTTTTCGAGGCAAACCGCAGGTTGTGAGCACGGAAGTCAAGACGATACTCGCATCAAGTTCTGAGCCTAGGTGTCCTCTGGGATAACTTGATTGGCGCCCGTTACCAAGTCCCCCCAAGTCCAAAATCCTCAAGTCGTCAAACACCTCAAACCTTTATACATCCGTGAACCCCGAGCCCTAAACATGAGGTCCCTTAAGGCTCAGATTTGGTCTGCATCCCTCCGTGAACCCTGCGCCTTTAGAGAACCCTCATCCCTTATAGATCCCTCCTAGAACATGGAACCGTGAGGTCAGCCGTGAAACCCATGTGCTGCAGGCAGTTGTCACATGTCGCTTTCGACAAGGTCGCAGTCACCCAGGCCAGGGTCATGTTTAGAAAACTAACGGCTGAGGGTGCTCAGGGTGTTTCGGATCTACTGGTAGCTTAGGGTTTCGGGTTTACGGGTTCAGGGTTTGACAGGTTTGGGTAGCTGCACTTCTCTTCAGCGTGCTCTTGGATGCTGCCTACGACTACTACTACTACTACTACTACTACTACTGCTACTGCTACTGCTACTGCTACTGCTACTGCTGCTACTACTGCTACTACTGCTACTACTACTACTACTACTACCACTACTGCTACTACTACTACTACCACCACTACCACTACTACTACTACTACTACTACTACTACTACTACTACTACTACTACTACTACTACTACTACTGCTACTGCTACTGCTACTGCTACTGCTACTGCTACTGCTACTGCTACTGCTACTACTACTACTACTACTACTACTGCTACTACTGTTACAACTACAACTACAACTACAATTACAAGTACTGCTACTACTACTTCTACTACTACTACTACTACCACCACTGCTCCACCAAGTCCTGTGAAACGATAAGGAGAAACACGCGCGATAGCATCATAACGGATGGACAGATTTCACACGATGTTTTTTCAACACCAGTTGCGTTCTCGCCATGGTGGTTTTTGTAGCCAGAGGGGTGCCCGTGAATGCCTTGCGCTGCGGGGTCAGGGTTCGCAGCGCAGCAAGTATTTTGCATCCTCTAGCCCGGGACATCTCTTCTGAACTACCATGACCTACTGCAACTCCTGCTTTTCGGAGAGCCTCGGAGAGCCCCTACAAGTTCGGAAGAAGCATAACCGTAAGCAGCAACGAACGTTATAGTCTTGGCAGATGTACTGTTAGGAACGAGTTGGGGAACTCGCAGTGCCTCCTTGTATAAAGCGCATGACGGTTTCCTGCTGCAGGAGCGACGCCTGCGTTCATAACATAAATGGATAAATAGATATTCATATCGACCTGGCCATGATTTTCCAGGAGTTCACGATTTGATCCTTAAGGCTTCGGGCCGGAGGTGATACCGCCTCTCGACCGGACTTTGTCCTGGTCACTTTCGACACCACTCCACTCCCAGGAGTTCACTTAAACCACGAGGATGCTGATGATGGTCCTCAAGCACAGACCAGGATTAGGTCTTAGTATATGAAGGCCCCACGAAAGCAGAAACTAATTTCACAAATCATAGTCTAGGAACCCCACCCCCCAAATCCGAAAATAGAAACCCCTGAACCCTAACACTTGTAACCCTCAAGTAGGAAGCCTAGACCTGACCTGTCAGCCCGCGGTAGAGCCTATGTCGTTGGCAGTCCATCTTCGGCATGCCCTCAATGGCCAACGGCCTTACCGTGCGCGACCTCTTGCGCGAGGCAGCTGGTTGAGGTCTTAGCCAATAGCAGTGATCTCATCGTACAGTCCCCTTCGAATTCATGACGATACTAAGATCTTCAAGGTTGGGGCTCTTAGGGCTAGGGTCAGGTTGTTGGAATATTTGGGTGCATGCACAGGTTCCTCATTTTCATTCAGGACCCCGCAATATTCGTAACCTTCCCCACCCCCATGTTGAGATGCGATGGTATGAAGGACGCCTTGATGTCTGCTAAAACCAGCGATAACATAGCTACCACCATCGGATCCTGGGCCTGATGTTTTCCTGCGGAGTAGCTGAACCCGTGTCGTGGGCGATATGTTTGAATCAGGTGTCCCGTTGGAGTGCCTTTCAGGATGTTAGAATGGCAGGGTCCTTCAAGGAACATCGCTCGTATCTATTTCGGTGGACAGTCATGCTGACAGTAAGAGTCCTGTAACAACGGGCCGTGTGCCCTGCACTAGTCTTTGACGGCAGTTGGCTTTGTATGGGGCGTTGCCACGCATGCACCCAAAACTCCCCAAGCCGGTGCCCCCTGGAAGGTGGGCATCTCCCTAGCAGATGCAGATGTCAAGGCTCACAGAGTCATGGGTGACTCGATCGCAGTTTCGTCGTCATAGTAGGTTGACTCCCCGTTTTGTTTATAGCCTTCTTTGATAGTTTGTGTATGCATATGCTGAAAAGTTCTTGTTTCGTGTCGTAGTCAGTATGTTATCTCTTCCTTACAATAACTGAACGTTCTTGCTTCGTAGCTGGAAAACTATCTCCTTTCGCAGTTATTGACTTGTTTGTTTGATTTCCCGTTCCTGACCCCGGCCATTTTGCAACCTTGATCCGTTGTGCCCTGATTTCACTCGTCCGGACTCCAAGATGTCCGAGTAGCTTCAGATGGGAAATATACATGATATACCGTTCTTTGTCCATAGGCTTCATCGCTCCTTTATGATTTCCTGTGCTTTTTTGCAGGGGGTTGTTTTGGGGTGCACGATAGCGTTTTCTTCTGCAAAACAGCACGCAGCCTGAGCTAGGGTTGATTGTGGATCACAGTTACAAGTATTGAATGTTGTTACACCGGGATTTAATGTTGTTGCGTCGGAAACGGCGTCAGTCTCGAATGTCTGTTTAGGTGTTGGATAAATCCTGGGTTTATGGAATAGGGGTTTCGGGTTGAGAGTTCCATCCGGTTCACGGCCTGGGTTGTCAAGCCTCACACCTGGCTTGAACCTTGGGTAAAGCCTTACTGCCCCAAAAATTATTCGTAACAGTTGGATATTATCTCTGATGAATATCTGACATATTATCTATATCTTAAGTAGCCCTGATTATGACCCCTCATATACACCGTTACAGGGCAGGGAACCCAACGTGCCACACCCAAAGCCCCTGAACCCTAAACCCTCAGCCCTAGGCACTACATCCCCTTCAGCCCCAAGGCAAAACCGTATCATAAGAGCCATGCCCAAAACCCTCAAATCCCACGAGCCCTCATACAGAATATCAAGGCCCTGAGCCGTTAAACTTTTAAACCCGTACAACACCCTACAGGAGTGAGCCTTAAACAAAAACCTAGAATTATTATTATTAGTGTATCACTATTATAGTATCATCATTATAGTATTATTATTCATTATTACTATAAACCCCAACAGGGGCCGTGACTAAACTCGACTAAGCCCTACACGCTTTAGAAAGGCCTACAGGAGACCTTCTCGTGAAACCTCGTAGAGATTGCTAGGACCCAGCAGAAAGTGCCCCGCAGATCGTCTTACTCTTCTTCTACAAGCTTTTTCGTACAAACCTGACAAAATGTCGCGACAACCTATTCAGAAGATGAGCAACTTCTTAAGAAGCCTAGGCCTGACCGACTCCCAGCGCGTTCGGATGTTTACTGAGAAGGCCCGTCGCTGTCTCCCTGACAGGCTGCAGAGGCTTAGGCTTAGCCTTCCTTCAACGGGTTTAGGGCTCAGGCACTACAGGGGCTGTTAGAAGGACTATTGGAAGGATTCGGAGTACTACAAGGCTTGTTTGAAGAATTGTTATGAGGGTTACTGTGAGGGTGACTCTACGGCTACACTTCTTAAAGGGTTCCTTAAGGGTGCTAAAAAGTGCCCTTAAGGGTTTCTTTTGCCTCACGATGCAATGCCAGAAGTGGATCCATTGTCAATTCCGAAAAGCCCAAAGCCTGTATGTTGACATCAGCGAAGCGCACTCTGCTCTCATTCTGCGCACCGCGGCACAGCTAGTGTCCGCGGCCTTGTTTGACCGCCTCCGTTGAATTGTTGCTGTCTTGTTTCTGTAAGCTTTCGATGCAGCGGTTCGCTTTTGTCATGCCCTGATACATGCTGCTCATCTTGCCCTAAATAGTCCCGAAAAGAAGTTGTGCTGTGGTGGTACGCATATATGAACACCCCCCCCTCCTCCAAGGCACTGGACAACATACAGCATGCGCGGGAGCTCCACTCGCAGGTGGAGGATTCGGCTTCCGCCTCAGGAAACTGGTGCTCAAGTCCGGACAAAGGCTGTTCCAGCATTATCTTACCTTTGGTTAGTAGGGAATGGAAGAACGGTAGTTATAGTAGTTATCGTTGTACCCCATTCTACCATTCCCTACTAACCAAAGGTAAGTTATTTCTGCAGATCCTGGCAGGCAATGACTGCTATCTTGGTATTGCAGCAACTCCGTTCCCCACATCTGCCCTCCCTCCCTTTTTTTCCGGCTCGCGACAAGCTTGCTTGCTCAGGCTTCTTTGTAAGTACGGCTGTCAGTGCCAAAGCCTCCTCCAACTAGAGTGCTCCAACCCGCTCTCAATGTACTTCTTTCGAAGCCCCTTAAACCTCTCAGCAAAGCACTGAACCCCTACAAGCCAAAACCCCAAACCCTGCCCTGCAAATCATTAAGCCCAAGAAGCCCGGAAATCGCCAACCCAGAATCGCGAAGCCCTGGCGCCCCTTGACAGACCCTGGAAAGCTCTTGCAAAGCCTCAGAGAGGTGGCAAACGTCGGCATTGGTGTACCCAGAGAGGAGGAGGACCCCATTCCATCATTCCATTGCCCTAAGACGCCTAAATGCTTCGAAGTAGGGCAGAAGCCTGAATACTCACTCGTAGGATCCCGTTCTAGCCGTCGAATGCCAGTTCTATTACACAAAGATGACCCAAAAGCCTGTTGGAATTATTAATACCGCTATACTGGGACCGTTCAGACTCCAAAGTAGGTACTACACCCCCTTCCCGTCAATTGTGGTAGTGGTAGGGATCCTAATGTTATAACGGCCCTTTAAGACAGGGGTTTATTCAGAACGAGTCCACCTTTTTGTCCGTATCCCTGGAGTCTTGGGCCTTGACCTATCAGGCTGTAACCTGAAAGTTAATGTTTAGGGTTCACGGTTGTTGGCGAGCTCGGAGCAAATGTGGCAGGGTTTATTGGGCTTCAAGGGTTAGGATGTCTTGGTGTTGTTCTTCTTATGGAGGGATTTGCAAAGAGCTTTGCACTTTCAGGAAGAGGCCAGGATTGCACAGGTCGAAGAGCCTTGGACTACCCTAAACCCGAAACCCGAGCCCCCAATTTACGGGTTTGGCCTTGGCAGGCTTAGTTTGACCTATCAGGCAGGCGTCGTAGGCTTAGAAGCATAGACCATTTGGTCTATGAGGCTGAAGGGTTACCGCATGTAGGGGGTAGAGATGTCAAGGCGGTTTGACGAGGGCTTTTGGGACAGCAAAGTTTGCTTTTCTTTTAGCAGACTGTCAGCGAGCTGGTGGCACATACGTTCATGGCATGCAAGCATACGGCGGTTGGTCTAAGCACCGGCATTTACAAGGTCCCTCCGTTTATGGGGGCATCCAGCTATTCCAGGGTCTGTTTCAGACTCTTTCTAAGTTTCAATCCTGAAGTGATAAGCCAAAATAGGACGTAGGATGTAAGGACAGGCCCCATGTGACAACAACAAGCGCAAATGGGTTGCTTCACTGGCCGCTGCATTGCTTGGTGAATCTCTTGCTGTCGGTATGCATGGTGCCCGCTCATCACCTAGGCCTACAAGCCAAACTCCCAAGCTGCAAGCCCTACTCTGTAAACTTCCTACACCCGAAGCAATTGCACTGAAGAGCTTAAACCATGCAAATTCCCACAACTCTTGTCGGCTCAGAGTGGGGGCGGGCGGCGACCATGCAGCAAATCAGTACCAACAGCCCCAAAGCCCTAAAGCCAGAAGCCGTGTGCAAAGCAGCTGCAGCCTTTACCTTAGAACCCCCCCCCCCCCCCCCGCCCGACTGCATACATCCAAAACCACCTGAGACCCGTTGAACCCGCACCCCCTACAAACACGTCACTCTCGCAAAGCCCCACAGAAACTGGCCGTTTCGCTTGGGCTTGAGACCCTAAGCCCCTCAACCCTGAACTCCAAAACCCTCGACCAAAACCCCAGTAAGCTCGTTTCTGGACCCTTATGAGACCCTGTAAAAACTTTGTAGCTCCACATGGATGTCTGAGTTGCCATGGCATCGGGGAATCAGCACTCAATTGCACGGAGCGTGAGTGGGATCTCTATGCACGCTGGCTTTCAAACTGGTTTGGGCTTTTGGGATTTAGGGTTTCAGGTTTCAGCGATTCCGCGTTGAGTCCGTGTTGAGGCTTTGAGGTTGTGGTTTAGTGTTTAAGTTTCTGGGTGTTGGTTCGGGGGTTAAGGCTTTGAGGTTCTGTGGGTTCGTTTAAGGATCGTGTCGAGCGCGTTGGTTTGTAGAGGTTGGGGCTTTGTGCTGTTTCGGGTTTGGTCAGGGCTTCTTGTTGGAATGTTAGGGTTTGGGGCTCTGTCGGTTCTAGTATAGGGCAGGGTCTATCATCATTTGGTGGTCTTCGGGGTTTAGCTTGTGGGGTTCTATGCCTACTAATCACGACGGTTCAGGGTGCAGGCGCATGTACCTTCAAAGCCTAAATCCGACAGTCCTACATGTGTAACCAGGCTAACAGCGGTGCAAGGCTCTACGAATCCAACTGTGGCATAAGCAACATTTGGCCTAGTCGTTTAAAGCCTTCATGTGGACAGAGGAAACTCTCAGAGTCTCAAGCCTTGAACCCCCACAGGCGACGGCTTGAAAGTTCTTCGGTAGTTTCGAACCCGCGCCCTAAGCCGTGGGACCCACACCCAGAACCCCTAAGCCCTGCAATCCTAGAGGTTCCAAAATTGCCCTCAAAGAATATGACCTTGCATCCATTACCTTCAAACCAAAACCGCGAGACCCCACGAAAGGTTTAACCCGAAGTCGACTTCGAAGCCTAACCAGACCCACAGGCCTCTGCAGAGCATTCCTAACGCCGAAAGCAACAAACGAGTAGCCTCAGTGAAATCTCAGGTACAGCGCCCCTGCAGCGCCCGAGGATGAGGGTGCAAAGTCGCTGGATCGCGGTTTCACGATTTAGGGCTCGAGATTAGCGTTTTAGGGACTTCCAAACGGATCCATACGGGTGCTGCTTAAGACTTACGGCTCAGGGTCTAGGTTCGGGTCTAGGTTCGGATTTGGGATTCCCAACTGCCTGATTACAGGCTTTTCACTAAGTCAAATTAAGGTTTCCAAGCATTTGAGAAGCCCTTTACTCAGCCCCCACGAAACAGAAGGTCCAGATTGTGGATCAACAAAGCTCAGAACAGAAGTCCGTTGACGTCCCCAAAGAGTGACCCCAAACCCTAAACCCTAAATCCTAATCCCCGAACCCCAAAGCCTAAACCCGAAACCCTAGGAGTCACGAAAGGAAGGCCAAGCCTTCGAACAGGTTACAAGCCAACAGAAGCCGAGCTCCTGTCCTAGCGCCTGACGACCTCAACCCACATCCTGAATTCCATATTGTGATATAGTCTATAATATGCCTTAGTATGCCATATTCATAGACTATGGTATACTACTGTATACTCTACTATACTATAAGGTGACATGGCGTACTTGGTATATACTGTAATATGCTGAAGTACACCTTGTCACATCAAGTTTAGGACAGGCTCAGGGTTTAGGGTTTGGTGCTTGGGGTTCAGTTCGCGCAGTGTTGAAGACAGCACAGATAGCCTCATCGCCCAAGATGAAAGCTTAACCCCCCCACCCCTTCAGATCCCTGAAACCCTCAACCCTGAACCCTAAACCCCCAGATTCCTGAAACTTAACGCCTCAAATCCGCACCCCTTGCCGAGGCCCAGCCAAAAGGATGCATCCTCCAAGGTGTCCCTCGGCCCTTGATTGGTAAAGGGTTCATAGAGATTCAGGAGGCTTGATATGGACTCTGCACGGTGTGCATGCGGTTTTACAAGTGGTGGTTTGTCAGGGTTTCATGGCTTTCGGGTTTCAAGGTTTAGGGTTTCGGGATTTCAGGGCTAAGGGGTTTGGGGGATTTCATTTCTTAGGGCTTTAGGGTTTGTATGGGTCCATCTTGGGAGCTTCAAGGACCTAGGATGCAAGGAGGTTATAGTTGGGCCTGGGGTTGTTCGCAACACAACTTACATATACATATATATATACATACACATGTACATACTCATTTTTGTATTTTTGTTTACACATATATATATATATATATATATATATATATACCTATATATACATATGTATATATATATATATATATATATGTTATCCTACTCTAGCTGCTCTAGCTGCACAGTTCCGTAAACAAAAAACGTTCCTGATAGTGAGGAGAATGCGTAACAATAAGGAAACAAAAATTCGTGTCGATGTACTTCCAAGCCCTTAAAGTCCAAAGGTTCAAACCCAAAACACGAATGTCAGTCCTGAGCAAACTTACTTACTGTAGGGGCCTCAGTAGTTACCTGTACTACTTGTGGGGGTTCCTTATTGTAACTATAGTATAAACTTATTAAGGCCCCTATAGTACCTGCTTATGGGATATTGGAGTCTCTGGGTTCAGAGAGACAGAGACGGAGCCTTAAACGTCAATGCTGCCTTGAAGGGCGCATCTTAATGATCGCCACTAGAATTACTAGAAGGCTTGCTAGAAGGGCTGGAAGGCTTGAGGGGCTTCAGGGTTTTAGGGTTCAGGGTTTAGGGTTTTAGGGTTTGAGGGTTCAGAGTTTAGGATTTGGGACCAGAGTCTCCGCAGTCTTGATGGCTTGGAAATCAAACGCACGCAAGGATCACTCTATACACATAGGCTCCATTGTAGTTCCTTTTTTGGGATTACCTGATAGGATCCTAAATATAAGCCACAAAACGGAACTACCATGGAGCCTCTAGGTAGTTTGAGGTCGGCTGCTCGACTAAGTGGCTTCGGAATCTGCGGGTGAAAGGGTAACTGCAAACGCACTCATCAAACCCTTCGAGCCATGCGGACCTTCCCCCGGATGGATGAATTGAATTGAATTCCTCCGTGAAACCCCTCAACCATAGCCTGAAAACTAAACTCTTGACTAGACAAAATTCGCATTCCAGATCATCTTAATTATTAATGAACTATTCAGGCCCCTATAATCGCCCCACACAGGAATTATGTAAAAACTCGGTGCCCAAGTCCGCATGTTTTGGTGTAGCAGCTTGGATTCTGTAGGATCTCTGCCAGACATGTAAAATCTTAACGCCCCAAACCCTGTAAAATCCTAGCAGAGGCCTGATCATAAGCTTAAATCCTAAACCCAACTCTCGGATGCTCGCTCCCGTCACCAAGGAACGTGATCGTGCGGCTGCGGCCGCCAGCCAGTCCGGATGAGGACCGGATGGCTGCGATCTACTTGGCTTTGCATGGGTAATACAGGGGCCTACATAAATACCCCAAGCATTTTTTGGGGTTCCTGATTATACGTACAGCATAATATGTCTAACATCGGGGACGAAATAATCACCACTAGTAGTTTGGGGGGTTCCCTATTATAAGTACAGTATAATATACACCCAAAGCCCATTCTCATTATTGAGGCCCCTACATTATGCTTTATACTGTGTTCACAAGGCTTCGCAAGCTGTTAAGATATTCTCTCAAAGGGTTCATCGCAACCGCACCCTGTGTAGGATGTTCGGGGTTTACAGTCAGCGGTTTAGAATAGGATCTATAGTGATACCCTTACGGTTTATGGCTTTTCGGCACGCGTTCGTTGTGTGATAGTGGTTTGGCTTTGTGGGTGACGCTTTCTTTCTTTCATAGTGATCTGGACTTCCTTGGAAATTGTTGTTTTCCTTAGGCTGCCCTGACATTTGGCATTCCTTCTCAAAAGCCTCGTCTTTGAGCGCAAACCGTGAGCCCTCAACCCACACTCGAAACTCCACTCAAAACAAAACTTGCAGAACGCTAGAATTGCAACACAACTTCCCTCCTTGCAAAACTTATACGCATGAACCTTAAACCCGAACCTTCCGCAATGTTGGATCGGCCGAGCGAAAAGGGCTGTCGAAGAAAAGCAAACTTAAACGGATGTATTTGTACATATGCATATGTATGTGTATATACATATATATATATATATGCACAGCCTGCTACTGTGTAATCCTTAAGCCCTGACCCCCGGTGAGGACATTAGCGAGGTCTTCGCCTTGACGGAGAAGAAGAGCGTGACCGTGAAGGATCCACTGTCCAGGCCCTTGGGGCCCAAAGGACTTATGACTGGTACCCCGCAGGGCTTGAATGGTGGTAGTGTTTCTTTCTACGACTTCTAGATTCTAGAGTTTTTGTCAACAAGATTTGGGACCCTATAACACACTTCCTCCATTTTTTCCGTGGGTGAGACCAGAGCCCAGAACGTACCTGCAACCGAAAGCGGCAGTTCATCCCGAAAGAGTTGAAGCCAAAAACAAATCGATAGGAGCACAGCGTATTCAAGGACAAGCCCAATTCGAAACGAAGAAACCGACGGGGGTTAAAACCCTAAGCTTTAAATCCTGAACCCCTAACCCCTGAACCTTAAGCCATAAGCTGCTTGCTTTAAATCGGAGAATCCGTGAGCACAAGAACTCCGGAATGGGGGCTTGTGGAAGCACTTTGAACTGAAACCAATGCGCCCTAAGCACTGTCCCGGGCACTTCACAGGGGGCGTATGGAGCACAACTTCACCTTCGATCACGTTTTTGCTCCGGACGATGGCCAGGAAGCAGTGAAGCTCGACCAAAGCTTACGGCTGCGGGTTAAGGGTTCATATATAGAGGATCAGGAGGTTCATTTAATGAGTAAACTAATAAGGAATAGATGGATATACTATATATGTAGACTAGATAGACACATACATATACTTGTTGAGGGTTCATCACAGTATATAAAGTTTCTGCTTCGAAGGCGGGGTCGACAATGATTGACAAGTTATGAGTTAAACGTTGGCTTTGCCGGACGGCTCCCGGCTGAAGGTTGTAATTTGCATTGCGTTTAGGCGTCAGGAGGTGTTTAGTGTTTCTGCCGTCTCCTTCGGCTTTCGGGACAGGTGCGTGCCTCCTCAGGAGTTTGCATCTGCACTGTTTGGTATTTTTGTTGGCTACGGTGCAGGATTTCTAAGCCCACCCTTAACCCTAAACTCCATCAATGTCGTTACTGCGTCAACCCTGCCACAAGGAAAGAGTCAAAGGCCAGAGCTGGTATTTGCAACTCCCCCAGTCACATCTTTACGAAGTGATCTTCGGAGCACAGCATAATGTGGTCCCTCAGTGAGAACCCCGCCGGTAACAAGAATGATTGTTGAAACTTTGATCCTGCGATCAAGGCCTGGAAGACAGGAGTGTGTAAATCCCGAACCGGACCCCTGGCCTCATAAAACCCACACTATGAAATCCTTGCAACTCCCCATAGACCATAGACCCCTCGACGACCCGATAGCACCTTTGTAAACCTAAGCCTTAAAGCCTGAACCTCATAAGAACCCTAAACCGTAGCGTAAACCCTAAACCTTATAAAACGGGGCCCATATGAGATGGGCTGCCTCATTGAGGCTGCCCGCACCATGCAGTGTAGAAAGAGAACCTTACAGCTTGGCCCTGGGCCATTAAACCCTAGAAGCCCCAAACCCCCTAAACCCTATACCCCTAAACCCCCAAACCCTAAACCCTAAAACCCTCAACCCTCATGTCAAAACCCCAAACCCCCTAAACCTGAAGCTGCCGTTGGACGAAGCCAGACATGCCAAGCCCTCAGCCTCACGGGGGCTAAGCAGCAGGTTGACTGATAATTATTTTCCAAAGTTAAGGTTAAGTTCGGGGGTTTGGAGTATCTATCTGGCTAAACCCCAGACCAAACCTTGCAACTTCGAGCAAGTATGCAGCTGTCTTGCCACAGAAAGAGATGACAGGGTGACGCGAAGGATGGCATTCAAGTGTGCAAGAACCTTCTTTGGGAGCTCTCCCCCATCGTTGCAGTCAGAGGTAATTATAGAAAGGGCTGCAACCCACATGGAGATGATTGAGTTATCTTGGGCGCCGTGGCAAAACGCTGATATTCTGAGGTTTGATGTCGTCGCAAAGCCGCTGGTGGACAACCTGCTGAATGGATTTAACAGCTGCTGCTTTGCCTACGGTCAGACTGGCAGCTCGGTGTTGATTTTAGAACACTTTGCTTGGCTTGTCATCGGGGTCTGAAAATTCGATATGTTAGTCCTCAGGGTTCCCGAAGCTTTCTCTAGTGGTCTGAATGACGTATAGAAACTCCAGATGCCCGGTTCAACCGCGCATTGCGAGTACAGCACCTCCCCCCTCAGGAGGAAAATTGCCGTCCAACGATCTAGGCCCCTGAGCCCTAAACCTTAGTGCACTTGTAGATGCAACGGTAGCTTCCAGGAGCCCTCAAGTGAAGCCGAACTGCAGTTGAAAGGTCAGTCTTGAGTCATGTGGCTTGCAGGGCAGAAGCTTTGAGAATGGAGAGATTCCGTGTTGGGCTTTCACATGGGGGGGGGGGGAATGTATCTAGTGTGTGTGTGCGCGCATGTATACATAAATAAATATATTTATTTATGGAGATAGAGACAGACAGAGAGAGAGAGAGAGAGAGAGAGAGATAGATAGATAGGTAGATAGGTAGATAGAGAGATAGAGAGATAGAGGGGCAGATCGATAGGACTTTGGGCGTATAATAATATAATCGTTCTGTACAGACAGACTCTTAGGGGATATTCAAAGCAAGCTTTTAGTTTTCTGACACCTAAACTTAGGGTTCACAAATGCGTGGGTGAAGGGTTTACGGCTTCAGGGCTTAAACTTTTGAGGGCTAGAGGGCTTAGGCGTTCAGGCTTTAAGGGGACTCAGTTTGATTCAGAGGTGATGTTTAGGCACAGGGTTTAGGGTACCAAGACTGATGTCACAGAAAGTTCTAGCTTCAGCCTACTTCATCAGTCCAGTTGGCTGGCTTTAGTTTTTTGGGGTCGTAGCATTCATATCTGAATCTAACTGTGCCGGGTGCTATTTGCCAAATGCTCGTATAAGCCCAAAGGCTAATTTTGGTACATGCATTTGATCTAGAGATCTGGTGTAGAAGTCCTGGCGTGCAGGAACAGAAGAGGTTCTATGGTAGAGTTCAGATTTACTGCAAAAGCCAGAAAGTTGAATCATCGTCCTCGCTTGCGGTACGGTATTACAGTAGGGATCACCGAACTAATCATCCTTACCGCCCTGTTCCAACTTTCCGGCGGTCCGCTGTAGTGCTGGTGAGTCATTGGTTAGCAATATCTGCAGCGGCATGAATTTTACTAATGTTAGATGTCATAGAGTTTTCTACTTTAGTCATGGCATAACAGACTCCAAAGCCCATGCCAGCGATTGAGGCCCGGGTGCGATTATGGGGTTTTTGTAATTTGTGTTAGTCGCCCATGGGTTTGGGGTGTGTACCATTGCATGCGGACTCGAAGGCTCGCATGGCTAATTTAGGCGGGATGCGGGGGCCTCGTATAGCGATTGAAAAGTTGGTAATGATATTCAAGCCTTTACAAACCTCGAAACCACTTGTTTGGATCAGTTGATTGTGTGAAAACCTCTTTGAAACCCAGAAATTCTATCACACATGTGTGGTGGCCTTACAAAAGAACCCTGCAAAGGCCTTTGAACGCCGTGCAAAAAATTCAAAACCATTTCGGCTGAACCCTAAACCCTAATCACACCAGCTTGAGGCTCCGGCAAGACACACTCGGTGTTTGGAGAGGGAAACAAGGTGCTGTGGACATTTTGGCCGGTTTACTGCAGGGGCTGTAGGGGCTTGGTTGGGGCTTCTTTTAGGGGTTATAAGGTGTGATTGGCGTTTGTTAGCACAAGTGGAAGCTTGGGTGATCTTGAATCAGCACTATGGGCTTTCTAGGGTTTATCTGAAGGATTGTCAGAGTTTAGGGCTTCAGGGTGTCGGCTTCTGCTGGGTTTCTGACGAATACAGTTTGCAAACTCCCAAAGACTGAAATCCTTAGCCCTCCTCGGAACAGACTCTTGCAGCAAAGATAGCAGCCCATGCCCGAAGCTAGGGTTAAGGGCTTTGGGATTTGTTTAGGATTTAAAGTTTTTGCCACCCTAGGAGCGTGATTTCAGTGGGGCATGACCAACTTGAGTCAGATGTCTAACCTAGTTCATATCTTACCCAACTGCATCCTCCGTTTTGTAGGCTTTGCTGTAAAAGCCCGTAGCAGTAGAGTAGGTAACCTTTAACCTTTTTGGGGTAGCACCTATATAACCCCTACATAACCAAAGAGGTTAACCTTCAGTTCCCCATGATACCCGACAAGTAGGGTATGGTTGGAGGCAGCATTCCTGTGACCCGAAGGACCGATCGGTCTCAGGGTGTTGGCCCAAGCCCTGAGCCCCAAAGCTACTACGGAAGCCGTTGAGGAATCAGTGTACCATGCCATTCCTTAGGGTTCCTGATCGGATTATAGGTTTATTGTTGTAAGTTACATGAGTAGTATTAGTAATAAAAGTAGTAAATAGGCATATTCGTGATAGTAATAATAGCAGTTATAGGAATTAATAATAATTAATAACAATAATAACAGTAATACTTTAGTGGGAAAAGGCTCGAGCAAGACACCTTGCAAAACAGAAGCTACTCCAGGAGCAGCGTGGCCTTCTGGCCCGCTCCATCGAGTACCTTTTTGACAGAATTGAGGGGCAGGCGGAGCAGAAGGAGGCGGGAAGGGCTCCTAAACCCTCAATTGGGGACATGGGCGTTGCGTGTGTGTTTTCTTTGCTGATAGGAGGACACCGAACCCACCGATGTGACTTGGGGATGTGGAGGTTCGGGATGCGTGTAGAGTTCTCAGTGCATACCCCGGTTCCTATTATATGGCAGAACCATACCGGTTTTTACTTTACAAGATTGCACCCAAACACTAAGATCCCCAGCATCCGTTCGGCTTGCGACATCCCTGAAGCCCGGCCCCGGTGTCTCCAATTGCGGTCGGAATTCATGCCTAACCCCAGCCGTAAATCCACCTGACACCTTTGTGCGTGTTAAGATCTGCAACCCCTACGGAACATCTCCCGATATTCGCGATGTAGTTGCACTATAGCTCAGAAATTCTGAAGGCCCGCATGTTACCTGAGACGCCTAGCATCGCTCAGCACTCTGGACTAATCTTTTCAAGCAGTGTCGCCGCATGCGGGAGGTGGGTATGGTGGTCAGCTGCTTGGAGCCATTCCTTGATGCCTGCGATGGTTCGCGAAAGACTTCAGAGCTTTTCGCTTGAGGGTGTTGGGTTTGGTGTGTTTTGTTTTCGTCAAAAGAAGGTTGGGGTAGGGGTTTTGGCCTGCAGCTTGTCGGCGATGTTCAGGAGTTCGAGCAGAATTTAGCCTGATTATCAACAGAATGCCCGCAATCCGACAGCCTTGACACGTGGCCAACCCTGGTCTTGAACCTGTGGGGGGCGGCCGGGGCCTTCTTGTCTTTGGGGTTCGAAAACAAGCCCCCTAGTACTTCAGGTTCCGTATTGGGTCCTTGGTTTTCTTACGCTACCATATCTTCAAGTCCTGTGGTGCGCCGGCACGCCTGAACCTAAACCTGTAAACCATGAGTCTGAAGCCTGAAACCCTGAGTCTCAAAGCCTTATCCGAAAGTATACATAACTTCCGCACCAAACAGCCCAATGCCCCTTAATTGAGGAACGTACCGAAGCTACAGCAGACTCCGTTTCATGAAGTAGTGTATACTCCTTAATTAAAGTGTCTTGCGCTTCTTTTGGCGCCCGACCCAGCCTGAGGGGCGTTCCAGAGGGTCTTCTGTGAGCTATGGCTCGTACTTACTTCGGTTTGGGAAGTCTTTTCCGTGTCGTGAAAATCTGTGCCCAAGCCGGTGGTCAACAATGTAGTATTGTCGGGTGCCAGGGGCCTGTAGGTGTTTGGTGGTGGGTTCAAGGTCTCAAGATTAGCAAAGTGGCAGAAGATTGGTAAGTTAAGAAATGGGATAATGTCTCGGATCACCCCGTGCGCACAACCCCGACTACGACGCCAGGTAAGCATGACAGACCTAAGTAGCCCTTAGCCTTGTTCGAGGAATGTCTGAACCTAGACCCTAAATCATGAATCCTACATCCTACATCCTCTAAACCTTGGTTTACACGTGAGCTGCCCGGCCCGAAGACTCTACACACTGAGACCTAAAATCCAAACCCGAAAACACCACAACCTTGCACCCCAAACTTGTCAGTCCTACCCGCAAACACAGCAGTCTGTAAACCCCATGCTGTAAACCTTGTACTTAAGGTGCCGGCACTGTAACTTAGACCCTGTTAGAAAAACGGACAGAGGTGCGCAAGAGATCAGGTAGGCTTCTGTTTTCCCTCGGCTACAAAACCCCACAGTCTAAACCCTAAGTCCCTAAAACCAATGAACCCCCATACAGGATGAGTGCATACATCCTTCAACCCTAACTGAGCCCTAAAGCACCTAGATAAAGCCCAAACCCTAAAGTTGGCGTTTACCGCCTTACACCCTTGACTGCCGAGGTTTCCTAGAGATCTACCTGGACCAGGTGCGCGACCTGGGTCGCTTCTCGGACTGAGCTGGCCTTGCCAGATAGCGGGTTGTTTGTAATCTAGAGGTCGGAGTAGTAGCGGTTGTCGTCCTACTACTACTACTACTACTGCTGCTGCTACTACTACACCTACTACACCTACTACACCTACTACACCTACTACTACTACTGCTGCTGCTACTACTACACCTACTACACCTACTACACCTACTACACCTACTACACCTACTACACCTACTACTACTACTGCTGCTGCTACTACTACACCTACTACACCTACTACACCTACTACACCTACTACACCTACTACTACTACTGCTGCTGCTACTACTACACCTACTACACCTACTACACCTACTACACCTACTACTGCTACTACTACTACTACTACGACTACGACTACTACTACTACTACTACGACTACTACTACGACTACTACTACGACGACTACTACTACTGCTGCTACTTCTGCTACTAGACTCAAGTCGCCGCGTCCTTGCTGTAAGACGCGAAGAGCACTACTACCCTCAGACCAATGACCTTGATGAAGCCCTGAACACGCATTGTAACAGGGATGCTAATAACAAGGTCCTTAACGAAGAGTGCAAGGCCTGAAATAAGCCCCAATCCGCACAGCTATGATAAAACAGCACCCTATAGAACCCTGTAAGAAGCAACTGTCGTCGAACCCCTAAACCCTCAGATCCATATTATGAGGGCTTGCGGCTTACATTTTAACGTAGACACCTAGTAAATGGGCGCTAAGATTAGATATTAATCCTTTGCGAGGGAAGAAGCAGGAATCCTAAGCCCTACGAAGCCTATACCCCTAAGTCAGAAACCTTAAACCTCTAAACCACTAAACTCCTAAACCCCTAAACCCTATGAGCCCTATGAACCCGAGACTCTAGGCCCAAACCGTACTCCCTGGACGGCGAGGCTTCTATTTGGAAGGCGAGACGCTGGTGGATGATGATCCCGTTTCCAAGACGCCCAGTCGCTGGCCAGGGTTTAGGTTTTAAGGTCTAGGGTTTAAGGTTAAGGTTTTAGGGTTTAGGGTTTAAGGTTTAGGGTTTAGGGTTCAGGGCTCTTGACTTGAGTCGTTTAGGAAGTAACTCTTGAACTCTTGAGCATTGAGGAGAAGTAATGAAGGCTTGATTCCCAAGGGCTTGGGTGTCGGCTTTACAGGAAAACCGTACAAGTAGGAATCATCGTTGAACAGTGCTGCATGAGCGTGTCTCCGCTTTGGCATTGTGATCGAGTTTGTACATGTGTGTTGGGTTGCATTGTCGAAGATGTTCACATGCTTACTAACTGGATTTGCAGGGTTTACGATGTGTTGGTTCAAAGTCTGTTCATGCCTACAGACTGCTTACAAAACAAGAGACCCGAAGCCCCAAAACCTTGGACTTCCCAGGACACCTCTCTGGTTCTTGCATTTAGAAAGCATTCACGCTTCGATGCTTACTAAGCCCCTGCTTAGATTGGTTTGCATGGGGCTTCGTGTCAGCAAAGACACCCTGTACGGTTTGTTTGCATAGAAGGGAGCGTCTTCTGTGACATCAGCGCATATGAAGTCGCAGCACCTCAGGCATACATTGGATGTACGAAAGTGCATCAGGCAAAATTTGAGCATTACATGGTACTGCTACGACTTCTTCAGGGTCACGGCGATTTGGGACTACAGTACACGGGCCACCGACCTAATGCAGCCCCGTGTAATTAGTTCGTTAGCTCAGTTTGAGGAACGGCCATGGAAGCCATTTTATCCTTGATTGCAAGCTTCGCAGTGTGTACACAAAGCATTCTCAAAATCCCAGCTTTCCGATCGGGACCCCACGGGGCTCCTTGCACAACAGCCCCGAACCCTGAACCCAAGCCCTGCATTCTAAACCCGAAGCCAAGAAACCCTGAAACTCCACACCGTTTCCAACTCCCTGAAGAAGCCCAGGCATGTCCCGAATGCGGAGCTCCCAGTCCGGAAAATCTTTGGGAAGCCGGCCCGGATCTGCCAAGGTCCCCACCACCTTTAAGCGATCCTTTCAAGGGCTCCTCGGAAGGGATCTCTAGGAATCCTTATTGGGTTGGTAGGGTTTTGTAGGATATCACTGCGTTTTTGTGGAGTTTTATAGGGTTCTATAGGGTTCTGTAGGATTTTATGGGGTTTGATGGTGTTTGACAGGGTTTTGTGGTGTTTGACAGGGTTCTTTAGGGTTCCATAGCGCTTGGGGCTTAAGATTTTCTGGTATGATAGGGCTGACTGCAGGGCTTAGAGTTTTTGTGCTTCGGGTTTAGGTTTTTATTCGGGCTTTGTAAGAGGTTTACTATGCTACCGTGGTTCAGAGTAAAGTCATGACTCCTTTTTCCTGAATAAGTATATTAATGAGGATCCTGATGTCCAGGTCCCAAAAGAAATGGGCTTTATTAACCGGTGTCCCCATGATTGTACTTACTGTCTGAAGCAGGAAAAGAGCCAGAAATCTCAAGAATCTCGAGGAAGCACACAGACACCCTCAAACCCTGAAAGCCCCGAGACCTCAGCCCTAAAACAAAAGCCCTGAGCCCTGAAGCCCTGCCTAAAGTTCAGAGAGAGGGAATGTCGGTATCTCGGAGGCTTGAGTCCGCGAGTACTGAGACCTAAGACATTGCCTCGCAACTCTAGCGAGTTTCCAGGGGTTTGTACAAGGGGTTTGGAACATCGCAATGCGGGGAGGACAGAGAGTCAGGCAGCCGACCAGCGCTTCTCTGGCTGCACCAGAAACGGTGGTGTAGTGCTGGTGGCTGAGGGGGCCCTAGTTGTCTGTCTACGGTTGTGAAATTTCATCGGCGCCATGAGACTCCTGTTCGTCCAGGCTGGGTGGGTGGGTGCGTGGGTGGCGGGTGATCTGCAGCCTTTGTTCTAAAACCGGGCTCGCTTCTCTGCAGCAAGTTGAATTGTGTTGGGTTGCTGTTGTTGTTCTAAATTGGGCTCCGGTTAGGGTCCTACTCTAGTAGGGACCTGCAAGTACTAGTTACGACGTCTTTACAAGCGAACAACCGTATGTCGGTACATGGCAGGTGGGATCCTTGCATAAAATCTTACGCTAAATCCTGCTACAAAGACTCCTTGTCGCAGCCCTGAGTTCAACAAAGGGTCATGCAACGGAGCACAGACGGGACGACTTTTTGCAACGGTACGAACTAAAGCACGACTCATAGGATTTGGGGGTTTAGGTGTTTTGTTTTTGTTGTTACGGTTTAGGCAACATAATTTCGGGGCTAGGGTTTCCGGATACTGTTGAGATGTTCGGACGACACAGGTGCATGTTCGCCTTGCCGTGCCATCTAACTCTGCATCTTAAGCTCGAAAGCTGTTCGGCTTCAGGCAAAACCATCCCCAGAACGCAGAAATCCCTGTAAGGCGCCCCTGAAATATGGTAAAAACCTCTCAGTTTGAGTAGCCCTGACATGGAGCTGAGGAGTGGGAGCAGGCCTGCTTCCGGAGAGGCGAGGAGTCGGCCTCCTTCCGGTAAGGCGGCAGCAGATCGGAGTCGCACCAGTGTCTTGGCATCTCTCTTAAGGGTTTAGGGTTTGGGTCCCGACTTCACCGTGAATAAGGCTTCTCTGAAGGAACTTGTAGTAGCTGAGAACCGCAGCAGGTGAGCATGTACAAAGTAGCAGTTATAACCTCCTATGTTCGGGGCTCGTAGCGTCCTATGTATAGTCTCACCACAATGTTCAACCTTTCTTGCACTTGGGAAAATCGGCAACTGTGCCTTTCGCCCGTTTGCGGATAGTTGTCTTCCCTTGTTCTGGCTGCTGAGGGTTTTCTCTCGTCTCTACTACATGTTGGCACCCTGGGATTGATGGCTGATGCTCTGGGCAATGTAGTCACACACACACACGCACACATGTATGTAATACAGCTCAATACAATATAACAGAATGCAGATGCGTCTTGAGTATATATATATATATATGTATATACAGATAGATAGATAGATGGGTAAGTAGATAGACAGACGGACAGACATATATGTATGTATGTATGTATGTGTGTATGTATGTACATATATATATATATATATATATATATATATATATACATAGACAAGCAGATACCGTGCAAAATAAAGAAAAACATTTGTACCCACATGTGTGTGTGTGTGTATATATATATATATATATGCACATGCCTATACAACACCGTTAGGTGAACAGCCCTAAACCCGAAACAGTTGGCGTCTATTTCCTTGGAGAGCTCGGCACGCAAGGTGGGGCGACGTCCAATCCTGACGAGTTGGAAGACCTCTATGCAGCTCGGGCAGCCATACAGGTAAACATACACCCCCAAAGGTCCATGCAAATAGTATATGCATCATCCCCAATGTACCTTTACAGGGACTACTTTAAGGCCACAGTATATACTATTTGGGTACATGGACCCTTGGGGACGGCCAACCGTAAGATTTTCACAGAGACTATAGGGCAAAACATCAGCAAACAGGGTGCTCGTTTGGTTGTCTTGTCGGCAACGGCTTCCAGGACTCCTTAGCGGGTGTAAGCTCGATTGCGCACATCGAAACTCACACCCCGAATCCCCGAAACTCTACGACCCAGACTCTGATCCCCTGCCTTCAGTCAACATTGCTTTGGTGGTTTTGAGCACTCGGTAGCAACCCTGAAACTTCAAACGACCGCACACCCTAAACCGAGACCCCTAACTGGCTGATGAGGTTCGTCAGGACCTGCCTAATCTAATTATAAAGGCCCCTACATTACAGTACCATTACAGGTTCCTTATAGTAGCTTAGGGGTACTTAGAAATTATTTTTAATTTTTGGTTATTATATCCCTAAGAAACCGCTAGAATTCTAATTTTTGCTAGGGTTCTAACTTCAGTATAGGCAAGCCCCAACCGGCTCATGAGGTTCGTCAGGATCTGCCTATTCATGAGACGCCTCAAGGCCTGGTCTTCGTGGAGGACTTGTCACTGATCTTTGGCCGATCTTGAACGGTTTAGGGTTTAGGGGCTTAAGGTTTAGGGTTTAGGGGTTTAAGGTCTAGTTAGGGTTGTTAGGGTTTAGGATGTAGGGGTTTAAGGTTTAGGGCTTAGGGCTCTTGAAGTCGATGTTCGGTTTTCTCTGGTGGAGTTGCAACAGCACTGGCAAATAGTATTCTTAAAAACGGGTGTTGGATGAATCGGCGCATGCATGACAAACCATATGTATGTACATATGTAGGTATGTATGTATGTACGTATGCATGTTTGTATGCATGCAGGTATCTACATACATATATATGTATATTCATATGTGTACACATACATGTGTTATTAAGATAGCACAACGTATGCGCATCGCATACATGCTAGTATGTGTTTGCATACGTATATATATATATATATATATATGTGTGTGTATAATCATACATATATATATATATATATATATATATTTATTTTTGTATGTACGCACTTGTGCTTTCTAGACGCCTGTTTTGGCGAAGCTTCAACATCCCGCTGGTGTTGGCCGTGGCTTTATCTATTGCTCTATCCAAACCCTATCTGTCTATCTATATACCTACCTATCTATCCATCTATCTATCTATCTCTTCATCTCTCTCTCTCTCTCTGGGTCTTATCTCCCTATCTGTCTATCTATCTATTTAACTCTCTAGCTTTCTAGCTATCGATCTATGTCTCTATCTACCTCTCTATCTCCATACCCTGCTGCTGATGCCTCCGAAAGCAGCCCAGGATCCCTGTGACAAACATCCGGGAGGCGGCTTCAGGGTTAGAGATGTAATGTAGAAGCCTAAATAGTTTGCAATATTTTTTTTTTGAGGGGGGGGGGTTCTGAAGATAGTTAAGGTATTGTATAGCCCCCCAAAGTCCTATTCCGATTTTAAAGGCCCCTTTTTCAATTGGCTCTCGTGCACTCGGGCCTTTAATGAGCTTTGGGGTTTAGGGTTCAGAGTTTTCCTAGGGTGTGTATTGGATTTGTTGACGCGGTGTAGGCCTCTGTAGTTCCAGGTACTTTGAGAAATTTCATAGTTTGCTTCTCACCAGTACTTTATGGTTTATGTGCGCATTTTGGGTTGTATTCCGATTTTCTCATTGCATTTCATTTTAGATACGCGTGCATGGCGAAATCGCTGTGTTCCGCGTCGCGGCTGCCAGGCAACTGAGTCCGTGTGAGAGAGAGACAGAGGAGTTTCATAGAGTTGCAGGGTGTGGGAGCATGAGAGGTACTTAAATTACCCTGCCCTGGTTTAAACTCAAAACCGGAGCCGGTCCTTGATTTCTGCTGGCTGGCGAACCTAACTTAACTTGTTGATTATGCAGCTCAAATCTTTGGTCAGCGTCCAATGTGTCGTGATTAGCTTGAAGAGGTCTTGAGCGTGGCAAACCTGGGTGTGCAGATGCGCGCGACGTTCGCAACTTGACACGAGTTTCAGGGCTTGCGGGTCTTTGCTTTGATGTGGTTAAGTTGGGTGCGGCCCCCACTCAGTAACAGTTGGATAATATTCATAATATAGATATATGAGGCCCTTAATAGTAGCCCTATTATAGACTGTTACTGTATGGGGGCCGTACCCAATGGTTAAGGGTTGATTATGAATTGGGCGGCCCCTTTGTGCCCGATTAAAAGGAAAACACAATGCACGAGTCAACAGAGACGCTAGTCCGCTAGTCAGTCTTTGCAGATTCTCGCTACGCTCTCGGATTTAGAGATGAGGGTGTCTGCTTTCTAAGGGGGTGTGGGCTAGGGGTCAATTCCAGTTGCCGTCCACCCTGACAGCTTCAATGCCACACCCTCTGAACTTGAAACCTTGGCCTTAAACCTTGAGCTGCAAAAAACAAGTTGTTGTAGGGTCTCTTTAAAGGAAGGGTTTTGGTGGATAAAGTTTACTAGGCTACTAGTAAGGCGGCCAAGGTACACCTAGACTTAGACCCTCAACCACAAAAAAGACTAAGACCTCTGAACCCCGAAAGCCCTAAAACCACATAAATCGTAAACCTCGAGAAGACGAGGAGACGAAACTCAATGCCCGAAGCTCCAGATCGCACACGATCTTCAGTGTGAGCGCCTTGATTGGCATTTAGGGCTCAATGCAGGGCCCTTCGAAATTGAAACTTTCACGTGCGGAAACATTGCGGCTAGGACCAGGGAATTCGAAGCTTGGAGATTAGAATTTGGAGACAGTTTAGGTTTGGGGAGTTTAGAGTTTGAGAATTTGAGTAAACGCTAGGGTTTGCCCCAGAAGCCCCAAAGTTCCAAATGCTGCAAAGCCGTGAGTGCTCTGGATTTAGGGTCTGGGGTTGAGGCTACTGACCTCAGCCCGGAGGATTAGTTTCACAGAATTCGTTTTCCATGCAATAGGCGCGACCTACGGTCTCTGAGCATGCGGAATGAATGAGGGTACTGTAAAGCCATGACTCCTCCAGAGCCCCGACCTAACGATCAGCCGCCTGCAATCCGCGACAACTGTAAGAATGGAGGCCTTGCATATCGCTTCGAAGCCCAATAATCCTTGTAAAACCCTTGAAGGCATTGTGCAGAAGTCGAAGTCCGACCCCAAAAGCGGCGTCGTCGGCAGTGTCGTCAACTTTGTGGACCTCGCGGGTTCCGAGAGGCACTGGTTACGTTTTCACAGGTTTAGGGTTAGGATTAAGATTTAGGGCGTGTCTGTGTTTTTGGTTGCTTCTGTGCGTGTGCGTGGGTGTTTTTGGGGAGATGCCTATATGTATAACAGTATGTATATCAGTGTGTATACAATGTGTTTGTTGCGTACAGTCTACTTTGGCGACCTATAAATTTGTGTAGCATGGGTTTATGCTTTGCATGCATGTATGTTCGTATGTGTGTATGCATGTATGCATGCAGGCATGGATGTATTTGTGCCTGAGTGTATGTATGTAAGTATGCATGCATGCATGTTTGTATGTGTGTATCTATGTATGTATGTATGTATGTGTACTCATGTATGTATGTATGTATGTATGTATGTATGTGTGTATGTATGTGTGTATGTATGTGTGTATGTGTGCATGTTTGTTTGCGGTTGGTAGGCAAGTACGAATGCCATAAATCCCAAAAACATAGAGAACCCCCAAACACAGACACACACACACACACTACAAACTACTTACTGCCTGGACGACATACTTGATTGATCAAGGTGTGATCCTCCAACTGAACTGCGAGACACCACTGTAAGCCCCATAGCCACCGGCCCCTCTAACCCCTCAACCTGAAGCCCTTACCAAGGCTGCAGCCCTTAGTCAACCCAGGTGCCATCAACGTTGCAAACATGCACAAACCGGGAATTAAACTGAACCACTGACCCCAAGCCCTCCCAATGCCCAAACCCAAGCCCTTAGCCCAGACTCTGAGAGCGAGTGGTAAAGCCCTGGTAGGCTGGCGCGCAGCCAGTCGGAAGGAAGGAGGTTTCTTGGCTGCTGCTGAGTTTCAGACGAAAGCGCTGGAACGTCAAAGCATGCATGTCTCTTGGGTATGGGGAGCAAGTATTTTCCGATTGAAGCCTCTAGAGATTGACGGACATTTGGTGACTTGCAACAGAAGCTACCTGAAGGGTCTCTTTTTAGAGGCTGACGTTCCGTTGATAGGGATTCCAAGTTTCTCCGACTGCGTATGTCGTTCTAGCCCCTCGAAATAAGATTCTGACACCTTGCAGGTTTACCGCTTTGAACCCTAGAAACTCAATTCGCACAATCCCCCATAGTCCCTCCCCAAACCAGGTCTGGGATTCGGCACCGAGGTTTCAGGAAGCAGTCATCATCAACAGCTCCCTGTCGGCCCTGGGCAAGGCAGGACGAGCTTTGCTTAAGGTGCCAGGGGGGGTTTGGGGGAGAGGAGGGGGTGCTAGGCCGTTGGCCTAAACCCTCAACCCTAACCGTGAAGTTTAGAGACTTGTTTCGAGTCTCAGGCCTTTCTATTTCGGCCTGTGTGTCGTTTCAAAGAGGGGTTTTAGAGTTTAAGTCTTCCAGATTTGGTTGGTGCTGTTTAGCTTGTGAAGTTCAGGGGTAGGCACGTGTGTGCGAGTCTGTGTGTGTGTGTGTGTCTTGATTTTAGGTTTGACACGGGGCACATGGGCGCTCAGAATGATCGTTCAAACAGTGGATTTGTAAAGCTATGTACTCGATACGACCTTCCGAGGGACCTAACCGACCTTGTGAACCACCAAGCTCGTATAGTAGCCTGCAAAACTAAAGAACCCTGAAAGGAAGGAAACCCGCCAAAAAAGTAAGGGAGCCCGCAAAGGAACCCTCAAAAGAACCGGAACCCTTGAAGGACCCTTTACCCCAAGCCCTTTCAGAAACCAAGGAACCTTAAAAGGATCCCTTTGAGGATTCTATTTGGTTAGAGGAACCCGTATGGAATTCCTTGTAGGAATCCTTATAAGAACCATTATGGCCCTTTGAAGGATTCCTTAAAGCAAAGATTCCCTCTAAGGATGCAATATGGGGAACCACTTTTGAAGGGGGCCCTTTTTATAGAAGCCTCTAATACCCTTTAAAGGGTGCCCTACCATGAAAATCGTATCCCCGAACCCTAAGCCGCTGCCCCGTGAAAGGTGGTTTTAGCCCTGGCCTCCGACAAAGCGCGGCACATCCCCTACCGCGACTCGAAGCTGACCCGGATCCTCCAGAGCTTGGGCGAAGTTTGGGATGTTGGGGTCTTCCAGGGGAGGGGTTGACTTGGGCTTAGGGTTGAAGCTTTAGGCTCTTAGGGGTTTTGTAGGGCTTAAGGTTTTTTGAGTTTTAGGGTTTAGGGTTCAGGGTGCTATGTCGGAGCTTGGGGTTTGAGCTTGAGTTGTTCCTCGGAGTTGTGCGTAAAGGTTGAGGTTTAGGTTGTGTTAGAGCCGTGTTCGGGGACACTAGTATACTCTGCGGCATGCTAGGGTGCGGCGGGCATGCTAGTAAGGTTTCTGCTGGTCATGTGGTTGCGTTCGGCCTTCAAACCTTAAATTGGCTTGGCTTAAATCCAACACCCGAAACCCCAAAACGCTGGAGTAAATTCAAGCTGCATCAGCTTGTCAAGATTCGCCAAGACAGCTCGCGACGAACGAGCTGAGAGAACGGTGCTGGTTGGAACGAGCCGGAGGCAAAATCTGGCCGTCCTGGATCTTAAGCAACTAAAACTTGCTCTTGAAGCTGAGCTGCTTCTCCTTCAGCAAACCTATACCCTAATCCCCCCAGACACACATACACACACACAGTAACAAAAACAAAACAACTGAACCCTAAACCAACCGAAGACAACAGAAACCCAGTCCCTAAGCACACCCTGTCCACGCATTGAAGACTTGAGGAATTCTCTGGGTGGTAACTCTTACACCACGCTGCTGACGACCGTCGATCCATCTGCGGCGAACTACGAAGAGCCCCTTCACGACACAACAGAGTTTAGAAATGCCTCTGCCTCCGGGCTGAGGGCCCGATAGTCGGGTTTATGGGCGTTAGTGCTGTGCTGAGGCTTCAGGATACATTGGCTTCAGTGGTTTCGGGTTTGCGGCTTAGGGTCTAAAGTTGAGGATACTGGTAAGGTTTGCCAACATCGGGTGGATGCCACGCACTGCCGCTTCGGGGTTAATTAAGCATAGCGATACCTTCAAGCCTCTTTCAAAGGGGTCCAGATTGGATCGGTCTTGGCTTTCCTACAGGTTTGTGAGCCTATCAGACTCCAAACCCCACCCATCCTGCGAAAGGAAACTCTACAATCCTGGGGTCAGCTTGTAATCCTCAACCCTAAGAAGCCTTAGATGAAGCATGTTGGAATCCCAAAACTTGCGGTCAGGGATCGGCTTCCCCCAGGCCCCAAACTCCAAAAGCCTAAAAACCTCAGTCATTTTCAAGCTCCTACGAAGCTCTTCAATTCGCTGTAAAGATTGTAAAGCCCTTGTAATGCTTTGGTAAAGCCTTCAAGCCCTCGCACGCAACACCCGAAACCATGCAAGAATTCAAATATTTTTCTGACTCCCCCAAATCCAATCCAGGTCTCTGAACTCACTCTTCTTTGCAGACCGCTGCCAGAAGCTTGGCAGCGTTTAGGGTTTTGAGTGGTGTTTACGGATCATGGCTTACCCTCATCTGGAAACCAAGATCTAAATCCAGCGGCAGCCGAAGAAAGCGGACGACTACAGTAGCTATGCTTTCTCAGGTCATCCGCGGAAGACACAACAACTAGGTGCACAGACCCCCCTCCAGCAGCCTAAACCCTTTGACCTTAACGACCCCAAAGCCTAAGATTCTGCGTCCTTGCTCGTACCGGCAAAGCCTTGTAGACTTAGTAGCTGAGTGGATACACTTTACACTTTTGAGATAATATTACCCACTATAAAACTGAAAGTGTAGACTTTTGGGAGCTTATGAACTCAGCAACTAAGTAGAACACTGAAGCCTTGAAGCCTGGAACTCTAAAGGGTTGCCTGGGTCTGCCTGTCGCTTCCTAAGGAACGTCCAGAACAAGCCCATTCAAAACGTGGCCAAAGCGGATGCCGAGGGGAATGAAAGGCAGGTTTTCCAAGCTACTGGTAGGGTTTGGGGGTGGTTTAGGGTTTCTGGGCATACGGCTTAGGGCCTGGTGTCCAAGGTCGAGGAGTTCTGGGTTTGGCGTTTTCCATCCAGCGAAAAATTCGATGGTCGGGAATGCGAGGAGTGCCACAATGCATCAATTGGACTTTGTTTCTAAGACGTGCCGGCCAACAAGCTCTCGCGGGTCAATCGCGAGTTCCAAGCGGCGCGGAATGGAAGCAAGCAACGACAGGCCATGCGCGATTGAGTGCGGTCGCGTGCGAATCACTACAGGCGGCAACACCGCAAAGCCCTGCATCCGCATTGCCGCGCCAAGAGCAACGGCAGTGCTTCGGCGCCCAGCGGCTTGTTGCCACGCAAACTCCTGGCAGGGATGTGAGCCAAGCTCGTGGACCGGCTTCGGGTTGCCCGCTCTGAGTTCCACGGGTGGTGGGCCATTCCGGGCAGCTTCGTCCACATCTTCGGTCAGCACGGTCAGCGCTTAGTGAGTGCCCAGTCTCCAACACAAAGGGAGTCGGAGGCGGAGGCGCAGGGGACGACGGGAGGACGCTTTGAGGAGCTCGACGAGTGTGCGAAGTAGGATCAGGCTGACTGACTTCTTAACTACGTAGCAAGCTTGGTCATGCCTACAGTGTCCACGTGCCGCGCAACCACGGTGACAGCGACAATAGCATTCAGCAAGATCAAGCCTCCTTCTGCGACAATGTTCTCTAAGTAGCAAAATGCTGTTCCGCATACTGTAGAACTGCAACTATAATGCGTACCTTGGGAGCCATCTCGGCAGAAGACCGGCAAAGATTGAAACAACAGATTATGTGCGACGCTTGTCGATCAGCTGTCTTTAGCACACTCCAAGACCTTCGAACTGCCATGACTTGCAGGATCGTGAGGCTGCCGTGCTTGCGTGTGCCTGAAACTGACACCGGTGCAGTGGCCAACAATTGAACAAGAGGTGCTGAAGGCAAGCACTGTCAGGATTGAGTCGACTCACAGAGATCGACCGCACCTGACTGGCGCCTGATAAGCCCAAGCAGCCACCTGCCATGTGAATTCTGAACCCCTCAATCCTCCCTCCTCGACCCTTCCTAAACCTGTTTGTCTCGGAGAGGATGCTGTGGTGTTGACCGACATCGGGTTGAGCAGTTTATCTTGCCTACTCGACCTCGTGTGGGATGATTGCCCTTGTTGGTTTCCTGTTTGCCGTTAGTTATGTAACTGAGGTTTGTGTGTGATGCTCTTCTTTCAGTTTTGAGTTTCGGGTTTTGGAGATCCCGGGCCGGCTGCAGCGTTTTCGGGCTCGGAGTCTTCGGCTCTGAGATGTCAGGGTTCCCTTGCACGTTGCTACTATGTTTGTTGCTTGAACCCCGTTGTTTCCGTGGGCTAACCTAGCCGGGCATTACGCACCTAAAGTATAAAGCCTCTTTGAAGCTCCTATACAGCCCCATCAAAAAGCATGCAGATCTCAACCTTTTTGTAAGCACCGCGGGTAAAACTGCATAGAAACCTAAAACAAATATGTCGCAACTTGTAAAACAAATTACAAAAAAGCTCGTAAAAGCCTACACAAAGACGCAAACACCATAGACGCGCCATGAAAGCATACAAGAGAATCATGCACATCCCAACCGTTTTTCAAAACAACCCTAAACCCTAAAGCAGGCAGATCTCCAAGTTGACCCTGGAGATTGTGAACCTGAAGCACCAGTTGGAGGTTGCGGGTGCAGCCGTTGGGCTCCTTGGACCCCTTTTTTGCCGCAATCCTAGCTGACTCTCTTTCGGGTTGGGGTTTAGGGCCTTATTGGGTTACTAGAAGGGTTCCTTTAAAGGGCTCTATAAGGGTTTGGAGTTTCCGAAAATTAGGGGTACCTTATGCTGGGGGGCCGTAGAAAAAAGGAGCCTACTATTTAGGGTACTATTTTGGGGTCCCCTACTTTCGGAAACTCCCAGATGACTCTCTTTAGGGTTCGGGCTCCGGGGCTGAATTCGGATTGTGATCGACTTTGGGGTATTCAACGAACTTTGGGGTATTGGGCTGCTACCCGGTAACCGACTCAATGCTACTCGAAGGCTGGAACCAAAACCTCAAACCTTAAATCCTACATCCGTAGACTCGAAACCCCCGCAACACCAAATCCCAAAACACCAAACTTCAAACCCCAACATAGACCTTCAGCCCCGAACCTCTAAACCCCCAACCCCCCTCCCCGACCAGTCGGACCTCTCCTCCTAGGCCGGGAGCGCCAGGAGGGCAGCCAGGGGCTGGCCGTGCACCTGTGGGAGTATCCGGTGTGACGCTTGCTGGGATTTTTGTGTTGCGTTGAGTTGCCTTAGATTTTCGCAAATGGGCGTGTAGTGGCATGTTTGTAATTATAGGGTTTTAACAGGGTTTTTCGGCAGGTAGAGAGGGGTTGATAGAAACCCTGAGAATGCCTTGCTGTCCAAGGAAGAGCATGCGTAGCCAGCGCAGCATGCGGTCCGGCGTGGGACAGATGTCCATGGTCCCTCGGCGTAATACGGAAGCCTAGCTAACTTGTAGGTCGGACATCCTTGTCGGAGTTCGGTGATTATGTATAGAATATTGGTACGACCATTGTAAAACTTCAAGCGTCAAGCACTTGTGGGAAACCATATCTCCAAAAACTACAAAATTTGAAACCGTAAGCCGGGGCGCTAAACATCAACCCTTCGACACGACTCCCCAAAACAGCAAGTCCTTAATCTTAAAGCCCGAAAGCACCAAGCATCGCGAAGCCTTCAATCCAAGTATGTTAAGCCTTCACACCCAGAAGCATCAAGCTTATCACCCTCTAGGCTCGAACCGCCCAAACCTTAAAGGGTAGTTTCTCGGTAAGATGCCGAATAGAGCCCTAGACAGTCCTGCAGCATCATGTAATCTCCAAACCTTGCCTAGTAAAACCCCAAGCACTCGTAGAACCCTACCATCGGATTACGCAGTGCAGCCCAAAACCTACACTTCCCAAAAGCCAACCCTCCACCCCGAAACTCCGAAGCTCCTAAACCTCCCAAAAAAAACCCTTCAAGCCCTGAACCCCGATCTCCCCAAAACCCCCCCAGGCCCCTTAAGCCCCCCCCTGCAGTCCCTAAGATAGGGTTTTGGGGCCCATTATACTATAATTATAATAAGGAACCCCAACAATAGTAGAGATAAGTATTACGGCCTTATATTATACACCTTCAAACGAACCCTAGTCTTATTTTTAGAGCTCCGAAGTCCCTAAGCTTTTTGAGGCCGGTAGCATGATGTCCCAGCAGCCCTCGGAGCAGTTGGACTTGGGCGATGTACTGGATCAGGCCAAAGTCGGGTGACGCTTTAAAGGGAACTCCAGAAAGTTGGAATATGGTTTCAGGGTAGGATACCCTATAACTTACCATAAAGGGTTTAGGAGAATCATATTCCAACTTTCTGGCTTTTACTTTAAGGGTGTCTAGGGTGTTCTATCATGTGTCAGGGTTCAGGGCTGGGAGGCTCGGAGTTCTGAGTCATGAGTGGTTAAGTAGGAGGGTTTTTTGCACGGTTAAGGACGTTCTAGCTTTCAGGTTCTATCAGGGTGTGAGACTGTCAGGGCTTAGTGCACCTTTTTCGGAGTTCTAGTTTGGAGGTTTTGGGCTTGCGGCTCGGGGCTGGGGGGGTTTGGGGTCTGGCTTCAGAGTGAGAGAGGGCCTGCCCAGAGTTATAGAGCCTTCAGCTGGGCCTCAATGTTTTATGGTCCGGAGTTCAGTGTCGTTTGTAAAACCCTAGACCCTAGAAACGCTGATGGTGAGATGTGGTGAAAATTCCAGAACTTATGCCTTAAACCATGCAAGCGCAACCCAATTCCCCAAACCCTAGTCCATCCTAGACTTTAAGACATCAGAAGACCTGATGTGGCAGGCCGGCGAGAAGCTCATGAGTGAGCGGAGGCTGGCGTTCCAGCTGGAGGCCGTAGAAACGATATTTTGGAGGGAACACATCGGAGAGTGTCGGGTTTTCGTAATTTGTTTAGGGTAGGTTGGCGGGGACTCTTAAAATTAGGGAAACCTCAGCCGAAGGTTCAATAATTTGTGAAACAAGCCCTGCTGTCTAGTGCACATATGTCCGTTCCGTATTTCGCGCCACTCTCGACTTCAGGGTGGAAGACATCTCCAGACCATTTAAACGATGCAAGACATGGGACGGATAGATTGCTAGCATTTTGCGAAGGGCCTGGATATCCATGATAAGTAAAACAGGAGTAAGAGGGCAAACTTGACAGCATATATGGAAAGAGTACAATAATCCTAGGAACGCTCGCAATGGCAGGACACAGTTTAACAAGAGACACATACGAATGAGATTAAACTTGCGGGATAAGATAGTGGTTTCGTGATCACTTGTTTTCTCTCGCTTGCAGAACTAACCCATAAACCTAAACCGCCTTAGTGACTTCACTGCCAGGTCAAAGTCCAGCTGGCCGAGGATCAGCTTGATCGCGCTCGCATCGAGCAGCTTGGATGATACTGTGGCAAAGTAGGGCTTCAGGTTTAGCCTCGTGATTCCTTCAAGGGTTCCTGCAAGGCTTATTATGCACTCTGCCGAGGGGTTCTAGGGGTTCAGTTCTTGAGGGATCTCAGGGCCCTAGGGTTGTGGTTCAGGGTCTCTACAAGGAGCTACGAAAAGGATTAATATAAGCGTACTGCTGGGTGAGGGGTTGTTGAACGAATGTGTGTTATTGTGAAGGGCAAGGAAGAAAGGGAGTAGCATTGGGGTCTGCGTGGTTCTACAAGGGGTTTACAGGATACCATTGTTGTTCGTTTGTCCATGCTGTTACATATGGGTGTGTGTATGAGAAGCTGTGTATGCGTGACACGGCATACTGAAAACAAGAATCCGATTATTCAGAGTCTTTATTAGAGTCTGCTAACGCTCGTGATTTTGATACTAGTAGTAGCATGGGGGATGGTGTTGGTGCTTGGTGCTTGACCCTGTTGCCGGTGCTGGTGCTTGGTGCTGGTGCCTGTGCTGGTCAAGATGGTGATGGTGGTGCCATTGGTGATGATGATGGTGATAGTTGATAGTGCCAGTCACGGGCGGTTTGTTTGGAAGGCATTGGCAAGGATTTCATTTCGGATTGGAATTTTGATCGCGCGGGTAGCCAGTGTTTATGTTTGCCCTTTCTTGTTAAGGGGGTCTCCTTCGTAAGACTAGGACAAAGGGCTCCTGGAAAGCTAGAAGCCCCCAAGCGCGAAAGCCCAAAAAGGCAGTTGCACAGAGATGACAAGAAGCGCAAGGAAGCTGGCATGGTCAAGAATACCATCAAGGCTCCGGTCGTCGTTCTTCGAGTTCTGTTCAGTCCGCCACGGCGGCGTGCGTTTTCGAGGTCTCTGCTTTGGGATGTTCAGGGTTTGGGATAAGTTCTTTAGGTGTCCATGTTGCGGCAAGTTATGGGAGTGCAGAGGAAAGGAAGCGAAGGCGGCGAAGCCCTGAACTTCAAACCCTAATTCCCAGCCATAAGCGGCTTTTGGATTAGAGTCCTGCTGGACGAGGCCTTGAAGATGGAGATGCAGACGCCTGGCCTTTCTAAAGGAACTTCTAGGTTCCCAGGTAGTATCCGTTTTGATTTTCTTTGAGTTTATGGACTCCCGTTTATGACTGAACAAACAATAGCGTGAACAAAGGGAACGTAGTCCACTCATCAGCAACATTTTCTGGTTTGTCACATGGCATGCTAGGGTTTGGTGTGAACCACCGAAACCCTGGACTAGCAGACTAGGCTGTTCTTGAGAACTGGTTGCATTGTGTTTTGCCGTGTGTCCTTACGGGAGGAGAAAAACTGCAATACTATGCACTCGGAAGGTGGGCCAGGTAAACCTTTCTCTAAAGCCCTTCCAAAACATGATGTACAAAGGTCTTCGGGACTTCTTACAGCAAAAGCTGACCCTTGAACCACACCCTACTAAACCCTTAAGACCTAAAAAACTAATACGTATAGGGCCTTACTACCTACCTCTACTATTTTGGGGGTTCCTTATTGCAACTATAGTAAACATGCCCCAAAACCCTATTCTAATTATTAAGGCTCCTACATTCAAGCCTCAAAACAGCTCAGGAAGTGCCAACAGCGATTTGACTACCTCCAGGCTCTCTTTGAGTCCGAGCAGGTGTGGACTGAGTGGGGTTTAGGATGCACAGCCTTAGTAACTACCTTTATTACTATTTGTTTTTTGTTTGGGGGTGGGATCCTTATTATGGTTATCATACAACTTGCCCCAAAACCTTATTCTAATTGTCACGGCCCTCATATTAGAGCGCTGATGAGTTAGTATCAACATCCCTTCGTTAATTATATATATATATATATATATATATACTTTTATGATTTATGGTGTAAGGAGCTCTAAAAGCCTTCTCAGATCCTGGAGGCACCGATCTCTGGGTCCAGGGTTCAGGATTTAGTGACCATGATTTCGGTTTATGGTTTGCGGTTTAGGGTTTAGGGTTTAGGATTTCGGGTTTATGGTTTGCGGTTTAGGGTCGGGTACAGGGTTGGCCCACCAAAAGTCCGACAAAAGGCAACAGAAACCGTGTGGTTGTTATTGCTTAATTACTACGTCACAGCCTTGCTATTGCTATTAGTAGTATCATGATTAAAAGACATGCATACCTACCCAGAAGCACCCCAAGGCCCCTAAGCCCAAAAGCCCCCGACCTCCTTGAAAACAAGCGAAGGGAGACCTGACATGCGAAGCCCTGGCAGGTGCAACTGACAACGTCCGTGCACCGAAGCTGGGCTCTTGCTCACGGGTTGTTGGCGTCTCATGATTTCTGGAGTTTGCTGTCAGGGTTGTGTAGGTTGTGCATGGTTTCTAATTTTCGGTTTTATCTCGTGCTTTAGCGAGATATTTGATAATCGCCTATGGGTTCTGTAAGGGTTTGATAGGGTTTTCTGGAACTTGTGTCATACAGGCATAACCAGGAACACACATCACATGCGGTTAACTGTATTGTTAGTATTTTCAGTGGTGCGGCAACCTGACTCCAGTTTCTCACAGGCCTTGAAACCCGTATCGGACATTACCATTTTCGCCACCTGGAGGTCTGACATTAAAAGTTGCATCCCTCAAGTTAAGCCCCCATACTAAATCCTTGTAATAGCCATTATAGTAGCCCTTATAGACCCCTATTCTAGATCCCCTATAGACCCCTTTAAAGGAAGCCTATGAAGAAGCCCAGGAAGGTCTTTGGAGCTGAAAAACCGACGGATGGACTTAGCCAGCACCTTTGTGGCCTGGCCTGGTCACTGGTTGGGTTTGTTTAGCTTAAGGTAAAAGCCAGAAAGTTGGAATATGATTATCCTAACCCTTCTATGGTAAATTATAGGGTATCCTACCATGAAACCATATTCCAACTTTCTGGAGTTCCCCGTAACCCCGAATAACCTAGCTTTTTAAGGACTTGTATAAGCAAAGCACAATAAGGAACCCTAGAAAGGTAGGTTCTTTAGGGTCCAGGTAGGGTTTGTGAGGGGTTTAGGGTTTAGGTTTGACGGTTCAGGGTTCATGGATTCAGGGCCTTGTAGGGTTTATTGCTTTGGTTTCTTACAGGGCTATAAACCCCCTTTGGATACTGGGTTCAGGGTTTAGGGTTCGCAGATCATTATTACTACTATTATTATCAGTTGTTATTACCATCATAAGTATTATTCGAACCTTGAATCTCTTCCTTGAGCCTGAGACTCTCAGATCCGAAAGCGCCGAGTCCTGGAATACCAAGACGGAGATGGCTGCAAACCCTTAAACAAACCCTTAAACTCCTAAGCCCAAAAACCCCCACAGCTCTAAACCCTACGGCCTAAACCCCTAAGTGTATTGGACCTCTATGTATGATTTGCAGGTCTCGGTTGTTTCGAAAGACGCATAGGGGATACGAGAATACAGAAACCAGTTTCAAAAAATTCAATTTTTTTCAGAAATTTCCTTCAAAAGGAAAAATTATTGAAAAAATTGAAATTTTTGAAAAAAGACCCTGGCCAGGCCCGGCCGTCGCCCACCAGGAATCTTTAAAATTTTTGAAAAAATTGAAATTTTTGAAATTTTTGAAAAAATAAAGACAAATTTCTCAATAATTTCAATTTTTTCAAAAATTTCCTTCGAAAGGAAAAATTTTTGAAAAAATTGAAATTTTTGAAAAAATAAAGACCCTGGCCAGGCCCGGCCGTCGCCCACCAGGAATCTTTAAAATTTTTGAAAAAATTGAAATTACTGAGATTTTTGAAAAAATAAAGACAAATTTCTCAATAATTTCAATTTTTTTCAGAAATTTCCTTCAAAAGGAAAAATTTTTGAAAAAAATGAAATTTTTGAAAAAATACAGACCCTGGCCAGGCCCGGCCGTCGCCCACCAGGAATCTTTAAAATTTTTGAAAAAATTGAAATTTTTGAAATTTTTGAAAAAATAAAGACAAATTTCTCAATAATTTCAATTTTTTTCAGAAATTTCCTTCAAAAGGAAAAATTATTGAAAAAATTGAAATTTTTGAAAAAATAAAGACCCTGGCCAGGCCCGGCCGTCGCCCACCAGGAATCTTTAAAATTTTTGAAAAAATTGAAATTTTTGAAATTTTTGAAAAAGTAAAGACAAATTTCTCAATAATTTCAATTTTTTCAAAAATTTCCTTCAAAAGGGAAAATTTTTGAACAAATTGAAATTGTTGAAAAAATAAAGACCCTGGCCAGGCCCGGCCGTCGCCCACCAGAGAAATTTGTCTTTATTTTTTCAAAAATTTCAAAAATTTCAATTTTTTCAAAAATTTTAAAGATTCCTGGTGGGCGACGGCCGGGCCTGGCCAGGGTCTTTATTTTTTCAAAAATTTCAATTTTTTCAAAAATTTTTCCTTTTGAAGGAAATTTTTGAAAAAAATTGAAATTATTGAGAAATTTGTCTTTATTTTTTCAAAATTTCAAAAATTTCAATTTTTTCAGAAATTTTAAAGATTCCTGGTGGGCGACGGCCGGGCCTGGCCAGGGTCTTTATTTTTTCAAAAATTTCAATTTTTTCAAAAATTTTTCTTTTTGAAGGAAATTTTTGAAAAAATTGAAATTATTGAGAAATTTGTCTTTATTTTTTCAAAAATTTCAAAAATTTCAATTTTTTCAAAAATTTTAAAGATTCCTGGTGGGCGACGGCCGGGCCTGGCCAGGGTCTTTATTTTTTCAATATTTTAAAGATTCCTGGTGGGCGACGGCCGGGCCTGGCCAGGGTCTTTATTTTTTCAAAAATTTCAATTTTTTCAAAAATTTTTGCTTTTGAAGGAAATTTTTGAAAAAATTGAAATTACTGAGAAATTTGCCTTTATTTTTTCAAAAATTTCAAAAATTTCAATTTTTTCAAAAATTTTAAAGATTCCTGGTGGGCGACGGCCGGGCCTGGCCAGGGTCTTTATTTTTTCAAAATTTCAATTTTTTCAAAAATTTTCCCTTTTGAAGGAAATTTCTGAAAAAAAATGAAATTATTGAGAAATTTGTCTTTATTTTTTCAAAAATTTCACAAATTTCAATTTTTTCAAAAATTTTAAAGATTCCTGGTGGGCGACGGCCGGGCCTGGCCAGGGTCTTTATTTTTTCGAAAATTTCAATTTTTTCAAAAATTTTTCCTTTTGAAGGAAATTTTTGAAAAATTGAAATTATTGAGAAATTTGTCTTTATTTTTTCAAAAAGTTTAAAAATTCCTGCTGGGCGACGGCCGGGCCTGGCAAGGGTCTTTATTTTTTCAATGAATCCCGGCGGGTGACGGCCTCCTTGACCGAGTGGAAAAGGATCAGCCCTTTTCTTCTTTATGAAATTGGAAGGAGCTTTCCTTTGGTTCTCGATGGTTAGGTAGAGAGTAGAGAACTCATACATTGTCGAGGGTGGGGGGGGCGTCTCTGTCCTCCCTGGCTAGGAGTGAGGTGTCTTCACTCTTCTCAAGTTGAGAAGCGATTTACCAAGAGTAAATGGAGCTCTCTAGAAAGAAGCTCTCTTCTCTTACAACGAAAATGTCAGGGGGAGCTCTCTTCTTTTTCTTTAGAGCATGAGGTGGACGACTTCTGGTTCTTTTCAAGAGGGCCAAACCTCTTTGTTTGAAGGGCTCCATCCTTTCTTTGAGCGTATGCTCTCTTCGTCTTTTGAAGGGGTAGAGGGGATAGTCAGCATCTCCTTTTGCCTAGAAAGAAGGAGGTCTCTTCTTGCCGACTAAGGGGTAAACGGAGCTCTCTTCTTTCTCGATGTCTTGGAGGGGCTTCTTTGTTTTTTATTGAGATGGAGCTTGCTTCTGTCTCATTAGACTGGAGGAAGCTCTCAGTCTCTTCTTGTCGAGGACGAGGTAGAGAGGGCTTTTCTTTTTGGAAGCTGCTGGAGCTCTGTCCTCTCGTGCCAGTGTATCTCTTTCTCTACTGAGAGGCAAAGGAGCTCTCTGCTAGAAAGAAGCTGTCTTCTCTTACCAACAGTAACTTGGATTGAGTTCTCTGCTAGTTTCCGAGGATGAGGTCGAGGGCTTCTCTTTGCCTTTTGAAGGCCGCAGGGGAGGACCAGACTTCGAATGTCAAGGTTTGAAGTTTGGAAGAGCTCCGTCCCTTCTTTTTGATCGAACGCTCGCTTCAATGTATTGAAGAGGAGTGGAGAGGAGATGGTCAGGAGCTCTCGCCGCTGACTAAGAGAGAAAGGAGTCTTCTTGTTGTCGACAGAGAGGTAAACAGAGCGCGTGTTTTTCTGAGAAGTTAGAGGGGCTTGTCTTTTCAATTGTTGGGGTGGAGGACCTGCAACGGGATCTCTTCCTTTACCAAGAGGTTTTTGGAGCAGCCCTCTTCTTTCTTGTGAAATTGGAGCGAGCTTTCTTCCTGTTTTCGATGATTAGGTAGAGAACTCACACACTGTTGGGGGGGGTCGTCTCTGTCCTCTGTGGCTAGGAGTGAAGTCCAGTCTTGAGAAGCGGCTTACCAATAGATAATGGACATCTCTTCTAGAAAGAAGCCCTCTTCTCTTACCACGGAACTCTTGGGGAGGAGCTCTCTTCTTGTTGGCGGCATGAGGTGGGGGAGTTTTCAAGGTTGAAAGCAGGAAAAGAGGCTGGGTGGGAGCTCCACCATCTCTTAGGTTCACTTCCATATTTTGAAAAGGTAGAAGGGATAGTCAGGATCTCGTTTTTTACCTGTAGAGAAGCTTGGTCTCTTCTTGCCGACTGAGGGGTAAACGTTCTCTCCTTTTTCTCGATAACTTGTAGGTACATGGTTTTCATTTTGTAGATGGAGCTCTCTTCTGTCTCATCAGGTTGGAGGAAGCTCTCAGTCTCTTCTTCTTTTGCTTTTGTCTTTGGAAGTTGGGGGAGCTCTGGTAAGCTCCAGTCCAACTTCTGAAGAGGAAGAAGGGATAGTCAGGAGCTCCGACTGAGGGATAAGTGGAGCGATCTCCTCTTTCGCGAAGTTGGAAGGGCTTATGTAATTTTTCTCGAGAAGCTAGAGGGGCCTGTCTTCTGGGTCGTTGGGGGTAGGGGACCTGCCACGGGATCTCCTCCTTTACCGAGTGGTAAAGGAGCAGCCTTCTTCTTCTTTATGAAATTGGAGGGAGCTTTCTTTTGGTTTTGGATGATAAGGTATTGCTTCATTGTTGAGGGTAGGGGCGTCTCTGTCCTCTCTGGCTGGGGGTGAGGTCTCTTCACTCTTCTCAAAGTTGAGAAGCGACTTACCAAGAGTCAATGGAGCTCTCTAGAAAGAAGCTCGCTTCTCTTACAACGAAAATGTCGGGGGGAGCTCTCTTCTTTTCTTTTAGAGCATGAGGTGGACGAGGTCTGTTTCTTTTCAAGAGGGCCAGACCTCTTTGTTTGAAGGGCTCCACCCTTTCTTTGAGCGTATGCTCTCTTCGTCTTTTGAAAGGGTAGAGGGGATAGTCAGCATCTCCTTTTGCCTAGAAAGAAGGAGGTCTCTTCTTGCCGACTAAGGGGTAAACGGAGCTCTCTTCTTTCTCGATATCTTGGAGGGCCTTCTTTGTTTTTAATTGAGATGGAGCTTGCTTCTGTCTCATTAGATTGGAGGAAGCTCTCAGTCTCTTCTTGTCGAGGACGAGGTAGAGAGGGCTTTTCTTTTTGGAAGCTGCTGGAGCTCTGTCCTCTCTTGCCAGTGTATCTCTTCCTCTAACCGAGAGGCAAAGGAGCTCTCTTCTAGAAAGAAGCTGTCTTTCCTTACCAAGAGTAACTTGGATCGAGTTCTCTGCTTGTTTCCGAGGATGAGGTCGAGGGCTTCTCTTTGCCTTTTGAAAGCCGCAGGGGAGGACCAGACTTCGCTTGTCAAGGTTTGAAGTTTGGAAGAGCTCCGTCCCTTCTTTTTGATCGAACGCTCGCTTCAATGTATGGAAGAGGAATGGAGAGGAGATGGTCAGGAGCTCTCGCCGCTGACTAAGAGAGAAAGGAGTCTTCTTGTTGTCGACAGAGAGGTAAACAGAGCGCGTGTTTTTCTGAGAAGTTACAGGGGCTTGTCTTATCAATTGTTGGGGTGGAGGACCTGCCACGGGATCTCATCCTTTACCAAGAGGTTTTTGGAGCAGCCAACTTTCTTTCTTGTGAAATTGGAGCGAGCTTTCTTCCTGTTTTCGATGAACTCACACACTGTTGGGGGGGGGGTCGTCTCTGTCCTCTCTGGCTACGGCTAGGAGTGACGTCTTCGCAAGACTGAGAAGCGGCCTCCCAACAGGTAATGGACTTCTCTTCGAGAAGGAAGCTCTCTTCTCTTACCACGAAAATCTTGGGGAGGAGCTCTTTTCTTGTTGGTGGCATGAGGTGGGGGAGTTTTCAACGTTGAGAGAAGGGCAGGATTTCTCTCTTTGAAGGTTGGGTAGGAGCTCCGCTATCTCTTCTGTTCATTTCCATATATTGAAAAGGTAGAAGGGATAGCCATGATCTCCTTTTCTTACCTGTAGAGAAGCGTTGTCTCTTCTTGCCGACTGAGGGGTAAACAAACGGAGCTCTCCTTTTCCTCGATATCTTGTAGGGACATGGTTGTCATTTTGTAAATGGAGCTCTCTTCTGTCTCATCAGATTGGAGGAAGCTCTCAGTCTCTTCTTGTCGAGGATGAGCACTCTTCTCTCTCGCGAAGTTGGATGGGGTTGTGTGCTAATTTGAGATGGGGCCCTCGTCTGTCTCGTTAAGTTGAAGGAAGCTCTAATCTTGTCGAGGATGAAGTACAGAACTTATGCATTGCTTTTGAATACCGGGGGAGCTCTGTCCATGTTTTCAGGGGCGAGCTCTCTTCAGTCTTCGTAGGATTAGGATGAAGACTTGCCAAAAGATGAAGAGCTCTTCTGGAAAGAAGCTGTCTTCTCTTACCGAGAGTAGCTTGGATTGAGTTTTCTGCTTGTTTCAGAGGATGAGGTAGAAGGCTGCTATTTGCCCTTTGAAGGCCGCAAGGGAGGACCAGGCTTCTCTTGTCAAGGTTTGAAGTTTGGAAGAGCTCCGTCCCTTCTTTTTGATCGAACGCTCTCTTCCATGTGTTGAAAAGGAGAGGAGACGAATGAACTCCGAATCGCGGACCGCGCCGCCGATATGAAAGCAGATGAAAAAGGTTGCGCGATCGTCAGAAATATATGACGAAGGTGTGACAGCTTCTGTTGTCATGTGCTACTCGACGAACCGCTCCAGAGGTCTAGGCACGGTCTGTAACCACATACCAAAATCTCTTCGTTGCCTTACGCCCTTGAGAACTGTATCATCGGAGGTCCGCTTACCATTCCCCACAGCATTCGCGGTCTGGATCTGTCACAGCGTGACAAAGGCAACATAGCATCTCACTGTGTTGCGACCGGTTGTTGGTTCAACCGCTAGTTAAACTCACGGCTGTTTGATGGACGGTGCCTGCAAAACAGCCTCCAGAGTGGGAAGCAACTAAAGTTGACCCAGCAGAACCCACACATTATACCTAAAGGTCCGTGCCACAAACCCCTAAACCCTAGGATGCTGCAGACTGAAGGCCCCCTGGAAAAAGGAGTTTCAAAAAACACAAAACCCTAAACCCTGAACCCCAAGCCCAAAAGTTACCCATGCCTCGCTAGAAAGGCTCGGCCTATTCTCGAGTCCGCTCTGGTCGGAGAGGATGGCGTCGAGACGGCTGCGCAGAAGGCGCCCTTTCTCGGGCGTCGAGCCGGTTTAGGGTTTAGGGAGCTTAGGAGCACATGTAGGAAGGTTCAGGGTGCATGTTGGGGATGTGGGGATTCGGATCCGTGAACCATTTCAGCCCCTGTAAACCCTGGAACAATTTTGTATGTATCGGGCGCACGAAGGTAGAGATCCTAACCCAAACCCCGAGCCTTCAGCTCACCCAAACCTACAAGGCCTGGAATTCCGGACATCTCAGCGAACCGAGGAGGACCAGCAACAAAGAACGAGACTGTCTGGTTCTTAGTAGGGCATGGGTTATGGGGACTATCATTGGGGATTATATAGAGACTACTACAGGGATCCACTCCGCCATTCCCTACTAAGAACCAGACAGATTAAACTGGCCCCGAGGCCGAGCTAAACACAACCTACTGTACACCCTATGCCCTGGAGGGGTATGGGGCTCTGGGCCTCAACTTTACCCAAAACCCCAAAACCCTATCCGTAATCCCTAAGCACTAACTCTTGTAAACGCTTTACCATAAACACAAACCCGGTGCGCCATAATAGCGCCGTGGGCTGCAGCTGCCAGGCTATAGACGAGAAGTGTGCGACCCTTGAGAAGGAGTTTGACAGCTTCACGCAAGCGCTGGAGAGGACTGGGGGCCCTACCTTACCTCGAAAAGCTTACTTGACGAGGAGCTTGAAGCCTAAAGCCGAAACCCTAAACCCTAAGAAGGAAAGCAACAGAATTCAACTAGCGCCAGACGGTCTAGAGCTTGTGGAAGAAGAAGAAGGAAATCAGAACAGCCTTGCTGAACCCGAGTCGCCCGAGCTTCCATTTTGCACCAACACCAAGGCCCGGAGCACAAAAAGCCGTAAAACCCTATGTCTTGGTCATAGTTGGGTAACATTTTACAGTTTTATGGGTACTTAAGCCCAATAGGAAATAAAGATGAACATTTTTAATCCTATCCCAACAATGAACTAGAAGTTTTGTTGTCCTAAACTTTATGGTACCTTCAGCCCAAGAGTAGGTGGGGCGCTAGGATAGATACAGAACCCGGTATTGGATTGATAATGAGATGTGTTCAGGAACTTGGTTGTTGTCCGGTTTTTGAAGGCGAATGGGGCAAACTGCTGAGCATAAGCGGATTGATGTTTGATCTGGAGACATAAGCCACCACCCCTAAACCCAGTAAAACGCTTCTAGCCCGAGGCCTTATCATAAATTCCAAGCCCTAAACCCGAAGCGCTGAAACCTGTACGCACCCACTCCATAAAGCCCGAGTTGCAGAGCCGGACAGGAGCCATGCCAGAGAGAGTTTTCAGCTGACGACACCTTTCCAGCAGTGGTTTCAGGAGAAGGACCTGTGGAGTTTTGAACTCCTGGGTGTTGGGTGTAGCGTCTTGAGATTTAGGGGTTGAGAGGTTGTGGCTTTGGGGTGTAGGTTGTGGCTTTTGGTTAGGGTTTTGCGTTTGGGGCTGTGGGGTTTTGGGGCTTTGGGGGCTTAGGGCTTAGGGGGTTTCTCATGTCAGTTTGGTGTTGGTATTAGTCAGCATTTCGGTGCTTCTTGGTTCAGGGTTTAGGACTCTCGCTCTGGCGAATAAGCGCGAAATCCCTAACCCTAAAGCCAGAAGCCCATAAACCCTACGAAGCCCTCATCCCTCTAATCCTTTAGAGCCCTACGCTCTTCGGCTCCCTGCTTGGCCGAAGATAGGATGCCGAAAGCGAACTCGCAGCTGCGGGTAAGGCGAGATGTATCTTCGCCTCTCGGACATGAGATTTAGCTTAAGGGTTATGGGGCTTAAGATTGAGAGTTGCTCTAGGGTTTAGGGTTCGGCATGTTTTAGGGATCCTTCTGACATGGGATTTGGAGAGGTAATCGGGGTGCCTCTTAAATTCGTACTGGTATGCCCTTACCGTCCCATTCATGGTTCTGCCATGCCACTATAGTCACCTTGGGAGTACTTCTTCTTAGGCCTCATAGTTGAGTGTTCAACCAAGAGAGACAGAGACAGACATCCTCCTATCCAAAAACGGTTTTAAACGGCGGGATGAGGTGGATTATCGTGAATGTCATTGTAATGTTGGCAGGCTGCTAAGCCAAAGAAGGAAGTGATGCTCTCGCCAGCACCGTTTGTGTTATTGCTGACGCCTCTAGATCCCCCAAATCCTAGCAAACTATAGAATAGAACCGTTGATGGAACACTCAACGCAGTCGTGACAAGAGCGGCAAGCTAAACAAAGCCCTGCAGAGCCCTAGCATGTCGTTGCGAGCTTTTATATGAAAGGCTGAGGACAGCGGGCAGACGAGGAACACCCTCAAAGTAAATGAAGTCCATCTGGGACCCTCTGACACAACCTAGTTGAAAGTCCTGAAACAGCTGGGGATAAGAAACCCCGAAACAAACCTTAAGCCCACACCAAACTACCCTTAACCTTGCGCCGTCTCACGGACCCTAAACCCTCTGCCCTGTGAGGATAGCCGGCAGAAGAAAAACACACCCAAGCCAAAAGCAGCACTTACAAAACCCTCACGAAGCCTGCATAAATTCAGAGAAGCCTCTGAACCCTGAACCCTAAACCCTAATCCTAATCTCCTGTAAGCCTTTGAATTCAAGAAGCTGAGGATAGCCGGCAGAAGAGGAACAAGATCCAGGGAGAGCTAATCTCCGCATGGGACTTGGCTCCTCAGAAGAATCAAGGAAGGCTTCATACTATAGGGGCCTAGAAAAATTACCTATAATACTTTGGGGGGGGGTTCTTTATTATAACTATAGTATAATGGGCCCCAAAGCCCCATTCAAACTCTTAAGGCCCCTATATTAGCTTCTGGGGTGCAAGTTGTTTTCGAAGGGCTCTTATGAGGGTTCCCATGCGGAATTCTTGCTGTGTGGGTTGGTGGTCCGTTTTTTTATATTTTTTATTGGTATTAGGGCGCCGGCTTGGCGATGTAGGCCTATGTTTCTGTGTTGGGCCGTAGTTTATGTTTTGTGTGAACCAAATCTAGGGGCCGAAATAATTACATGTACTATGTAGTTATTTTCATTATCTTTTTTGTTTTTTTTTTTTTTTGGGGGGGGGGGTCCTGATTATAACTGTAGTATAATGGGCCCCTATATTAAATCCTTGTAATAGCCCTTATAGTAGCTCTTTTAGACCCCTTTAAAAGGAACTCCGTTCGAGTTATTAAGGCCCCGATGCGAATCTCTCTGCGGCTTCCCGGGAGGAAGGCCAAGGAGCACCAAAAGTCGCACCTACGATGTAGGTTACCAGTTGTTGCGAAAATCCTCACTTAAGAAGTAGGTTTCTAGTCGTTACTAGTCATGTGTAATGTAAACCGTTTCAACAACTATGCAGGTAACCGGAGCCTAAAATAGTGCAGTTCTCGATCAACAACAGCAGCAGAAAGCAGCACGAGCAATTTTCAGGCGCATTTGCCACAAGGCCATGGCTTGTCCTGCTTGTCTGAACCCTGAACCCTGCACCCAGAAGCAATGAACCTTAGCCCCAAGCCCCGATGTCTAGCCGGACCTCACGAAAAGCAAGCCCCGAGCCTTTGCTTCAAAACTTCGCCCAGCTTACAAAGCATTACAATTCCAGGCACAGCGTCTCTTCAAGATCGTGGAGGCGGGCCTCAGCGAACCACATGAGCCTTGACCCCAAAAGCCTTAAACTCGTACTCAACCTTAAGGCTCTAAACAGTAAGCCTGCACCCAAACGCTAAAGCCTAAACAGTACGCTCCGGTGACAGCAAACCCAAAGTTCCTTTCACAGCAGGGCAGCTCTACAAAGATATGCCGGTGTCGGTTTTGGGTTAAGGGTTCAGGTTCACCTTGCACCCCAAGCTAACATAGGGCCTTAGTAAATGGAGTAGGGTTTCGGGGCCCATTATACTACTCATAATAAGGAACACTCGAATAGTATAGGTAATTATTAAGGCCCCCATGTTACATCCTAAGCTAAGAAATCCCATCTTTGGAGAGGCGCAGAGTGCCGGGGTGCCCAATGAGGATCGCTGCAAGGCTGGTTTCTGCTGGCTTTTGCTGGGTTTGGCCAGATGGGCTTTTTACGGTTTTGGCTTAGGTCTAGCCCTCACGGTATGCATGTCTGAAAGGTTGATTTGAGCCGAGTTTTATGCATGATTCAGCAATATGAGCTTGATGAAAACGTGGCAGCGCCTCGTGTAGGCATTCACAACGGAGTGCAGTGCAGAATGCAACCCCGTCAGAATTCCAGAGGTCCCCTTTACGTGGGTTTAGGTAGCATCGCAGGGCCGTGAATGCGGCGTTTAGGTTGCTGAATGTAGGAGCCTACCTAGATGCCTGATTAATCAGTCAGATGCAGTACTACAGTTAGTTCTTAGGCTCACTTAGTACGGCTGCCGTGTCCAAACAAACTAGACTATTCAGGCCTCTCCAGTTGGTCTTGATGCCCCGGGCCAGTTTCATGTTGGAGGTTGTATTTGCTATGCAAAGAAGGAGGGGAGGAGCGGGAAAAACGACCACAAGATGCGCAGGAAAGCTGAGGTTGCGACATGTTCGTCAATAACATCTGAGTTACTGTGAGAAGCTCGCCAGGACAAAGACTTCAATGCAAAGCCTGGTAGCCTGCATAAACCCAAAGCGCTAGTTGTGGTAGGTTTTGGGGCCCCGAGATTGAAATCGCAGATCGCCGTATAAATCGATTTTCCCTGAGGTGCATCGCGTGGATCCGACGATGCCAGTGGTTACAATGCCGCTGGTATCTTCGCAGCACACGTGGAGCTTGGATAGGCTTAGGGCGTTTATGTTTACCAGCACAGTCTCCTGGTACCTTCGGCCTATTGGGGGGGGTATGTCGGGACAAAGCTTAGGGGTAATAACTTCGTAGAAGGTTGGAGCCTGGGGGGGCTTTGGGCTTAATTAGGGTGTTCCAGGGACCAGCTGTTGCTGTTTAGGCTATTGGGGCAGTTCATTTCATGGTTTGCACTTCAGAGTTCCTCCCTATTCTACTCTTATTCTGCGTAAGGTCTAACACGAAGGGTTCTTTTAGGGCTGAGGGTTTCAGCGTCAGAGTTAGGGCGTAGGGTCTCCTCCACACTCCTACGCCGAACCCCAACACCAAAGCCCCAGATCCTCAAGTTCGATCATGGGTAACAGACCGCTCATTACAGGTTGCAAAGTCTTCTGTAGGGGCTGGTAGGCCGGTGGACCGTCGATACCATAATCCCTACTGTAAAACCTGCCCGATACGAGGGCCCAAACACTTAGTAGCATTATCCCCCTATGCTCCCTGATCTCTTATTATAGTGTGGGTTAGCCCTCTTCCAGTGGTAACATGAAAGCCCCAATATCCAATACAAGAAGTAAACCCTAAACCCTGAACCCGAAACCCCTAAACAGTAAACCCCTAAGCCTTAAACCCCAAAGCCCAAAACCCTAAACCCACCTGAAGCCCTAAACCCTTAAACCCTAAACCCTACTAAACCCTAAACCCTACAAACCCTACTACAGCCTAGGCCCAAGACCCTAAACCCACCTGAAGCCCTAACCCCCGAAACTCTAAACCCTAAGCCTTAAGCCCTACACCTTCAAAACAACGAAAGACCAGGTTGGCTCTAGGCCCTCCTCAAGAAGATCCTCCAAAAACACCGCTGGGGAAGGCTCCAAAGAGGCGAACCCGCAAAAGCTTACGGGTTTAGGGGTTTAGGGGCTTAGGGGCTTAGGGGTTTGGATTTAAGGGTTGTGGGTTTATTAGGGTTCAGGGGATTAGGGTTTATTAGGGTTTATCTGGGTATATTAGGGTCTAGGGCTTTAGGTTGTATGCATGCTTTAGGGCTCTAGGGTTCTAGGGTTTTTTTAGGACACTGGCATTTGTGGTTGGAGTTGTGAATTAAGGGTTCTTGGGTTCGGGGTATAGGGTGGGAAAATCTGATTCTTTAACAGGGTTGTGTTGCTGGATGTTGATTCGAAGACTTTGTCTTGGATTTCGGGTCTACAGTTGAGGTTCAGGTTTCGTGTGGTCTTAGGGTTGGGGCATTTAATCTGTTGTTTTGGGTATGTCGTTTTTTTTCTTGTTGTTTGCGTTGTTGGCTGATGGTCGTGGGCCCATGGTCATGGGCCGTTGTGGGTTTAGGATGCTGGTTTGGTTTTGGGGGTCAGGGTGGCATTTTGATTCTTGATTCAGGCATCTGTCTGATCGTGTTGTGGCTTAGTGTTTCTTGGCGGGAGATGCATCGGAATGATGAGAGGGTGGTTCTGATAAGGCCTCACAGTGCTAGATGCCCTGCTGGCAACACTAGGATGCCCCGTAGTACCCTGATTCCGATTTTGTAGTCCTAGGTTCCCTATAACGTTCTACCCACTACCAAAAAGGGAGCCCTTTTTATTCCTAGGTTACCGGGCATCCGAGAACAGAATGCAATGAAAAGGGTTTCGGCAGCTTTGCGGACAATCTGCCATGGTCAACTTCGCAGAAACAATAGGGAAGTCAAGTCGGCTTGCCGTGATCATAGCAATCCCCAAGCATACTCATGTTCTGACCCCCGCCGTTGGGCCTAAATCAATCCCTAAACCCGACTCGTTTTCGGACATTGTGCTTGTAGGCCCTGACGCTAGAGCCGCGTAATCAGGAGACGTCTCCGCGAACTCTGGCTGGGAAGATCGCATCGCTCCTTGTCGGGCTGCCAGACCCACCACTCCGATCCGATGCAAAGGTGCCGTGCTTTGTTGAAGATGGGTGGGGGGCGTGAGGGTGAGGTTCGGGGGAGGGTCGCAGGAATTTTGAAGATTCTTCACGGCGGGTGTTGTCTATCGTTCGAGGCGGTTTAAGGCTTGGGGCATGATATTACATCAGTGATGCCGCACGCATTCTTCTAGGGTTAAGTTGGGTTTATTCAGGGTCTTGCAAGAAATGCAGGAATGATTGAGTGCGTAGTTGGGGTTCTTTTCGGTGCTACCTGCACAACACTTACTTCGTGCAGGAGTTTCCGACAAGGTGTGTGCCTCATGCGCCCTGAAGGACCACATGTCCCCTCTTGGGTATGTATGGTGTGCCGTACACCTGTATGTAATATCAACCATGAAGCCTATTGTGCGGTTCATGTGGCCCTTCATAAGTACGTAACCTAAGCCTGCGACGCTCTCAATGTTTGCGATGTAATCGAATACTCATGACTCAGGTGGCCTTAGACCCCCAAAACAAGGCAATAGACAGACCCCTGAGGGATTACACTCTTTCTCTACATAGAATGGTTCTCTCAGCGCGAAAATGAGGATCCTTATGAATAGATTTGTTCATACGTGAAGCGGGGTTCGGTGAGAAGGGATCTACATCAATGGAGGGACCTGCATAATTAATTCGATTCGGTTTAGGCATTTCAGGTGTGTGTTCTGCTCTGAGTGCATTGGGAAAGTCATGAGGAATGAGACTAATAAGTAGTCAGGCCCCGACATCCGTCTTCTAATCGTGTACATTCCGTTGCGACATTGCCTACCACTGCCTGCACTTTGCCTGTAGAGCCAAAAGCTTGTTAAACTGTGACTATGCCTTGAAGAACCGCACTGGGCAATCAACAGCCGATGTACCACGTTTAGGGCTTAAGGCTTGGGGGGGGGGTAACCCAAGCCGCGATGGGCAATTGAAAGTGAGTTAGTGTTGGGGCTCAAGAACTCAGACTGGATCCGCAGCCTGTGGCTTAATGCACTGAATTAATGCTCCAAAATGTTTCTGGTAGCCACCTCAACCCAACATCCTGAACGGCCTGGAACCCTCCCTCCCCTAACCCCAAAAGCTTCAGCCCTGAACACTGTCAACCCAACAAAAGCTTCAGCCATGTACGGTCCATAAAACGATTTAGCAAACACAGTCACGACCACACGCTTGTAAAAGCCTTTAAGCACCATTATAGAACTGAAAACACTGCTATTAAACCCGCAGCCCTGGATCAGGACATTCGCGAGCAGCTGTGCAAGACGCCTGCGCAGCCCTCCGGCGCAGACACCCTGCAGCCTCCTGGCGGCCTGGGGGTTAGACCTACCTGAGCGCATTGCAGGGTTTAAGGGGGGGGCGTTATAGGCTTTTGAGGTTAGGGCGGGGTGTATCAGGTTGAAGAATTCGCCATACCCTCAAAACCCTATTCCAGTCAATAAGGCCCTTACCTTAAAACCTCAGCTCATTCGATGTCGGTGCTTCTGGTTCCGAGTTCAAGATTCCGAGTGCTGCAAGCCCCAAAACATCCAAGTACCCATACCCTGCAGGACACAAACAATAACCAGAAACCCAACTCCCAACAGACTGTTACAACTTCCCACCCTTAGGCTTTGACAACTTCTACTTCTCCAAAAATTATCTGATGAGAAAAACTGCAGAGTTCTTTCCATCTCGAAACCCTGAACCCTATGGCCCCTAAGCCCTATAAACCCTAAACCCTATAAACCCTAAACCCTATGAACCCTAAACCCTAAAAACCCTAAACCCTATAAACCCTAAACCCCAAACCCCAAAGCGTCGGCTCGAGGCCTTGTCGACCCAGCGCCCCCACGGTTCGGCCCACGAGCGCGGGCTTCACGAGAAGCCGAGCCAGCAGCGAGACCTGGCGTAGTTTTCTTTTTTTTTAAAAAAAAAGTTATACTAAGACTAGTACTGATACTAGTTATGCAAATAATTTTAAGTAATCATAACAAAGACTAATACTGACACTAGTAATATATAATATGAGTATTCTTTTTATAAAAGCAGTACTAAGACTAATATCTAATACTGATACTAGTAATATATAGTACGAGTAATCATAACAGTAGTTGTAATAGTAATACTAGCAGTAGCTTCAAGGAGCAGAAGTTGCAAAGCTTTTGGGTAAAGCGAAGTTTCTTTGCAAGGGCCTCCAGGCCTCCAATAGGTGTTAAATGGGCTTGGAAGCTTCTCGGTACAACGCAGATTGCATTTGAGGGCTTGCATAGCTTTTTGCAGAGTCTGAGAAATCGATTTTTCGGGTTTCAAGGGAAATCGGCACAGCGATCTTCAATATCGAGGATTTTTTACGGTCTTATAGGGCTGTGTAAGGGCTTAGCGGGTTTAAAGTATCTGGTTATGGTGTACTGCAGGGCCACCAAGCCACCAAGCCGTAACGAGCTTGAAGGTGTAGCGGTTGCAAGAGGAACAAGGCAGTTATAACATCGGGCAGCTGTCTAATCTTAGATGCCTCTCCAGATGTTTCTGTTTTGTTATGCTGCCCCTGTTACAGTACAACACAAATGAAACTGATTCTAATGCATAGCAGCCGCACACTCTTTCTGTGACATACGTTTGCAGCCGCACATGCATGAACTGGGATGAGCCCACAATTGAGTCACGGTACACAGTGCAAGACAAGCATGCACCGAAAGTCACGACAGACCGCTTATGCTAAGAGCCTGAAACGACGACTGTACACCATCACACTCTGGTCCCTGAAAGTAGCTTTCCCTTGGAATTGCAATCAGAAGACCCCAATGCTCAATCTTGAAGCCCTCTTTGTTCTGACTTCTCTACTGGGGATTCCCGTCAGCGTCCCGTGGTGAGGAAACCGCCGGTTCTGCTACGGCCACCTCAATCAGCGGCGAAGATGTTCCTTCGAAGACTTCATTCATAGTTATCTCATGTTCCCTGTGTAAAGATAGCAAGCAGTCAAGCCGAGCTTTTCAGGCAGGTTCGTAGACCAAGGTTCTTGCAATCAGCGGTTGCAGTTGGTGCTCTTTGCATAAGAAGTAGTCTGACTCATCCGGTCAATGTGAGGGCCCCTTGCTTTCTGACGTTCCCACATCCTGAGCTGTCACAGGAAAGCCGAGATAGGGCTTGGAGTTTCCATGAACCCTGAACCCGTTAACCGCGACACCCCACGCCGAACCGCTACAACCTTAAGCTTTAAACCTCAGGCTTAAATCCTAGGTCAGAACGACCCTATTCACAATTCGTGTGTGGGCACCTCCAACAACGGAACCCTTGAAAAGGTCCCTAGCTTGACCCACAGAGCTGCACCACCTCACCTCTTCAAACCCGTAACCCTAAATCTAGTCCCATCCCTCGGACCTCTTGTAAACCCAATTCTCGAACCAAACCCATGGTAAAAGCTCGACTTAGCACGAACTTTGGGGTGCCTTCACTGGGTTCCTACAGCACACCACGCAGGCTTGGGTCCCGAACTTGGTTCAGAAGGGTCTAGTACCGGGGGTCTCCCTAAACCTGACACCCAACGCCTACAGCAGAGGTGTCCTGGTGGGACGCCGATGGCTTTGCCAGAGACTTCTGTGATCTCGACGTCGCTCCCAGAGACGAGAGTGGGGAAGCTTGACGAAGTTCTGAAGATCTAGCATTACGTCCTAGGTTTGTCAGTACCCATCTTGCCTGTGTTTTTCGGGCTGTTTATGGTTTTCCTGTTTTAAACGTAAGAGCAGGAGCAATATTTTTTTTACCGTCTACTAGACAGCGGAGTGAAGAAAGTGACGGAAAGCTCGAACATCACCTTCTCATTCCCAAACACTAAACCTTATCCGCCTTATGCCGTCTTCTGATTTCTGGAGTTCGGGTATGTTCGACTCAGAGCATACCCATTGAGAGGCTTAGCGAGATGGGTGTTACAAGGTGAAGAGTACTCCATGATCGCATTGGTGGTTCACAATTGAGCGCTCATGATAGGGGTCATCTTAGGGAATCCAACGCCTAGCTGCGTGTCCCAGCTCTGGACACTCGTTTGTCCAGATCGCATACGGTCGCCAATAGCACGGACAATATCACAAGGGTCATATGGTTCTGCCAACCCTGCTCAGTCCAGGCTGAGCGTACCGACCGAGCTATATATCACAGATTCCCTCAAGCTTCAAAAGAGACGAGGAGCAGGATGCCCCAACTCCGGGCTAGGGGTGGGGACTGGAACGCGCTGAGATCTTCAAAGAGAACTGAAGGGTTCATAGGCGACTGGCAGCATACAGCGGGTGTCCATCGCTTGTGGTGGCTGCCAGTCCATGCAGTTTGTGGTTGCTCCTTCTTCGGAATTCTTACTGTGCCTGTAAGATGCAATGAACAGGGAGTCCTTCTCCTTACTGCTTTTGACCCTAAGCACTAAGCCCGAAGCCCTAGACCACCAAGCCCGAATAAAAGCTCAACACCCACCCCAAATCCGAAACCGCTGGGTTTAGCCTCAGGAGGGTTTTCCCTCTGTCTGCCGGTTCACTGTACTATACAGTAGGGGCCGTAGTAATTACCAATACTATTTTGGGGGGTGGTCTTTATTCTGATAACAGGAAAAATGGGCCCCAACACCCTATTCTAATTAATGAGGCCCCTGCATTAGCCGAGGCCCAGGAAGTCTTGGAAAGCCTGTGCCCAGCGAGGCAGGAGGAACGTCTCGGCGGGTTTCCCTGCTTTGGGATCTCACTAGGAGGCTTTTGATTCTGTCTTGCTATAAGCCCAATTAAGGGGTTATTAAAAAAACACAGCTTTTGCCATATCATAATAGGTTTAAGGGGCATGCGGACTTCATGGTTCATGGGTAGTTCGATTCTACCTGGGTTCTAGGTGCCCCATCACGAACTCTAGCTACAGTTGTTTCACATGTTACTCTACGAACTGGGCCAGCTGACCCTTGAAGTAGGCTGCGCACTTTCTTCAAAGAGGTGCACGACGTGTCACATCCCAAAGCCCCACCCGAAACCCCTGGGTCACCTGTAGCCTCAAGCCCTGCGTGTCCAACTCTTGCAGCCCCTAGCTCGGGGTCCTTTGAACTCATATAGGGTCCTTAAGAATTAGAATGGGGTTTAGAGGTATATTCTACCATGGTTATTTTAAGGAACCACCAAAACCCTACTCTACTTATCAGTAACACCCCTATGTTACGTCATCCTAAAGCTGCCGGGAAGCCATGGAAGTCCGACGGAAATCCAGCGAAGTCCTCGGACTTCAACCCGGTAGGCTCCGGGCCCTCTGCACGTCGCTGCATCGGCGGGTCAGCTTGTCAAAGGCGGACAAGGTGGGGCGACGAATTCAATAGCTGAGCAGGCAGAAACTTTAGCTTTCTTTTGCAGGAGCCCATCGTCTTGGGCTTTATGTTTGGAGTTTAGGGTTTCAGGTTTAGCCAACTTGTTCAATGTCATGTTGCTGCTATAGTATTGTGTAACATTTCGCCAATTCTCTTGTTCTAAGCCGTCCGATTTGATCTTGATAGTACAGCAGTAGGATATCTCCCATTGATCTTGTTCTAAGCCTTCCCAACCAATGCAATGATCTGACCCGAAAGCAGCCGAGCTTGCACAAACCCAAACCGCGAGGCCTTAGGTTAGAAGCCTTCATAGTAATAGTCATAGTCATAGCAGTAGTAGTAGTAGTAGTAGTAGTAGTAGTAGTAGTAGTAGTAGTAGTAGTAGAAGTAGTAGTGTTGGTAGTGGTAGTAGTAGTAGTAGTAGTAGAAGTAGAAGTAGAAGTAGAAGTAGAAGTAGAAGTAGTAGTAGTAGTAGTAGTAGTAGTAGTAGTAGTAGTAGTAGTAGTAGTGGTAGTGTAGTAGTGGTAGTGTATTAGTGGTAGTGGTAGTTGTAGTGGTAGTGGTAGTGGTAGTGGTAGTGGTAGTGGTAGTGGTAGTGGTAGTAGTAGTAGTAGTAGTAGTAGTAGTAGTAGTAGTAGTAGTAGTAGTAGTAGTAGTAGTAGTAGTACTAGTACTAGTACTAGTACTAGTACTAGTACTAGTACTAGTACTAGTACTAGTACGAGCATAAGTACGAGCAGAAGTACGAGCAGCAGTACGAGTAGTAGTACGTGTAGTACGAGTACTACGAGTAGGACGAGTAGGACGAGTACGGGTCGAGTAAGAGTAAGAGAATTAGCACGGAATAGTAACACTCACAATAAAAGCAGCAAAAATAATCAAGAATCAAAATGATAACAAGAAGAGTATTAATAGCACTATTACTATAGTAATACTGATATTATAATAGCAGACAGTAAGAGTTCTAGCGGTCTTGTAAGTCTCAGGGTCCAAGGTCTGTGAAGTTGTTCAACCCAAAAACTCTTTGTCTAATCCCCAACCCCTACACACCTCAAACCCCACAATGAATTCTAAGAAGAGTGGTAATAGTAAAACTAGAAGTATCATGCTTCCGCTCCTCCGGGGCCTTAGTCCAATCATTGATCATCGAGGCAGCGATATATAGGTTAGGATATTCCCGATATATGTAGGGGTGGTGTGGTGTGCCCCAGAACCCTATTCCAGTTTTTTCAGTCATCTACCTCACAGAGCGTTGGGTTTATAGGGTTTGGGTCTTGTATCTCAGGCCGTAGCCTGAGTTCCAAGGGCAGACGTCGCGTCTCAGGGACGGGGCTTGTAAGGAAAAGCTACCTGTACTTCACGGACCTTCGTAAGGTTACCAAGATTCTGAGGGATACGCTTACTATCACTTTTTTTAAGAGTAACCTCAGGATCCCTGCAGGTTGTATATACACCCAAAAATCGCTGCCACCCAGCCCTGAACCGACACTCGAACATTGTATGAGTCACAGTCAGTATTTGCGGTAGCACTACTACGGCCTTTCAAAGGAGTGATAAGCAGTCATGTGCTTGTTGAGTTGGTAATGTGTACATCACATCAACTCATATCACTCCCAGTTTCAGGCTGCTGAAAAGGCCAAAGCCTTGGACGAGGTCGCCCGGCGGCTATCCCACTCGGAGACTTGTCCGAAACCCCCACAGCTGAGGCCCCCCGACACCGGGAGCCAGCAATCCGGTTAATGAGGGTCTGACGCCTCTGAGGGTTTCTGAACAATTCATAGTATAGTTGTTTGTTTTTATTGGTTTTGGCATTTGTTGTGTTTTACAATATTGTTCAGCTCGTACCTGGTTCGTGTCCAGCGCCGGAGTTTGTGAGGTTTGGAAGTGTGCTTAGAGTGGTGTTGAGGCGATGTTCAACGGAAGCCAGAGAAATGGTTGAATCGGTGGGTTTGTCCCTGTGTAAATACAAAAGACCGTTTAGGAGTTGGAGGTTTGTTGGTTGAGGTTGTTTATGTTTTGCTCCCGTTTCTTTGGGTTTTGTGGTTCAGCCCTAACCTTAAGCCCAAATATGGGGGGGGCCTAAATAATTATCTATACTATTTCTAGGGTTCCGTTTTATAGCTATAGTATACTATGCCCCAAAACCCTATTCTAATTAAAAATTCAGGCCGCTAGATTAAACCCAGAAGTATCAGTCTTAGACCCAAACCGCAGCCCGGAAGCCTCAATCTCATAGGGATCCTTAGGGGTGTAGGGGGGAGGGGTGTAGGGGACTATATTTCCTTAAATAGGCCTTATTAGTCCTTATTATGGGCCTTAAGGCCCCCTACCCCCCCTCCCCTCACACCCCTAAGGATCCCTATGACAATCTGGAATCCTGATACCCTGTAACCCAAGGAGACCGTCGACCGCATTCGTGAGATGGAGCGGGAGATCGCGAAGTACAAGGACATATGGGAGTTTCTGAAAATAGGGGACCCTAATGTAGTACCCTAAATAGTAGGATCCGTATTGCAAGGACCCCAAAATACGGCACCCTAGTTTTCGGAAACTCCCTTTTGTCTGGGTTCGGATTTCGGCAGAAGGGTTTCGAGCTCAGGGCTTGGAGTTTGGAGATTCGGGTCTCCGGTTCAGGAACTGGGGTTTGGGATTTAGGGTTTAGGCTAGCTTGCGGGTTTAAGTAAGGCCTTGCGAATTTCAGGAGCTGGTGCTGTAGGAGTTTTGGATTTGAGGCTCTGCAATTTGATATGCCACCTGTTTGAGTCGGCTGTGGCCGACGATGGCACCGTAATCCCCCATGTGTTTCCTTGGCCAAACACCCTGAAGTTCCCGTGGAGTTCCATAAAGCCCACCTATGAAGCCTCATCAATGCCTTCTGAGGCCCTTACTAACCCTCCTGGTCTGCTGAGGAGCAGCAGGTGGTCCAGCACGAGGAGCAGTACAACCTCGAGTGCGTCCTGAAGCATTGCAACGAAAGCTGGTCTTCCTTGGGCAACTGAGGTCCTGAAAGCTCCAAGTTTAACATCCGGGTGCCGGCGTTCCTTAGGAATCATGTGTTTATTAGTATGATTGCGTGTTAGTATAAGATTAAAAGAATGACTGTTGTCATAGATCTCAGGTGCTTACAGGGATATCAGCTGAGTATCTAGTAGTACTAGTCGTAGTAGTAGTAGTAGTAGTAGTAGTAGTAGTAGTAGTAGTAGTAGTAGTAGTAGTAGTAGTAGTAGTAGTAGTAGTAGTAGTGGTAGTGGTAGTGGTAGTAGTAGTAGCAGTAGCAGTAGCAGTAGCAGTAGTAGTAGTAGTAGTAGTAGTAGTAGTAGTAGTAGTAGTAGTAGTAGTAGTAGTGGTAGTAGTAGTAGTAGTAGTAGTAGTAGTAGTAGCAGTAGTAGTAGTAGTAGTAGTAGTAGTAGTAGTAGTAGTAGTAGTAGTAGTAGTATCCTCGCATACTCCCTACATAAATTGTAGAACATACTCCACTATATCCAAAACCCTGTTCTACTTGTGAAGGTCCCTATCTTGGGGCCTAGGTGTTTGGGGTTTTGCGCTTCATGCGAAAAACAGATTAAAAACTGTAGTGTTTAATTGAAGCTCTCATCGAAAATAAGAGAATACCATAATTAGCACCCTTAAGGAATCTTGCGAAGACCCAAGTTCTAGACAACAGATTCAGAACCTCTCCAAGGCGTTTTAAAATCCTCCCACTTGCACGTGTTTTTTGGAATTCTGCAAGATCCGGTGCGTGGTTCCAAGATGGTCGATCCCGCGCCAAAATGCCTCGGACCCCTGTCGACCGAGAGAGCCTTGAGCTGCACCCCAAAACCTTCTAAAACTGTATTCCTGTAGGCGCCTTAATGATTACTATTTTGGGGTAATAAGGGGCCCCGAAACGTTATTAAGGCCTCTGCACTATGGAGGCTTGAAAGGTACTCCAAATACTTAAACCGCGACAACTCCGTACTTTAGCTTTACTTGCTACTGTACGTCCCGTGATCGTTTAGGCATCCCTGCATAAGCCCGTATAAACCCTATACCACCTAAACCCACCGTTTAGGATGCTGAAACTACAAAGCTATCTTATTGTCCAGTTTGGGGTCGCCTTCAAGACTTAATAGCCCCAAGCTCTTGCAGAACGAGTAGGAGGAGGGTCTAGGGTTTAGGCTTTTTAGGGGTTGAGGCTTGCACTGTCAGATGTGAGACAAGGGCTTCTTAGTATGTGTGTGTGTGCGCGCTACTACAAGTATATCCTGAAACATGTTTGTCAGTGCACATCCAAGGGGCCAAGGCAGTAAACAAACTGTGCAACGAATCCTGCAGACTCCTACATCCTATGAATCAACATATCCCCTGCAGTAACAGCTACTGTTGGAGGATGGTGTAGGTTTAATTGAGGCCTCATGCTTCTTAACCGGGTTAAGGGGATTGACACACCCCAAACCCCAACTTTGAACCCCAAAGTCAGGCAGCTCAGCAGAAAGCAGGGGAGAGGAGCACGTCAAAGAAGGAGCCCATTAGGGGCGAAGATCGCCCTTGGGTATCGATTGGGGGCCCTTCAACCCTGGCTCTTCTGAACCCATCGTCCCCAAAGTCCTGAACTCCGAGGTCGACCCCCACGCCTGGTTCATACCTTTGCGCTTACAGTGCCCCGTTCCGTAATTACTTGTTTTTTAGTACCCCTTTTGTAACCCGTACCGCGACCACCATAGACACGCCTACAATTCGCGCTGCTTAGGTAAAGTACTTCTGAGAGAACCTTCACTAATCCTGAACCTTTGAATAAACCTAAATCCGAAACCCCAAAGCCTTAAACCCCCAATCCCAAAGCCCTGACAAACCCTAAGCCCTAACGCCCCAATCCAAAAGCCTCCTCTGGAAGAGCCCTCAACGGCGCGACTCTCGAGTTATGCCTCGGATAGCTGCGGGGCCTGGGGATTTATCCGGTGATTCAATGTGGTATGTGGTCTTGTCTGGTTTTGTGCTATTGTACGTGGATATCTCGTGCTGTTTCATGTAGGGCCTTAAGAATTATGATTAAGGTTACTTTGAGGGGGCACATTATAGTAGAACTGTGTAGGAACTTTCATGGGGAAATGCTATCTAATTCGCGAGACCTCTACATTAGGGGTTGATAGGGTTTGGAGTTAAAGCTGTTGGGGTTGAGAGTTCCGCGTTCGTCGTTGAGGGCTCGGTTGGTTGAGAGTTTGCTTAGGGTTTAGATCAGGTTTAACTCGTTCCAGCGGTGTCCGGCCAAATCTGGCAGAACAGCTGCACGCCGAAGCAACAAAAGCAGGAAGGTGCTCCAGCAAATGGAGTCACCTGCCTTGGGTCCCTGAAATTCGACATTGGGTTGATTCTCCCTCGTGCACTCAATGTATTGAAACCATCAAAGGGGAGAAGGAGGGACCCTTAATGGGGACCCCTACCCTATAATGGGCTATATAACGGGTATGTAATGGCTATATTAAGGGCATATTACCTAGGGGACCTTATTAAGGGTCCCTCCTTTACCCTTGGAAACCAATAGAGCCCCATACCCCTTAGACACAGTGTTCTGCTGTCAACTTGCTCGGGTCTGAAAAACTAGTAGTTTGTACAATAGATGTCCCTGTAAATTCCGTTTGTCGTCATATATAACTATACTAGATTGAGCCCCTAAACCGGATTCAAACTATTGAGGCCCTTGTGTTTCTTAAGGGGCTACAACCGACCTTTCGTGTTTCTGTGATTGTGAGTTGGAGCTTGGCACAACATCAGGCACGCTGAGTGGCCTGAATAAGTATTTAGAACAGTGCTTCGGGGGTATAGTCTGCTAGACGGATACTCGGATACTCAAAATGATGATGAAACCTGGGATTGTTGGCTTCCGGCTGCACAGCAGCACTTGCAAACTCTGGTATAGGACTCCCGATCTCTGCGCCATACCAGCGACCAATCCCAGCCTAAACCCAATCCTCTGTTTGATTTAAAGAACCCCACACCATAGATCCTACACCCGAACCCCCATGAATCCTCAGCCCCAAACGCTGAATCCTAAACACCAAACCCAAACCATTCCAAAACCCAAACCCCTCGCCCCAAACTCTGAACCAAGGGTGTGGGGCTGCCAGGGCCCGCTTGAGCTTCCTTGATCCTTTAATCTAGAGTTGATCCCTTTAACTACTTCGAGGATGGGCAGGTAACACCAATTTAAGATTTGAGAGTGCAACGCCCTGGTGGCGTGTATTTCTCGGTAATTTAGAGGTTTTCACACGAGTTTATGCACCCAGAATATTAAGCGTTGTGTTGCCTCATCCAGGCATGCACCCTTGATTTTGAGTCTTGGGCATGTCACGAAGTAGGAGTTTGTTGGGGAAGAGGGAGGAGGTTTGCCATCCAGCATCTCCATTGAAGTTGAGGTGCGTGATCTGGCATATCATGTCAAAATCATTAAGAATCCATCACAACCCCTGGGTGTCTATCCACATATGCATCTGGCTTTAATGGATGCGTGTTTATGGAAATGTGTATATTCACATGTGCATACGAATGCTGACCTGTAACTTAATGTATATATCATGTCTTCAACTAGGGATTGAAATTGTGGCGTGGGCTGCAGCATAAAAGCGACTATATTGACAGGCAGACCGTCATCGATGTGTATATACAACCACATCTGAAGCCGTGGCTACACTTATAAAGCTCTGAGGGGTTTGCCACCTTTGAAGGTTTGCTACCCCGTCATCTACTATTGAAGCCTCGGATTGAGAGTGCAATATCTTCTAGTCTGCCTGTATTTGGGAAAACAGTCATCGATTTGAGGATCCAGTTGTGGTTCCGCCACTCATCGAACTTCTACGGGGGTTTGGCTCATTACATCCATGCGCGGCACTGCGTTTCAGCCGAATGTCTTCCAGTAGAGTTTGGATGCTCTGGACACACGTCATCGTTTTCGGTACTCAGGTTCGCTACACACTATATATCTTTCGTGGATAAGTGTAGCCCGTGATATGTACTAAAGTGTTCAGACTCTGGTTTTTATTCTGGTGGTCTCCCAGCATCCCCTAATGTGATTTGCATTTCTGGCTGGGTGGGCCACACCTTTTAAGGATTAGCTTACGGTGTAATAGGGCATGTTAATCAGTTATTCTATTGAAGACCTGTTGTTCGCCATCATCCACCCACTTCCATGTAAATCCCAAAGACAATGTAATTACCCATTTCCGTGATGCACACAAAGTTATATGTGTGTGTATGCATGTATACATGTGTCATCCACCCATAATATGCTTGCAAGGTTCCAATTTACATCGTGTGTGCAACTGCAGCGTGGCCTTGCGGTTACATACCCAGGTACTTGCATGTATATCGCAAAAAAACCTATCTATATGTGCATATTTATATAGAGATAGATTTATGCATATACATGTGTGTGCGCGTGCATGGGCTTCCAAAGTTCACGAACTTGTATATGGTTGCATAGGCTTCGAGAGTGCATGAACTTGTATACGTGCATATCTATGTATATATATATATATATGTACACACACATATATTACATGTATATGTAGATGTATATATGTACAGGTGTGGAGGACGTGCTTCCACACAGATTTGAAATTCCGCATCCTGTACCCACCATGCCCTTTCGGGGTTTGGGATAGGAGCCTGCGGCCCTCCATTTTCCTTTCAGTGCATGGCTGCCTAAATGCCTCATTGTTGCATACACATATGCTCGCTTATTTCAGAAATATTGCACATGTTTCCGTGATACTTATGTATGTACGTATATACCCGTGTATGTACATATGTATTAAGCATATATGTATGTGTGCATAAGGATGGGAAAAGCATGAACATGGAAACAGCATGAGCATGTGTGTATGTAAGCATACACATCCATATGCAGGTGTGTATGCATGCCTTCATGTCATATACCAACATGCATACACAGACGTGTATATAGATACATACATATATATGTTGGTACAAACACCTATATACCAAGGTTGGCTTCCAGGTAACTATATATGTTCCGCCTCAAATGTAACAAGGATTTTGTAGCTTGCAATTTTTACTGCATTGTCTAAGTTTCTGGGTGAGGGTCCAATATCTTCTACAGTCTAAGGTTTTGGGTTCGCCACCCAGCATCTCTTGAGACGGTTAGGACCATCATATGCATTTGGGTTCGAGGCCCAATAACTCCTTCTGAACTTGGGTCCCGGTACAAGGATCTTATTCCCATCATACTTTTACTGTGTAGAATGAATTACCCATCATACTTCTGTCACAGTTTTCAGGTGTTGGAGCCGCTTTCCTAGGTGGTGGACAACACTAGCAAGCGTAAAGTCTTGACAGAGGGATGTTTCATTGGACAGGACAGGATTGGTGGCATACTGGAAACCTTGAAATGATTGAGCAACGCTGGATTGGGAGTGCCAAAGGCCGAAGGCTCCAGGCATCCTCTGCTTACAGACATGCGCCCTCCGGATGGCCCCTGGGGGCCGGGCGCCAAAAAAAAAAAAAAAAAAAATTGGCCAGAGATTTTGCACACAAGATTTTTTTTTTTTTTTTTTTTTTGGCGCCCCCCCCCCCCAGGGCTCCAGGGCCTCCAGGCCTCCATACTCCAAGGCCTAGAGGCCTAGAGCCACACCTTAAGGCCATGCCCTTATGTCCTTGAAAGTTTGTCCCATAACTTTATCTCTATCGGACCGGTGTTCGGTTATGCCCGAACATTTTCAAATGGTTTGGTGGAATTTGTTGTCAATTCAGAACACGTCGTAAAATGTTGTATGCTGCTAAAACAATGTTGCGGGAAACGAAGAGCTTGCTGAGCTTGCCATCTGAGAGTGCAAGTGAAAACACGAACACACGAAAAAGCACGCCACCAGGGCGTGATGTTCTGTAAGATTTTGGGTTTTTATGCATATTTCCACCATGTTAACTTTTTGCGGGCTGGATCAGAAGAGCCCTATCGCGCTGGAGGCGTATTCCTTCATTCATGCCTGGTATACTGCATTTAGCCGTCACGTTGTTTTGTGGCTCAGAGCTGCTCAGGTGATCTGTCGTTGCCTACTTTAAGGATCAAGGGACTCAAAGCAAGGATCAAGGGTCTTTGTGAGTGCGCCCGCCTAGGGCTTAGGGTATGTGTCGGTGGAGGGCCACGTTGCTGTGTTGTTTTTCCGCTCTCGCATCGTAGTTGTCCTTCGCAGACATGCGGCCCTATCCACCAGAAGAGGATCCGACTGAGCAGCAATACGGGCTGTCTGTGCCCGCCGGAAACTCGCCAGCATTGCCTGAAATCAATGCCACCTGGCAGCAATCGCCCTTGCGTGGAAGCTCGCGCAAGCTGTTGTGCCAGGACTGTCCATTAGACTCATACCAAAGCAGGAGAAGAGGTCTTAGATATGTCATGCAGAGGCCTGATCAGAAGGACCCCGAAATAAGGTAGCCCTAATTGTCAATTGCTAGCAATTGATAGCCAACAAACCCATTTTACCGAAGTGCGGCTGTAGGATGTGCATATGCTCTAGAAGATTATGGTTTAGAGTTTAGAGTATACGGTTCCGCAATGTGACACATTTTGGAGTTAGTTGGTTTAGGGTCGTGGGGTTCAGAGTGTAGACGCCATTTGAGCCACATATAAGCTTCATGAGTGTCTTGTGCTCAAGTTTCAGATAATCCACCACAGATGAGACAAGGAGCACTGTTCAAGCTACCTGCAGAGGGCCTACAGCAGGTGCGTTCCTTCAAAGGGCTATTGGGCTCTTTGGGTTTTGTGGCACAGGGCCTGCAAGGAATGCAACGCCATGTTATAGCAACGCGGCGAACATACGAATGATCTTGAACCTGTCCTTGCAACATGCTTCCGGAGGATTGAAAGTGAATTTTATTAGTCATCTCGGTTCCGTTTAAGCTTCTCACCACTCAGGTTTCCATCGTGGAGCCGGTTCATCCAGAAGAGGATCCTCCTGACCTCCACGGAGTTTCTGCTGCCGCCGACGATGGTCGGAACAGTCGTGAGACCGATGCCCTCCGACATGAATCACTTTGCCATGTAATGTAAAGCTGTGGGTTTTAAGGGTGTGGTGTGGAATGCAGGTACCCTAAACCATGGACCGTAAACCCTAGCTGGATCTTTAGGGCTGCGTATTAGGGTTAAAGTACAGTATGCTCCATCATTTTTCGGACACCTGCCATTCTAAACTGGCAGTGCATGCGGTCGAGGGAATGTCGGTTTGGGGTATAGAGCAGGTCGATTGGGGACAGCGAACAAGGTTTATTTAGCACATCCCACCAGGACAAACGCGACGAAACACCCACAGATGGAACTGCCTGTGTATTAACAACAGGTACCGACTCGATTCTCGTGACAGGTTAAATCACCCACAGCACCCATGAAGCCCTAATCTTACTGAATTGAGTCAGACTTGAGCCGAAGGTCCAGGATATGAACTCAGACGATAATCCTGGAACCTAAACCGAATGAAAGCCTATTAAGTCCAAGACTTCCTGAATCTCAAGAACTCCTAAGCCGCGCCCTGAACCCTCAAACGGGGTTTGGGGTTTGGGTCAGGGAGGGTTGAGAGTGTGCAACCTAGGCTTCTTTCCGTCAAGCAGAAGATGCTCCAGCCCCTGCAAGACTCTCAAAATCCACAAGCGAGCAGTCTTTGCCATCATCCGGGAATGCCCCAGAAGATCGCCGAGCCGATACCCTCAACGATCTCCGGTGCTGTTTCAGCTGTCCTTGCCTGTTTGGGACATGGTGTCCTTGAAGGGATTTTCTTATAGGGACCCTTTACGGGATTCTCTTAAAGGGATCCTTTAAAGGGCATCGGCAAAAACCGCAATTTATCAGGTCTTATCTTCGAGGCAGAGGAGGCCCGAGTAGGTGATTTTGCTCAGCCTGCCTGGGCATACATGGGAGTTTCCGGAAATAGGGGACCCTAATATAGTACCCTTAAATAGTAGGATCCTTCTTATAAGGACCCAAAAACAAGGTACCCCCAATTTTCGGAAATTCCCACAGCAGCCTGCCATACTTAAAAGGCTTAGGATTCAGGGCGTAGGGTTCAATGCAGGTCAATCTGTTTTCATTAGGGATCGGGTACGAGACACAACACGAAGCAGAGGAGCCTCAAGGATCAGATGACCTTCTTCCCCCGTTGTCCTTTGCTGACATCTTTTTGGACCTCGCATGGGTTAAGTAAGGGCTCGGGGGTGAGATTCGCCTCACCTTGTTCCAAGTAGTCAGACCCATGCGCGCTGACTCCCAAAACCGAGGCGCGAAATGCCAAAACGAACTCAGTGTCACTTGTCACTTCGGGGCAGGCCTTTTTCTCCTTAGGTTTTGGCTGAGGTGGAAGGCTTTCTGGCCAAGGGGCTGGGGGTTCACAGAATTTTCCAACTTCACTCCTGTTCCTGTTAGAAGAATTAGACCGCCCTCGAGAAGTATCTCGAAGTTTGGGGGCCTCCAGCCAAGCACAACCCACAAGTAAGTTCACATCGCATGAAGACATAGCCTGGAGGCTCTGCGTTCAAAGTGTGTTTGCTCTAAGTTTCATATAGTTTGGGCTCCTGTGCCAGGGCCACGCTTTGCGAAGGTCCAACTTCAGACCGCTAGTCTTGCGTTGCTGCTGTTGAGCCTCTCAATACTCTGGCGATCCCTTTCTGAAGGAGAGTAGTGCCCTGTTAGGCCTCAACTCAAAACTCAAAACCCCAAACCTCACAAGCCGACTGCTAAAGCCAGAGCGCCAACATTCAGCCTATCAGTACTTAGGTTACTCCTAACCCTAAACCCCTAAACCTGCTTGTAATCCCTTCTACAACCAACCCTGCCAGCCCTCGAGACCGCCTCCTGAGCCCTGAAGCCTACACCCCAAACGCTAAGCCTTAAATTTCAAGCCTAAGCGGTAACCAGAAACTCCTTTCGGTCCTGGACCCCCCATGCCCAAGGAGCATGAAGCATGGGCGGCCCAGTTCATGTCCCGAGACTGGGCCAAAGGGAGCAGGGCAGCAGCCGAGAATCTTTTTTTGGGATGGATCGGCAGAATCAGTAGTACTTCGTATCCTGATTTTATACCGCCAAGCTGTGAGTTCAAGGTCCCTGAAGTCCCTCAAACCCTAAAGGCTTGGAGCTTGTTGGTCCTCATTCCTCGGTGGGAGCCGAACAGTGGAGTTTGAGAGAATTGGGTTTTCGGGTGTTTCCAATTGAGTCGGGAAATCGGGCTAAACCCGGAGCCCTCGACCCCTTCCTGTGAACCCGTAAAGTATGAAATCAAGCCATAAACATAAACCCTAAAACAGGGGCTTAAATAATTGCCGATACCATTTTGGGGTTCCTCATTAATATATCCCCCCAAACCCGAATCTACTCGTAGTTATTAAGGCCCCTCTACTACAGCGCCTTGAAGTCATGGAACCCTGTCGCCCAAAACCCTTGTGAAGAATCCTGCGGGGCGACCTTGGAAACCCAGATGTATTTTTAGTTCCAATAATATATAAGGTATATAAAGTAACTGCAGAACCCCTAAAACTTAAACTTCCCTATAACCCATAGCACCCTGAAAAGCCCTAAACCCTGAGCCCACCGCCTGAAATCTGCAGAGGAATGAAGCCAGCGGCCCCAGACATCATCCAGGCTGTCCGGGCGCATCACGCCGTCAGAATGTTCGGCCGCGTCTTTCGGAATCGGAAGCTCTGCGTGGAAATGTAAAAAGGGCCAGAATACATATAAATATTAGGCCTTTGTCTTCCTTGATCTAAATATACTATACTGTTCCCCGAAACCCCGGCCCCTATCTTAGCTTGTTTTTTGTTGTGAAGTTTCAGGGTTTCGGGTGTTGGGTTTCGATTCCCGACCAGAGTATTATAGCAATATGAACTAGGAGCCAGTGGATGTTATGAGTTCTTTTGGTCCTTCAGGATAGGGGCAAGGGCATCCTATGCGAAAACGAGTATTGAGACGACGACGATAGATCAATTTTGGAGTCACAGCTGGCATGGCCCGAAGTGGAACAAAGCTATGACGGCTGTATACCTGAATAATGGCATGGTGGCAGCGCTGGTGGCGACCTTGGTTTCTTGGCCCTCTCTTGCACAGAACTTACATTGTCGTATGTGTGTTCTGAAGAAGGAACAATCACATGCAACATCCCTCCAGAAGACATGGAACACCCCACATCCGTTTGAGTGGCAATCGCAGGAGCCCATGAGGTTCCATGCCAGCTTTGCCTCAAGAAGCTCTAAGCGTCAAGCCCTGAACGCTACCTGCTAAGCCCGAGGCCTGGAACCCTAAATTGTCACTGTCAAAGAGCCTACATGAAAAAGCCGAGGTTTCGGTGTTATTGATGTTACTCCATGCCTATCAGACCTTGCCATGCCTTCGTTTTGGCAGGCTTGGTCCGCTTTGTAGGGGCTGAGTAGAATGGTTTGAATAATTACTTCTACTGCTGCGAATGCAGTGTTAGTGTTTTGGGGTTTTGAATATCCTGCAATTTCGCACCGCCACGAGTTGCGCACTGCAGTCTGTCTGAAGACTGCCAGAACCCAAAGTCAATAATGACTGTTTGCAAACTCGGAGTCTTACGGTTTAGGCTTTGGGGTTTGGGATTGGAGGTTTGGGGACCGATGGCCCTCCGGGCGCATGGGCACCTTGTAGTACGCGTCTTCCCTCGGATCTGGTGTCTTCCCAAAAAGACCAAGAAATCGTGATGCTGCTGTGATTACCTCCGCGACTGCTGCTGCTACTATATGACTATTAAGGTATTGATGAACGTTACCACAACAACAACGGCAACAACAACAACAACAGCAACTACTGCTGCTACTGCTACTGCTACTACTACTACTACTACTACTACTACTACTACTACGACTCCTACGACTCCGACTACGACTACGACGACGACGACGACTTCTACTACTGCTGCTGCCACTACTACTACTACTACTACTACTACTACTACTACTACTACTACTACTACTACCACTACCACTACCACTACCACTACCATTACCACCACCAGTACCACTGCCACTACCACTAGCACTATCATTACCACTACGACTAAGACTACTACTACTACTACTACTACTACTACTACTACTACTACTACCACCATTTCCACTACTACCACTACTACCACTACTACCACTACTACCACTACTACCACTACTACCACTACTACCACTACTACCACTACTACCACTACTACTACTACTACTACTACTACTACTACTACTACTACTACTACTACTCTCATTACCACTACCACTACCACTACCACTACCACTACCACTACCACTACCACCACCACTACCATTGCCACTGCCACTACTACTACTACTACTACTACTACTACTACTACTACTACTACTAAGGCTACTACTACTGCTACTGCTACTGCTACTGCTACTGCTACTGCTACGACTACTCCTCCTACTCCTACTCCCACTGTTCCTGCTACTGCTCCTGCCCCTGCTCTTACTCCTACTCCTACTCTTCTACGTCCATTTTTACTTCTACTTTTAGTACTTCTACTACTACTACTACTACTACTACTACTGCTACTACTACTGCTACTGCTACTGCTACTACTACTACTACCACTACTACTACTACTACTACTACTACTACTACTACTACTACTACCTCTGCTACTGAGTAGATATACATGTCGTGGCATCAGTAAGAGAACCGGTGCCACCAGCAGTACAGGATTTACTGCGAACTGTTCAGGCCACTGTATCCGGACAATTCGTGCTGGGTCAGCGCCGTGTGCTTGTTGCTACTGGGCCGATTTTGTTCTAGATCTCCGGTTCGACAGGTCTTCCAACAAATAGCCCAGGCTATACTTCGCAGTCTTGCTCTTCTGGAAGCCATCGCAGAAGATTTTCTTGGATGTCTTCTGCATCGATCAGGCTCGCCCTGGAAGCCGTCGTAATGAGTAGAACGATTGTTCTGAGTACCGTTCGACGTGGCGTCCTGGACACTGGAACAACGCAAAACAAGCCCCAAGTCCCAAATCTGCGGTTGATCCCCATCTATCCCATGCTGTGGCCAGCACCTCCCAGCTCGAAATTGGATTTGGCAGGACGCTCTTGGGAATACTTTAGGGGCCTTAATACTTGCCTAAACAGCTTGGGGGTTTCTTATCATATGTATAGCATAGTATACCCCAGAAACCCATTCTAATCAATGTTGAGATCCCTATATTATGTGCTGTTGTTCAGTGTAGCATCTTTTAGCAGGGAACCAATGCCACGATCTTACAGTTGATACTCCAGAGCCAGGTGAGCCCGCGACGCTTTGCACTTGGGCTTGTAAGCATTGGCGCATTTCTCAGGGCCTCAGATTCTCTTGTTGTCTTCTGGGATCCGTCGTGGAGCCGTCGCCTGTGGTGTGTCTTCGAGCTAGCCGCATTCTTGCATAGTCGGAATGCCGACGGGAGGAAGGTAAAACTGACTATCAGGCCAACGCTGTTGCTGGGCTCTCATTACAGAACTTAGTCGGACTTAGTTTGAATTATCGGGTTAGGGAAGTTATTGGTCTTGCAATGGTGTTCCTCATGGTTGCAATTCAAAACAACTAGCAAATATTTCTTATGCATTGCCCCCCCCCCCAATAAGCAAACCAGTGTAATACGGTATATACTCCTAAGATCCTTAACAACGACTCAACCCAGGCTGGGTCCTTGTTTCATCTCTCTGCCGATGGCCCTATCTTATGTGATGCTCGCACTCACATTCTTCCCCAGCGAGAAGCACCTCGAAGGGACAGATCCAGACGCTGGGTCGCTAATGAAGATAATTATATTTTCATTGTTTCTTCTTTCAAGGTAGTGCAACCACCCGTGACAACTAGACCCTCTGAGCTTAAACCTCAGACAAATGTCATATTTTCAGGGGGCCTTCAACAGCACCTGAGGGCTTCCTGCGGTATTTCGTTCTGTGGCCGTCCATTGGGCTCTTCATTTTGACAGGTTTTTTCTTCTCTGCGATCAAGCTACTAGGTGTGCTGCGGAAGATTTCGCATTTTCCCTCCTTGAGTTAAGAAGATCTTACTTACGAATGTTGTGCAGCGGCTTGGATGGGCAGACCTAGGTTACGAGCATACTTCCGCTATGTGCAGGCGCTAGAGCAGGATATTGGGCAAATTGTCGCCGACAGCAGCTCATCCTACTGCTGCAGTGTTGGCCATGTGTCTCCGGATGGACAGCCTCTGACTTGTGACCGCCGTGTCATCTTCCAGTGCATCACGCTTTGGTTCGGCAGCGTCGAGAATTTTGAGGCTCATGTGCGAACAGAAGTTCTGCAATGCCTGCAGGAACAGCTTTCCAGAGAGGTTTTCACATACAAGCAGATCGCTGTTTCAGCCTTACCGATGCTTTGGCATTACATGGACGCAGCTGCCTCCGCTCACTTTGATCAGCTATCGCGAGGACTTAGGTTTCTCCACAGTCTTAATCCTAGGCAAATGACTGACGTTGGAACCTTCGACCACGCAGTCCTACAGACCAACTCTCAGCCCTGAACTAAGATCGAGTTTCGGCGGACGTGTATGGTACAATCATGCAGAGATTCTGCTATTCAAACCTCCCCAAACCCTAAACCCTAAAAGCCTAAAAGCCCTAAACTCTAAACCCTTTCAAGCCCTAAACCCATATTAATTACATCTTGGCCATGTCTGGAACTCTACGTAGATCGCTTCAATCCGAAGCCCTGCACTGCACCCTAAGAATGCCAAACGCTGGCCTTCAAAAGTCCTCCGCCCTACGATAGACGCCTGAATAAGCGCCAATAGTATTCCTTGGGGTGATTAATATAAGACTATACTATAAGGTACCCCAAAACCGTATTCCAATTGTTAAGGCACCAATATTCCCTCGGTTTCGGGTTTGAAGATGAGAAGGCCTCCTAATATAGGGGCCCGAGTAATCAGCAATGATATGCTGGGGGTCCCTTATCATACATATATGTGTGTACACACACACATATTGTGTACATATATATATATATATATGTTGTAATATCTTATATTATATCATATTATACTATATATTATACTATAATATGTTATATTATACTTTACTATATGTACATACACAGTGTGTATATATATATATATATATTACATATCAGAAAGTCCCGCAAGACTCTGTTCTAATTGTTCTACGTCTTAAACCCTATACGCCCTGAACCGCCCGTTGAGGGGAGGAGCCAAGTGGGGCGGCTCTCCAAGAGCTGGTTCGAGGCTTGGGTTGGGCCTTTGGCGTGGTGCCTGCAACAATGCTCATCGCTATCAGGCCATGGGTTTTGGGGTTACCCTAAACCCTAAACCCTAAACCCTAAACCCTAAACCCTAAACCCAAACCCTAAACCCTAAACCCTAAGCCCTAAAAGGTTTTCAGGTTTTGGGACCCTGACGGGTATTGTTTACGGCCTTTGCCCCTCATGCGCACCCTTACAACCGCCCCCGGATGTCGGGTAAACACAATCAGCAAAACTTTGCAAAAGTAAGAGTAAATTTAGGGCTTCGGTAGAATTTAGAAAGGATGTCTCGGGTTGTGATTGTTCGTTATTGCATGTAGAGGTTTTATCTAGCGATTCGAGTGCAGGGGTTGTACGGTGTAGGCTGCAGATGCTCCAGGGGTCGTGACTAGGCTTGCGCAGTAGGCCCCGATCCGCTACAGTGCAGGTGTATTTATGATTGCCAGGGTTTCCTGTCTAGGATCCTCGCACCCAGCAACCCTCAAACCTGAAAAAGCTGATCTCCATATACTCTAGGATTTTAGGACATCTAGCATGCACCCCTAAGCTTAAAGGACAAGCGTGGACGTTGGACCTCTTCGTAGTTTTGCATACGGCTCAGCTTTTTCGCGGTGCATGACTTCTGCTCCTGCAGGTTTGGCGATTAACTTCTGATCTTCTAGAACATCGACGTCCTGGAACTACAACTCAGAAACGGTCTAAACAATCAGACATGACATTGTGTAGCAGCTACTGGACTATCATTTGCCGGTAATGCCCTGTTCTATTCATGAAGGCCCCCACTACAATGTCCACACCATCAGTCACCATCACCGCTAGGCTCTCATACCTGGCGCAAAGCAGACGGACCTGGGTGGTGTGTGATCTGATGGTCAACCTCTTCATCATAGCAGTAGTCTTCCTCTTTGTTTTCGGAGCTCTGGTATTCGAGCAGTGCCGCTGGGCTGCAGGATTGAGTTTCCACGATTTTGAGTTGTGATGCCGACCTTCAATCGGTACTTTAGATGATCAGTGTTCTCGCCTGAAGCTGCTCAGCTAAGTGGCTTGGGAGTTCGACCCCGTGGGTCAGAACATGAATGTCTGGGCCAGACTTCTCCCGGGCTCAGCCATCTTCAGTGCTTCGATGCTCGTGATCGCTGCCGTGCTTTCCACGATGAGGCCAAGACCGTACAATGCAGTTGATGGCTGTCTCGACGTGAGGGTTCCCGGTTTGCAGCAGTTGGCAATAGCAAGCACCCCTCAAGATCCTGCAAGACCCCCTACTTGGTTTAACCATTCTCTTGCATCTAAATTTTCTGCCATGTGCCGGGCAATCAGAAACCGTTCCGACGATGCCCGAAAAAATTATCCCACATGGTGGGGTACAGAGACTTGTGGGAGGTTTCTTGGCCGAGGTCCTTGTTGACTGAGTATGCCGAAGGGATGTTTGTTGCTTAGACGTTTATTGAGTATGTTCGAACATACTTACTTGTGTAACTAGACCCTAAACCCTAAACCCGAAACCCGAAACCCTAAAAGCATCACAGCATGTAGTGGGGATGGCGTGGAGCCCTTAACGAAGCGGAACTTCCTGCGCGTGAGGAGGAATCGAAGGCTCAAAGGAACACTTGAAGGATCAAGGGACGTCGTAAGGAGGGTTGTAAGTAAGGTAGCAAGATATAGGTGTGTGTGTGTGTGTGCATATATATATATATGTATACATATGTATGTGCACATATACGTCTACACACATATACTTGTACATATAATGTTGGCCACAGGTTTACGAGCAATACCTAGACCGAGCTTGTGGCAAATGTCGGTCCCAAATCGAGCTTGAGGCATGTAGGGGGTTTTCAAGCCTCTCTTTTAAAGCACCTAGGCTTGGACGGTATTGAAAATGAGACTGAGCTGTGGCTGCAAAGTGAAACTCTTTGGGACGCGTCGTTTTATAGCGCCTCAATGAACGAATGGCATTTTGGGGGGAGGAAATGAGTCAGACCAATGTCAGACGTGAACATCCATACTAAAGAGAAGACACATTGCAAGCCCGAAGTGTGTACAGGTACTCCTCCGCTGGCTGCTCCAAGTCTACAATCGGAAAGAATGCGCAAGTCCACTCCCTGAGCGATTGACGTTTAGGGTTTATAAAGGTTTAGTTTTTTCGCCGGACTCCGGGCTTCCATCCTACCATAATAGGGATCTATAGTAAAATATATGGTTTCGCAACCCCCGAAACCTTTATATCCTCAATCCTCAAACCATGACCTTAGTGGGCTGATTCGACTTCTTTCAGAATAATAGGGCTTCTACGCAGGATTTCCAGGTTTGGGGGCGAAGCCTTCTTGAGGGTTGTAGTTCAAGGTTTCTTCATTTTGTAGGGCTTAGGGTTGCGGTTCGGGGTGTGAAAAGGGCCTTTCAGGGATTGCGACACGTCGTTTTTTGTTTGTATCGGCGGGGGTTGAGGTTGTCTGGAAGTGTCTAGAGTTAACGTTCTTGCTTCCTGCCCTCATCGATAGTCGGTGCTTTTGCAGAGTTTGCGGAACTCAGGGAACTTAGTAGACATGTAGTAGCAAGCCCGTGGACCTACATTATATAGGAACCTCAGGCCATAGACACGATACCCCTTATGTGAAGAAGCCTGCATGTCTGCAGCCTCGGAGTCAAAGGCCCTAAACCCTAAACCCTAAACCCTCAAAGGTGGCTTCTCCCGAGCCCGGCCTTCTGGCCTGGGTGTAGCGAAGGGGCCAATGCACACCGAATGTGTTTCCAATTGTTCCAAGTGTTTCGCGCAACTAATATAGGGGCCTAAATGATTACAAATACTATTCTGCGGGCTCATGATTATAGTTGTAGCACTATATACACCAAGACCATATTCTAATCGTTAAGGCCCCTAGTACCCCTCAGCGGCATGGAATGCGTCCAAGAGCAGCCCTCTCAACAGTCATTTCCTTGATGTACCCTAGCTGAATTCTACAAACACCAAAACCGTAAAGCCTGAACCCCTACCCAAAGGCCCCAAAGTAGTTCCTTTTTGGGGCTCATATATAGATTTCTATAGGGTAACCCCAAAAAGGAACTATTTTGGGGCCTCTGGGTAATTAGACCGTATTACATTCTGGCCTCCCTCGGAGGCGGCTTCAGACGAGCTTCTTTTTTCCTCAAAAAAGAATCTCCTAAAATGAGGGGGCCTGCGCGTACTCCTGTTCAGACCTGAGAGGGATGATCACTCATTTGCTGGGTTCTTGTGAAGAAATTTAATGGAAGTTACCATAGCAAGGATCTACAGTAAATAATATGTTTTCCCTATGACGGTATAACGTAAATTAAACCGATTAACAAGAACCCAGTCGTTTGTTTCTTTTCTCCAGCTCTGCGCTGCCTCTGTCAGGGGACAGAGATGACCAGGGTTCAGGATTGAAAAGGGACTGTAAAGGTTTGGAGTGCTTTGAGGTGTTTCTTCTGGTCTTGAGGGTTTTTGAGGGTTCAGGGTATGAAGCCTCACACGAAGGCATTCATATTACCGGGTCTAGCATGCTGGGTTTGGCGTCTAGGGTCCAGGGTTTCGGGAATAGGGCGGGCGTCTTCAAATCCAGAGGGGAGGATGCTTTATAGGTTTTGTGGCTTTCTTCAAACACAAAGTCCGTTATCCAGGGGTCATTATAAGGTCACTCGGGCCGACTAGTGTGTTGTGGAGTCTATGAAGCTAGGACTGAGATTTTCGGGGTTGTCGGCTCGATCTTGGAGTTTAGGGTTCAGGGTTTAGGGTAGGGTTGTTTATGGTTTCCCCGTTATGTTTCAAAGGGGCAAAGGAGGGACCCTTAATGGGGACCCCTACCCTATAATGGGCTATATAATGGGAATATATAATGGCTATTTTAAGGGTATATACCTAGGGGTCCTTATTAAGGGTCCCTCCTTTTACCCTTGGAATGTTGCCCCATATGATTGGGGCCACGAAGATCGGCTCCAATTACCCAACCCGCGCCGCTCTCTTCTGCTAGAGAAGCCGAAGCCTGAAGACAACATGAAGACCACGGATTGGAACGGACAGCTACTTTATAAGCAAAGGATGAAGAAGGAGACTATGCCTGTGTATGAAGCGGGGGGACAGGTCCTACAATCCACCCTAGACCTTGAACCTTCAACCCTCATTGAATCTTGATGCACCCTAAACCCTAAACCCTCGGCTGTGCTGCCCTTACATGGCTGCTGGCTTCAGCCTTACCACCCTGCTCGGCCACTCGCAATGCCATCGTGTTGCCATAAGACAACTACGCATGCTTGTTCAGACATTTAACATAACTCGAACCCCTTCAACAACACAGCCTTACGTACACAGCATGGTCGTCCAAGTTGCAGCGGTACATACTAGCACATACTCGGCTTATAGCTTAAACTCTCAGTTCCTACTGTCATTGTCACTTCCTCGCAGTACAAGCCAGCATGTAGGAGCATCTAACAGCCCAGGGCGCCATATCATCAGCATATGCGCCTTCCGTGATGGTGTGAGCCCAATCACGGTGTAATACGATAACATGTATGTATGTGTATATATATATATATATACACCTATGTATCTATACCCTAAAGGTTATAGTACTGGTGCATAATGTACTGGGCACCAGCTCTAGGTCGGAGCACGTCCGCGGAGTTCCCATCAATCCAGTTCACCCGGGAAAAACTGCGGTGGGTGGGGTGGTGGCGAGTGACCCGCATGCACACGTACAGGCAGCAAGGTAGAAGCATTTCATCAATTTCACATTTCACCACTCCAGCCTTTTTGAGTATCATGGGAATACGAGGCTGAAGACGTTTAAAATCCTGGAGGGTCGGCATCCTGCCAGGCTAGGATTCTACAAAACAGCCTGCTGCCTGTTCCGGTGTGCCAACCTCGCCGGTCCCCGATCCCCAACAGCCGACACGAGACGCTCCAAACAAGAAACCTGACACTACGTGTGGGGTTTGGTTTGGGGTCTAACCCTAAACCCTAAACCCCTAAACCCTAAACCCCTAAACCCCTAAACCCTAAACCTCTAATGAAACCAATCTTCCCCGAGGTATTGCTCAGAGCTTGGCATTCTGCGGAGAGGGGTCCGGTCAACAGGGCTTAGGGTTTCTGGTTTCGGGTTTGTGAGGGGTTTAAGGTTGGGTACCATGGGGCCTAAATAATTGCCACTACTGTTTTGGGGGCTCCTTATTAGAATTATGGTATAATGGGCCCAAAAACCTTATTCTACTTATGAAGGCCCCTATCCATGGAGCCAAGGTGAATGGCGCGATTCGCGTGGCAACCACGTCGAGGCTCGCGCCGACATTGCTTGGTTGTGCGAGACTGCCTATAATTATTCCCTACACCCTAAACTCTAAACTCCTAAACCCTAAACCCTGGATTTGAAATCGGACCCTTGAGATAATGACTCATTCAAGCAGCCCATGCGATCCAGCCTTTTATTGAGCTGCTTCAACTGCACATACGAAAGCCTTTGCATTACGGTGTAGGATGCTGGTTTTGTGGCTTATAGGCCTATTATTGAAAAGGCCTGAAGTTTCTGTACAGCTGTTTTTGTCCGAGATTTTGGGTGGTGCGTCATCGTACTTTCTAACTTCCCCCATCTGTGTATGGTATCAAAGCCGGCGTCTCTCGTATTGCGATATGTGACGGAAAGCCCCTAAAAAGACCTTTACAGTAACCCTGAAAACATCTGAGCACCAAGCCTCTGCCATCCTAAGCCCTATAAAGCAAAACCCCAAAACTGTAGCTAGGGAGGTGTTGGCTCTTCAAGCACAAGCTTTCGAAAGCGGTACGGCAAACAGCCCATCAGTCGGACCTGGAGCATCCCAAGTTTGGCTTTTGGTGCTTCGGGTTCAGGACTTTGGGGCTTAGGGTCTAACGTCTAGACCCCAAACCCCAGACCTTGATGGATGTCGACCGGTTGTCGTTGGCATACATTAAAACGAAAACAAACCTTGAATCTCGATCGTGCGACGCCCACGCAAGCTCGCACAGTGGGATCCTCCCACCGAAGAGCTGAAGAACGCGCACCGTCTCCGGTGCGTCGAAGGTTTAGAGCTCCCATTTTGCGGTTTGAAACAATGCTGGCCACTCCGAACCCTTACACTCGAAAGCTGTAGAAGTCTCGCTGGAAGATCTTTGCTACGTCAAGCTTTGCCATACAATTTGCAAAGAAGGTGCGGGCTTATGGTTTGTCAGTGTTTTGGATTGGGGCTTCAGGGTTAGGGATCCGAAGCTTTCGAAGCTCTTTGCCAGGTGACGCAGACACCTCGAGGATATGAAGTACTCCTCCGACGGCCAGGCACGGGGCAGCCCGTGTGCCTGAAACCTTACGGGTTGAGGGCTCTGGGTTGAAAGTCCCTAACTAAAAGTGGGTGGTTGTCAAAATTATGGTCCCTATTGGGTCCCTATTATAATACGGCACCTATTATGTAGGGAACCCAAAAAAGGGACCCTAATTTTCACAACCAACCAAGTGTTCTGAACCGTGCGCATAAGGGTTTCCGTCTCGACGCACGCGGATCAGCTCAAAGCGGGACAAGAAGAGTTGGACGGCATACCTACCTAAGGAAATCAAAAAGCAGATGCTGCATGGCTTCACGCTTCTACGATTTCAGTACGAGGTCCAGCATGCAAGACCCCTCATCTCCAGGTTCAGTGCTTGAGGGTTCGTAGCATTTGCTCAGCATTTGCCGGATTTGGATTGTTGGGAGCTTCCATGAAGGTGATTGCATGCCAGATTCCCACTTCTCGCAGCTTAGGAGAGTTGGAAATCCCTCAGTGAGTTTTTTCGCGTTTCGAACTCCAGGTTGAGTTGGAAATTGAATTTGCAGGGGTGCGGCTTTTTCAACGAGTGACTTCCGGGGTGAGTTCTGGGCTGCCGGCGCCCGTGAGCTCCGCTTGGAATTCACTCCGTTGCCCAGCCCGGCTCTTGAACTCAATTCGTAACTCAGTTTCTACCTGCGATACCTGTGACACAAGTGATTTTTGCAAGTAGAAGACCACGCTGCCCAGCGTCATTCAACCAGCAACCTTGAGTCCTTGTCGCCGACAAATCCCAAAACGCCACAAGACCCCGTAGCCCGAAACACTCATCCGGTGGAGCAGGCGGGCACAAGCGGGGCAGACGCTTCGTGGTGCACGAGCTACAAAGAGGTCCGGAGGGTCCGGTTGGAGTTCGATGTACACTGTGCAGGGCGCAGTAAGTTAGGATTTTGGGCATTGTTGAAGGATCACGGGACTTTGTCAATAGTCTACAGTGTATCTACAGGTAAGGTTTTAAGCCTTTCATCTCATTGTCACTAAAGCCTGCTGTAACCGACATGCGCTGATACTTAGTGCGGGCCTTACTCTTGCTGTAGTCTAGATCTTAAGAGGTAGCAGCAGCTGCAATGTTTGAAGAATCTCCCGGAGCAGTCAGGTTTGTGCTTCCAGTGGGGCCCATAGTGGCAGGAACACCAACACCTGCGCTAGGTGAAGCGTATGCACTGAAATCTTTCACTATTGACAGCCTTGTCTCCTGCGGTCCCTGGCTGCTGCCTTGCCTTCGCCACCCGGGGAGTGGCTTTCCAGTTTGAAAATCTCCTACATAACACCGTGCGATGCTCAAGGCATGGGTTTGTGCAGGAGGGATTCGGGGTTCATGCTGTTCACGGCTCAGATTCGCGAGATTCACAGACTCAGGCCATAAACGAGAGTTTTGGGGATTCGAGGCCTTTGCGGATTGGAAGGACTGTACCCTCTTCCCTCATTTACTACTTGTATAATGAAGGTTCTTCCAGGATCCTCTGTCAATACAAAAACCCATGTTAAGAGAAAAGACCCCTCAACCAGGTCAGAGCACCTAAATGCATCCGAATGTTGACCTGTCAATCCCGAATCTTAACCTTTTCGTGGGCTCTTGTTAAGTGATTTAATTTAAATTACCATTATAGGGATCTAGAGTAGATAATATGGCTTGTTCATTATGGTAACTTAAATTAGACCCCTTAACAAGAACCCAATTTCAGCAGTGCTTCGGTGCACTGTGGAAGCCTTCGTTGGGGTTGTCCATCATTGGGAACCTAAGGACGAGACGCAGATGACACCAATGACACTAATGTAATTAGTACCCTAAACCCTAAACCCTAAACCCTAAAATAGTAATTAGAATAGGGTTTGGCAGTTTGATCGGACATACGTTTGAAGCGAACAAAGCTTTAGATGACTTGTGCATCCGTAGAATGCGTAGCTGCTTATGAGCGACGACAAACTGATTAAGCGAGTTTGGACAGTATATGCGAACGGACTGCGATGCCTTGTCAAGTTCTAAGGTGTCACTATAAGAGCTGTGAGCAAGACCGTGTAAAGTGCAAGAGAAGGGGGCACGCTACGCGTCCCTCGACTCTAAGGGGGCATGCTACGCATCCCTCATCTTTACCTTTCTATGTGACCGCCAACGCAACGTTTGGCTCAAGTCAATGCCCATAGCTAAGTGCTATATGTGTCTTCTATCCTGAGCAATCAGAGCTATCCCGTTGCACAGACGAACCGCCGCCGGCAGTGAGTGCAAAAGGAACGGCCGCCGGTTCTGCCTGCATAGGATTGCACGTGTGGAAGTAAGAGGGAGAGACAGGGTCCAGTCTGTGGAGAGTGCAAGCCAACCACACCTACATTCATTACAGCTCTGGTGGGGAGAGCAGCAACCAAGTCGAGATCAATCCCCCACGCAGGTTATCAGCCGTACGCGGCTCTGCCTTTCTACAGCAACGACTACTTGATCTACTACGACCACAATGAACTCAGGATCAAGCCAAGATACGACAATGACTTTCGGTGCCGATGTGGCAGCGCCAGCCGTTGGTGAGTCAACAGCTGATGACACAGTGGTGCAATCCGTTGATAGCTCCACGGAAGATGACAAAGGTCAATCTTCTGCGCTTGCCATTGCAAAGGCAGTTCCCAAGGGGAAAGCAAAGAGTCTACCAAGAGCATCTACGCCTTCGCGTCCGACATCCACAGGTTCGAGGACGGGCAAGGCTTCAGAACGACGGGCCGAAGCGTCTGGTTTTCAGGCACCTCGGACTACGTCCAGGGCCAAGGACAAAGGAGTCAAGACCTTGGAAAAGAAGTCAAGGCCATCATCTTCGAGAAGCTCTTCAGCACGATCGAGGACCTCAGCCACTCGTGGGCGTGACAAATCCATGACTTGGAAACGGATGGTTACCAATCAACCACGCGATGCTGACGATCTGGATATGACTCTGGATACGATTCCTGCACGTGGTGATGCGTCGTCCGTGGCCACGCCTGCCATAGCTGATGGTCCGAACGCTTATCAGGAGCTGACGATTTCACAACAGTTCGAAGCATCGAACCTTGCACAGCAGATGTACTATCGCAGTCAGGTGCAAGAATACGAAGGAATCGTCCAGACCCTGATGGACAAGATCAAGGAGATGCAACAAGAAGATGAAGGATCTGGAATTCGCATTGAAGAATTGGAACGACAACGTGACCATGCATGCTTAGCCATGAGGCACATCAACAATGTCAATCAGGAGATGAAGCGAGACTATGAAACAGCTTTGTTTCGCATGGATGAACAGAACTCTGCTCAACAACGTCAAGCACATGCCGTTGCCGAGGAATTAGCTCAACAGCTACACGTGTTCCGCACGGAGGCAGCCACTAACTTTGTGCAGTTGGAGGCAAGAGCGCAAGGCGATGGTGAGCTTATGGCACGTGAGTATGAGCGTCTGACTCATGAACTTCATGAACATGCCAGAGAGAACTTGGTCCTCCGGTCAAACACAGCAAGTTCGGAACAAGCCTTACAAGCAATGCAGGAACGATTCCACTTGGTCAAGAACCAGGAGTTGCGGGCCGTGAACGAGATCCAAGGGCTAGCTGGAAACAGCGCAGCCATTGATCAAGAACGATTTCGGCTTCGCGAACGTCTTGGTGAAGAGGAAGAGTACCGCAAAATGGCTGTGAAGAGGATGCAAGATGCAGAGGATCGACTTCATCAGAATGAAGATCATGCAAGGCGATCATTGCCTACTTTGCACGACGAGCTGAGTGAACTCAGGAAAACGCTCAAAGCACAAGAAGATCTTCAAGCGAGGACACGCAGCGAATTGGAAGCAGCGCGAAACTCCAATCACGGAGGAGCGACACGGCCTTCTAGCATGCCCATGTCTTCGAGGACTACTGAGTCTGGCTGGGAGCACGTAGGAAAGGAAGTAGTGCCTGAATTTTCCGTAGGAGGTGAGGTACGATCCCCTGAAATACGGTCCCCAAGTCAAGTTAGTCCAGTCGCCAAAGAGAAGTTCGCATTCTCGGAATCGGACAAGGACAAGAACCTTGTGATGGATGGAATTCCATTCACCGGTGGAAACTTCTTCACTGGCCGCAGTTCAATGCCAATCGTGGCGGATGCAATGCCCGAGCACTACGTGCCAGGTATTAGCAGCCCAGCACTTGCGCGTTCCACGCCTAGTGCAGCCACTTTGTTCGGCATACCAAGCGGATTTCATGGGAAAAGTGATGCGGCAGCCGTGCGTGATCGACAGCTACGCGAACTCTTGGAGGATCGCGGGATGTTGGGATCGAAGTCCACAGCATCTGCCAGCTCCTCAAGACCTGTTGGTGTCGACGGTATCACCGCATCTACGAAGGGCAACGACCTCATCGGTCCCCCTATTGCCTATGACGATTCCATTCATGAAGCAAGGAGACGTCAGATCGAGAAAGAGGTCGCGGAACGGTACGAGGAGAAGATTGCCGATCTGCGAAGCGAAGTACTCAAGGCCCAGAAAGCCGAACAACGTCTCAGAGCTGATCGTGATGAGTGGAAGTTATTCGCTGAAACGATTCAGGAGGATAATGGAGACGATGACGGTGACGAGGCTGGCGACGAGAACGAAGATGGAGAGCACGATGAAGGAACCGGCACGGGGTATGACCCTCCTGACCCGCCTGACGATGATGATGATAAGAAGAAAAGCGGTGGAGGCAAACCTGAATCGGATCCTGGCTCGCATGCGCGTGATCCTGATGGTGACGCGGATCCTGAAGTCACAGAGGTGAGGATTTCCAGGAGGGAAGCCGACAAAGTGACCGTTCCTCCATGGCCTACTCTCACTCATCTCAACAACTGGCGATCCGTGTGCACGGCCAATGTCTTAGGGGCATCAGCCGACCCACATCATGAGGACTGGATGTTATGGCTGGCACCAGCGTTCAACCCATTCCCTGATGTCGAAGCATTGAATGATTCAGGACACAAGAAGTTCAAGAGCATAGACGTCAAATTGGGGATCGCCATGGTCGCAATGCTACGTGCCGGTGGTGACAAATCAGCTGATCTGTACCTTGAGGTGAACCGGAAGGCTAACGATTACATCAGCAGGCCCGACGGGAAGATCATCAAAGGACGACAAATCATCGCGATGATGTATGAAAGTTTTCGAACGCACGATCGTCTCGACATGATCATCACTCTTGAGTATTTGGTGAAGCTCCAGTACCAAGGCGACAACAAGCTTCATACGTTCAAGCAGACGTGGTTGGAAGTTCTGGGACGGATGAGACCAGAGGACATTCCATCCAAAACAGCTCTCCGTGATTGCTTGTACAGCAAGATCAAGGACTCGCCCGCAATGAAGATGGAGTTGGGCATGCATTACGAACACTTGCCCTACAATCATGAAGACCGATCGTACGACAACCTGATGAAGATCATTGATCGTACTATCATGCGGAGACGAGAACAGTCAAATCTCACTCAGACCCAAATTGGCTTGCGCCAGATGCTTGAGGGCAAGGATTTGCTTGCTGCACCGGCCAAGGTACCCGAGAAACCTACGCCTAACGCAGCTCCATCCGCAAAGGTCAAGGCTTCGCCGACCAAGCCGGATAAAGCAACACCTGTACTACCTCAAAGCAAAGCGAAGAGTCATGCGAAGACCAAGCCAAAGCCCAAGAAGAAGACGAGGAGTGAGTCAGCGGACAACAGAGGTGACAAAAGCAAGAAGCAAATCCGCTGCAAGTTCCATTTCACAGATGCAGGGTGTCGAAATGGTGATAAGTGTCCATTCAGTCACTCGAAGAAGACTCCAGAGCGACCCTTCACGCCGAGGACGAGAACTCCAAGTCCATCTGGAGGAGGAGGA